TGCAGACTCGACACACTGATGCAGAGATTGTCAATATGCTACCCACGAGCAAGTTCTACCACGCGTTTAGCACGTCAGCTGCGTCACCAGGAGACGTGAGATTATCATACCTTGTGCAAATACCGTATTGATGGCAAATATAATCAAAGAAAAGAATGTTGTTGTTCCCAAGAATATCCACAACACATGGCCCAAAAGGACCCAGGAGAAAAATGCACCAATTTCGTCAACATTAAAAGGCCGTACGCTTCGTATAGAGAACCACTTAAATCGTATCTTTAGCCGCGACCAGAACCCAGTTGCCGCTGCGAGCAATTCTTCCCTGGTTGGGCTTCGCATGTGAGGGAGACGATCTATTAGATACTTGTGGTGCGAGTGCGAACCGCGTGGCTGAGCTCCGCCGATTGTGGTTGGAGTACGGTGTAAGTCTTCTTTTGGGTCCACATACTCGGGTTGTGCTTGCGGGTGACTGGAAGGGTTATCCGAATCGCTTCCAGTTGGCTTCTTCCGCTCCGAATTCTGTGGTGAAGTGTGCAGATAGCGATTCCCGGAGTAAAAAACGAGTGGTGAGTGATTTCTATTCCAACCACCAAAAAATCTAGCATCCTGCCGCACCTCGAGCTTTGACGAGACGGCGCATATAGACCTCAACCCGAAGCGTCCGCCAGAGCCGGTAATCGCAAATGCCCCATTGGAGCTGGAACGCAAAGGATGTCGGCCACGTGCATTCAATTTATAATATCGGTAGGAAACGACTGTCTCTCGAGAATAATGGCGTTGTATCGGCGTCGCCTGTTGTGTCGACTGCAATAGCGCACCTAGTGGACTCCGGTTAAGAAAAAAATGAGCTGGGGACCTCGATGGACTGCTCAACAGATCGCGTCCTATAAGGCGGGACATATCTTTCGGGGCATCATGGGTCAATCACTAGAGAATGATATCCCCAGAGGCTGATCGAACGATGAACAATAGCACATCAGCTTGACTGCGATCCAAAATCCTGATGCTGCACTCTATGGGTCCTGCGCAACCTTGGAAGATTGCAAATTTAGAGTTCAGCCTAGCAGGGGCTGTTTGCCTGGTTTGCACCTCCATTTTCCCACATCACAGAAAGACTGCAGATAAGAGCTCAAAAACTGCAGATAACGCTGGAGTACTGTCCGGACGGCAATTTTCAAAACCTTTGTGATTCCATAGGCCCTTTTTTTTCAGTCGCGTCTTGAAGCCGAAGATTTTACATCCAGCAGCCCTACAGCCATGGCCGCTCCGACACGCCGCCTTGAAGCGTCGGACGAGGTCGCAGAGAATAATTCCATGCCACTTCCACAGATAAATCAAAGTGCGTCTATCGCCCCATTGCAACCACTTGTCTGCGGCGACTACTAACACTTCTTTACTAGACGAGGATGCTGTCTTAATAGACTCTGCGGCACCGCTGCAGGATATTGTAGCAGTAACCCAAGATCCAGATACCGAGATGCGAATCGACGAGGAAGGTCGGCCTCTATTCACCCCAATACGAGCAACAGACGGCTCGTACCGCATAGAAAATCGGAAGGTCCCCGTGCCTCCGCATCGTATGAGCCCGCTAAAGGCCGCCTGGCCAAAGATTTACCCCCCACTCGTTGAGCATCTGAAGTTGCAAGTCCGAATGAACATCAAGAACAAGGCTATTGAGTTACGGACTTCAAAACACACAACTGACGTCGGTGCATTGCAAAAGGGGGAAGACTTCATCAAGGCATTTACCCTTGGGTTCGATGTAGATGATGCCATTGCGCTGCTAAGATTGGACGATTTGTATATTGAGACATTTGAGATAAAAGACGTCAAGACCTTGAATGGTGAGCACCTGGGGCGAGCCGTGGGACGAATAGCTGGAAAAGACGGGAAAACAAAGTTCGCAATTGAAAATGCGAGTAGAACTAGGGTCGTTCTCGCCGATCAAAAAATTCATATTCTTGGGGGCTTCCGCAATATTCGCATTGCGAGAGAAGCCATTGTTAGTTTGATTTTGGGGAGCCCTCCTGTAAGTTCTTGGGGTCGTCGTACATCTTCGTTTTAGAAATTGGCTGACATTTGTAACCAGGGCAAGGTATATGGAAACTTGCGAACTGTGGCATCACGAATGAAAGAGCGATTTTAAAAAAGCGATTTGCCAGCAAAAAGGACACGGCGTTCTGGGGTTCTGATTATGAGATATCATTTTGGAAGGAGCCGGTATCATATGTTTTGCAAATAATGAACGAAGAGAGTGACGCACGATGCAATGTTATCTTGTGAGATTCGGGAATACAACAGCATCAAATCAAGACTGGCTGCAAGAATTATAAAGCTCAACCCAACCATGCCGTGGTACACGATCGCTTCAGTCCTTCTTTAAAGGAGTGATGATTTCTTGTATCCCATCGCTCGTAATGATCATAGTCTGCAATCCGTCGCCAACTTCAATATGTCTCTCCACGGCGCTCGTAAACGCATCGCGAACCAGTTCTAAAGCTGTGTCTCTTGATAAAGGCTCTGGGACTCTTGGAACCAGTTCGTCACCGCGTTCAGCGCTTTTAACATACTGATTCTTAAGGTTCACCTGGTTGTCCAAAAACGGCATGATCAAACTGGCAGCAGCGCCGGCCGCACGGCAGTACTCTCTCTCATACGAGCCAACGGGGTCATAACTGTAGAGAGCACCCTTGCCATCTTCATCCAGGCCGCCTAATATGGCATGGACATAGTAAGGAAAGAAACGCTTCGAATATAAAATGGTCGATAAACGTTGAGCACAAGCCTTGACAGACATGGGCTTGCCGTGGTGATACTCGTACATCTTAACGATTGCATCGAGCCGTTCTTTCAACGCTTGACCATCAGCGGAAAATCCAACGACGGATAAGATAATATGGCCTCCTTCGCCTGCATCGTCAGCCCCGATTTTGAATACTTTTGGTGCAAAGCGTGTGTTGATGTTGTAACCGGAAACGGAACGTGTGTCGCCGGCCAAAATTGCGAAGTTAGGGCCCGTGATTCCCAATGTAGAGCCGCCATTGTCTGTGTACCTGTATACTATTAGCTGGGGGTTTTGATAAGAGCCTTAAGTGAAGAGCTTACGGGTAGAAACCGTGTTGTTTGTTGGAGCTACTCTGTTTAGAGAACGAATAACCAATGGCTTCTGAGTGAGCAGGTGTATCAAGAAGAGTAGCCATTACGCAATAAGTCTTCTTCGGAATCAAATTTCGGTCGGTCAAGAGTAGTTGGTATGAAGGGTTTGCTTGAAGTGTAGAAGATGTGAGAGCTTTCGGGTTGTTGCAATGAATGGAGCTTGGTTAGTAGTTACGAACGCGAAGCTTTGGCTGCCTCACTTCAAGTTGATTATGTAATGACAAGTTCGCTCACATAACTAGCCACTCCATGTTGCTTAACTTCCTTCGTTCAAGGTATTGGAATTACCTCTGTTAGTCGTCTTATTTTTTTGCTTCTGGATATTATTCTGCCACAATATTATGCTCGGCTTAGGAGCTTATGGGAGCAGTAGTGAAGATGAAAGCAGCATTCACGAGCCTACTCATTTTCCAAAGGTGTGTATGCTAATTCAACTTTCATGGGCTCTAGCTTATGATCCTTTATCAAGGACGAGAAGAAGCGCTCGATTTCAAAAATAGAAGGTTAGATATACTAGGCCCGTTTATTCCCTAAGCAACTTCTCACCAAAAAGCAAGAGAATCAGGAAGCCAATCGTGGCCCGCCTTCCAGTGTCTGTTCTGTTGAAGAGGTGACTGGTCCTCTCATGGGGCCATTCCAACCACCCGAGCAATTTTATTCTAAAGAGGAAACTGCCAGTTTACCACACAAATCATCTTTACCGAGCTCGCAGCGTTCATTGATCCGAGATATGACGCTTCCCCCATATCCGAACCTCGATATTCCACCGTCTCCGCCAGGATCTCCTTCTCCCAGCTCCAATCAGAAATTCACCCATTTTCTATCTCTTAAGAAACAGGGTATCCATTTCAACGAAAAGCTTGCCTCCTCTTCATCTCTCAAAAACCCAAGCCTCTTTTCCAGCTTAAGGAAACATGCAGGTCTCGAGGAAAGGTCTCAATATGCAACATCCCTTGACCTAGGTACATGGGACGTCAGCGGTCTCCCGGAATGGGGATATAAAGAAGAGTTACAAAAGGTTCAGCAGGAAATTCGTTCCAAGATTAAAGACGACCAACAATCCGCGCCAAGGGAGGGTATCGACTTTGTGCAAGCATCTAAACAGACAAATCGTAGTGAGAGCCCAGGATCTAGAACAGTGAATCCCCATGCTGTAGAACGGGGAACAGTGGGTTCGACTTGAGAGGGACTAATGTGGTAAGCCAAAATCAATGGCTGGATACGGCGAGATTATGCTCAGACCGAAGACTAATCAAACATCACTCGAAAGACGAGTATAAATGAATGTTGCAACATCGTGTAGGAAAACAGGAATAGAACTGATGTATGCTGTTTGGTTGTAACCGGGGCAGTCGATCTGATTGCGCCAACAACATAGGTCAATGTTTGATCACTGATTAGAGCAGCGTCTACCGCGTTATTTTGCACCTAGTCTAATTCACTAGCTAGCTGACTGCCAGCTCCGGTGGATTACATAATCTCGAAAGCTCCAGCAGCTCTCCAGCTCGATCCACTTCTAGGCAGATTGGATGACGCTCCCCAAACTTCACCTCTCAAGCGACTTGGTCTTCTACAGCACCCATTATCAGCACAGATAAACCATTGGGACATCACTCTGTCTGGCCTAATCACCACCTTCTTGGAGCTTACTATATTGGTTTATTTTCAATCATGAACCACTTTCCAGAAGCTTGGGGACGAGTTGAGTGTCCCCTGTCCTAGGCGCGGTTGCCAACCTTTGAACTAACTGGATAAACTGTAGCCACGAGACGATGTTTATGGTCCATATGATCATTCGTATCTTCAGAGCAATGGGCCCCAGACCCGTACACAAGCCCCGACGGTGACTGGAACCTCGGTTCTCGCGGTCAAGTTTAACGGAGGAGTTGCGATTGCCGCAGACAATCTCGGTTCGTTTCTCTCAACGTTCTGCATTTTTCGAATTCCTCCATGTCGAGACTGGCAATTTGTATGAGGCTTGGTTGTTCGGTTACTGAGCTTTTACACAGCCTCCTACGGCTCTCTAGCCAGGTTCCAGGATGTGAAACGTCTCCGCACTTTCGACAACTCATCTGTTGTCGGTTTCGGCGGTGATGTTTCCGATATGCAATATATCGATCGCATCTTAAATTCCCTTGACATCAGAGAAAACTATTCCTCGTACGGGCAACATACACTAAATGCGAAAAACCTACACACCTACCTCTCGAAGATGTTCTACAAACGCCGATCCGATTTTAACCCTCTGTGGAATCACATCTTAGTAGCTGGATTTGACCAGGATGGGAAACCTTTTTTAAGCTCGGCCGATTTGCTTGGTACTACATTCTCAGCTCCCTGGTTGGCAACCGGGTTCGGTGCCCATCTGGCCTTGCCAGTCTTGCGGAGATTATTCCCAGAGGACATACCAATTGAAAATATCACACAGGAACAGGCGGTGAAGGCATTGAAGGAATGCATGAAAGTTTTGTACTATCGTGACGCAAGGAGTCTGGACAAGTATTCCATAGCAGTTATCACCAAAGACGGCGTGGATTTGAAGGAGGATGAACAGCTGGAACAGCAAAGTTGGGGTTTTGCAAGGGGTATCAGGGGTTACGGCGCGCAGGTTGAGTGAAAAACCGAATGCTATAGTATCTAACCATTTCGTGATCGTTGAGGAGATATCCATGAATCCCATCCCATTTTTTACATGAGTACCAATTTCAGTGGCCAGTAGTTATTCCAAAGTACAGAATTTGCGTATTGATACAACCTGCAGCAAGCTGTGTAAGAGCGGTATCAAAAGGCCTGACGGAAATCCTTCACAATTTGGCCAGAGGCTTGCTAAAGACAACCTTGTTGGTGCATGTTCCCACGCCCTCGAGCGAGACTTCGACTTGGTCACCGTCCTTGAGCCACAGTTGAGGTCGCCTACCCATCCCGACTCCTTGAGGTCTATCCTTGATATTAGCTTCCTGTTATATGGTAATACGAAAGCGAATATTGAACTCACGTTCCGGTGAAAATCATATCACCAGGCAGAAGCGTAGTTCCTTGAGATAGAAATGAGACAGTCTTGGCGACATTGAATATCATATCCTTTGTATTCGAGTTCTGCACGATTTTCCCATTCAGTTTCGTAGAAATGTTCAATGCATTTGGGTCTCGAATTAACTTTGCAGACACAATTCCAGGTCCAAATGGAGCCCATCCGTCAAACCCTTTCCCAAGGCCCCATTGCCCGGCTCCCCGTTTCAGCTGCCAGTCCCGATGAGACACATCGTTGCCAACCGTGTAGCCGAGGACGTAGTCAAGAGCCTGGGATTCGGGGATATTATAGGCTTCTTTTCCAATGACAATCACCAGTTCGCACTCATAATCCAAGCCTTCCGCCTCCTGAGCAATTGCAGGAACGGGAATATCGTCCGTGGGCCCCGTGGCCGCAGTAACGGGTTTAAAGAATAGCACGGGGTATGTAGGAATCGCCATGTTTGCTTCTTTGGCATGCTGGGCATAATTGAGTCCTAAGCAGCGAATTGTTCTAATGTCATTTCGAGCAAGGGGAGAAAGGACCCTTTTGACATCTGCTACTTGTTCAGTGACTCGGTGTTGGCCGAATATGTCGCCCTTGATTACCCGCGCTCTGGTCGTTTTGGCAAGGTCACTGACACCTGCTGGCAGAATAGCGTCTCCGTAGTAAACTCGGCCATCTTTCGCAAGGAAGCGAACAAGTCGCTATGTTCAACGGGTCAGAGAGGTCAGCCTTTTAGTCGCCTCGATTGGGATGTATATCGGTTCTCTTCTGAAGAGAGGTATCAAGAACTTACCGAAAACGAAGTCATGGCAGTTTGACTAGATCTTGCCCAGGCTATGAAATGGCGAAGAAATCACAGGCTGAAGCTTGCATTGTCTCCCTTTTGTACTGTCCGGTCCGCCTTGCGGCCAATGCAAAGCTCTAATTATTAATCCGTCAGAGATAGTTAACTACTCCGTACATAAGTTAGCTGGTGACTTCTTCCGATCGACTCGGCCGGGAAACCGGTAGATGTCCTTTACATTAAAGGTTCTGGCCCAAGCTTTGGTGACAGGCTTTGTGGCATGCCGACGCCCGCAGAACCCATGCAACAAAACCACCCCTTCAAACTGCGCTTTGTCTTGACGTCCCAGTTATGGAAATATGAAGTTGTCTGGTTTGCAGCGTCAAGCTTTGGCTCTATATCGCCAATGCTTGAGGGAGACTCGGAGAAAGCCTGTGGTGAGTGAACAGTTTGGAATGCCTGCGATCAAAAAGACAATTCCTCGAGTTTTTCGAATTGACCTTGGGGCGTATTTATATAGCTAAACAACTGGGTTTTAGGACGCACAACCGAACTTTAGGGCTTTTGCTAGGTAGTTAATCTATTGACTCGGAGGACGAATACTTCTTACAGGTTGATTGACAGCCGTCCTCACAGGCAAGAGTTTGAGAAGAACCGAAATGTGAACAGGAAGGACTTCGCAACCATCGAGTATCTTTTACGCAGAGGACAGAAACAACTCGAAATGTACGCGTCGCCTGGGATCCGGAATATCACCCCGTGAGAGCCCTTCGAGAATCACTTCGCTGCTTACCCGGCTGCGTGATTTAACTAAGCGGGCACGACATGGGCGGACAAAAATATGTTGACTTAAAGCCGACGAACCCTTGCTGTTATCTGGATCCAGGAGATAAGCTTGACCGGTTGATACCGATGACTTCTAAGGACTGCGCTTCTACTATAAACCAGGAAGCGAACCAGGCTTTATTCGGGAGGGAATGAGTATGAGGACATTCGTGGTTGGTGCTCCCTAACCACTACAGCTGCACGAATAGCTCATTTTTCGGATATGATCATCTGGTTTTGATTGCCGAAGACAAGTAAAAATATACTGCAACTATTTCAATATTCAACAGGGCAAAATGATGTATGTATGTGTATGTACAATAGCAAACTAGCCATTATTTCGCAATTCGGCCGAGATTCCGATATAGAATAAGCGAGGGCGGGATCTAATTACATTCCAACGCCGTTACTCAAATCACCCTATTGCAACGCATTCGCTATATTCATACATGGAGCAGAGTCGAAGCACTCCCCGAGAATAGAGTTCCGGCAAGCTCATTACAACGTCGGAAAGCTCATCCAGCCTGGTACAACGCCGGGCCAGCCACAACATGTGGATTGATCATGCTGAGGTTGAATGGCGTCAGGACTGGGTCAGCATCTGTGATTGCGATGAACATGGTGCCGTTAATGGCTGGATCTCCAGCGAAGGTTTCCACGTTAGGCTGGATAGTCGTTCCCATTTGCATTGTCCCGTTGGTAGCGTTGTTACTAGTATTTGACTGGAGGGTCAAGGGTGAGTATGTGACATTGAGTTGAGTCACCCAAGCGACAAACTTGGCAGATCCAGCTTGAGACGAAGTTATATAGCTATTGTTGGGGCCGACAGGCTTGCCGGGAGTGTCCCACATCAACCGGACCTCGCGGCCTGGCCAAGAGAGTGGGATAGTCCGGTTCTGAGTGATTGCAGGGCCGCAATCGTTGGATTTATCGGTAGTGTTGAGGCAGGCTTGTGAGCTAGTGAGGTTCGCATTGCTCAAAGTATTCATGCCTGCAGTAAGAGTTTCGTTATACCCCGCTGAGCCATTTACACGCGCCGGATTCGGTTGATTAAGAATCCAAAGGGCTGGGAAATTTTGCCACGCAAGCCTTGTCTGATTCGCCGGGCACCAGCTAATATATGGTGCCATCAATGTCCACGCCCACGATTGGGGGACTCCGACTTCGAACCACACAGGCATTGGGAAAAGCCCGTTGAATTGACGGAAGATAATCTGCTGCCGTGCCTCTGTAGTAATGGATTGAAGCAGGATGGTAGCCGCTTCTCGAGAATCCAGATGTTCAAGGAAACCATACACGCTGGATTCTCCGAAGCGGGTAAGCTTCTGGCAGAAATCAACGAACTCGCGAACTGTTGTGAACGGATAATTGTAGGCACATGGCATTGGAGCTTGAGCTCCTAGCATGTTGCTGATGACGGTGGCATGTCCAACCTCCTGCTCTGCCATGAACTGAATTAAGTATCGGTCTTCAGCTGTGAGTCCAGCAGCAGTAAAATCTGCCTCAGAAAAGGTAGCAAGCCCATTATGGAATAGGTCGAGCTCTAACCATTCCTGATACAGCGCAATGGCCTGGCAAAACCATTAGCATATAATTTGCTTTGAAGGGGAATTGGAGCTCATACCAAGGACTGATAGTCAAAATCGCTTCTGACGTTGTAGATAGGTTCTGTACCGTTGGTCCCTAACCCACCAGCAGGGGTATAGGGAGCGGGCTGAGGTTCATGAAGCTGGCCATCGCTTGGGTAAGTAGTGGCTGTAGGGTTGGGTGGCAATGGGGCAATGCTGGAGGCGAGCACACTGTTACTCAACGCGCCGGTTGTGGTTGGAGTCCCAGTAAACGGCCCATGACTGGTTGGCACAGACTCACTCCGCGTGGGTGCAACGGCCGTCGCAGGGGCCGCGATAGCGTAAGGAAAGCATGCTAATAAAACAGCGAGGCCGGTAGCACACGACTTCATCTTGATTCTTGATCAAGCGTTGTTCTCATCGGTTTCGAAAGGCCTGAAATAATCTTCTCCCACATTCGGAAACTGGAGCAGAAGGAAGCCAGAGGCACACTTTAAATATCGAGTTCATCCTTTCCCAGGCTCGAGGATGATTAACATGACGCAAGAAGAAAGCTGCACGCCCAGTGGGAACATTAGATGATTCCCTGCTTTTCCAGAATTCACTTCCGCTGACTTCCACCTGGGCGAAATGTTTGAAAACAGAGTTCTGGTGCTCATGGTATGGATGTCCAGCTTGGTCGGCGCAGAAATGATAGATGGTGGGCGTTGCGTCATATGCCGAAGAAATCCTCGACTGCAGTCCATCGCCACCTCTTTCAAGGATGACTGCGATGGCCCCTCGGAGGAGTAAAACCCGTGTTGCTGAACGACGCGATTAATAATTGAAGAACGCGAGCAATGACCATGAGCGGAATCTCCGATAATTGCAAAATGTAGACCTAGGAGGAACTGACACTAACACAAGTCAACGAAAGTATGGGCAGCCAAGCCGTTGCTTGTGGTAAGCTTACTTTTCGTTCCGCGCACTAAACACCAACTCAAGAACAACTGCTGGGAGTAGTTCAATGCTCGGATGCTGGGTGCCAGATCGGGATGAAGCTTGCGCTGTTGGCCTGCACTGTATTATTGGTAACCGTGTCTTCCAGCCAAGGCATGAAAATACGGCTGCTGAGATTCTGACGGTATAATTCGATCAAAGCAAGAGATAAATAGAATAGTTTGTAGCATTAATAATTTAGGCGGTTTTGGGTTGTGCCTGATATACATCAATTGCCCGGGATGATTTTGAGATAAACCGGGAATACCGTGGCCACTTGGACCGAGATTGCAGGGCTAGCATAATCAGAAAGCATCGGGATGGTAATGCTTTCGATGTTAGGCAATGCAAATCCGCAAGGAGCGAGTCAGTCTCCAAGATATCGATCGCGGCGCCCTTCGAATAACAGATGATCCTCTGCGCGCCAGCTCATGCTCCCGATGTGGCCGTAGCTCAATTTCGCTGTCACGCGTGAAGATGACCTTCAAATCTGTCACCCAATTGGGGTCTAATCACTTCGTAGAATGTTGCTGAAATGGCCAAATCCTCTCCACCAATCCCTGGGGTACCGGGTGACTTCATCACTCCGGCGAATAAATTCCAACAGGCCGCCCTTTGACTATTCCTCGTCCGACGAAGCTTCCATAGGAACATCACTTTCGTCTTCTTCCATTGGAGCTTCTCCTTCATCGCTCTCTTCTTCTCTTGGCCTTTTAACTCCTTGTGACGCTTGCGGCTTCGCCCCACCGGCATTCTGAGTCTCGGCAACTACTGCAGCCGAAGGCGGGGCACTGAAGATGGACTTCTGAAGTTCTGTAGAAATCCTGGACTGCTCATGTGCAGTTGTAGGTGCATATGTGCCGCGAAGCTTTGCGATAATATCCGAGCTCCCTTTCGCGTAGACGATTCTCTAAACCATAATTGTGAGTTCACGCTGCTGCTGCCATCGCATACGTAGGTGAATAGAAACCGGCGCTAAAGGTAGTCGACTCACTATCTCTTTTCCAAAAAAGTTAAACCCTTGCAAAGCTCGCATGGCCTGTGTGCTGGTTTGAATATCTCTGAAGACAATGTGGGCTTGGCCTCGCATTTTCTCTGTCTTCATGGCCACCACGTCGAGGACCACGCCATATGTGGAGAACAATGTGTAGAGAGCGAGTCGCAGGTCTGGTTTCTTCACCTTATCAGGAAGATTTGAACAGTACAATCTTGGTCGTTTGTGAGCAAGAGGAGTCATTGGAGGAAAGGGGAGATGGCTTACGTTTGGTTTGGTACTCCGACATTGGCCAAGCCAGATTTAGACGCCATGCTGATGATTGAACCGAAGGACTCGGAGTGCCCCTGGCTGTTAAATCATTGCACGAAAGAATGAACCGGTCGCGAGCAGATTCCTTCTGGTATTCAAGCAGCGAAGCTCTAATTGCTGATTCAGCTAACTAGTTAGTTGCATAATATTATGTAATCCGGCTAGCCCCTACGGCATACTGGGCCAACCCTCCTTTTCAACTAAATGCCCTAACCCTAGCATATTACATAAGTTTACACTTTACTAAATTAGACTAGTAGCCAAGCCTTCCAATCCTTACCTCACGAAACCCCAGATTTTAAGGTTGGTGTTCTCAGTCTTTACTTTCTCCAACAGGATTCCGTATTCCTATACGGAGTACGGAGTACTCTCCCTGTATAGTTAGCTAGGATCTTGGAACCCTGTCAAATCACAACAGCTTGTTCTTCACTTTGTGCCAACAAGATTGCAGACATCCATTTTCCCTCTTGCAAGGGAGTGAAGCCAGTAGGCGGAGTATAGCCATACTACCCCTCAATATTGAAACTTGTTTGCGGAAAATGGTGAGACGGGGCATTACTTTCGCCCGATGGGTGGGGGTTCGACAAAGTGTGCCCAATACCCTCGCCGAAGTGTTCTTGACCAGAACGGAGATTTGGCGGCCGCGGGATATTGTTGGTGTCTGCCAGATCGTTGGATTTGTGCGAAAGGCTCGCATTTATGTCCCATAGGCAAACGAGTTGTGGGAAGGCTGTTGCTCCTTTCGTCTTCTTAGCCCTCACGCGCGCCATATAATCAGAGAATTCAACAGATTCATTTTGCGAAAGCCACGGGGCAGCTGCTAAGGTGTTTTGCGCGCCGATTGCGCCGCGGTTTGGCTGTTGACCTCCTAATAATTACCTGGAGAGTCGCTGCCTGCCTATTCCTTTGCTCGCGGTCAAGGTCATGAGCAGCAGGTTGATGGCCCGCGGGAATATTTTGACCTCGTTGAATTATGCTCCGTCGACCTGCAGGTATGTTAGCGTTCAGAGCTTCGTCTATGTTTTAGTCGCTGCCAGTGCTTCGTTAGGCTTACCATTTTCAACAAGACTTGCACCCTGGCCGACAGTCTCATGCAGAGGATAGCCGTGTGGGCGGGCGGTTGTTGTGCTGTATGGCCCCGACCGCACGGGCTGCTCTGATTCGCACGGGCCAGGTCTATCATTTGGCCTGTAATTTATCAAGTCTTTCTTTCAAATGGCTGTGGTGCTCTGGCTGTTAAAAGAGGGTGCTATTCACCTTCCAAAACTAGCCGTATCACGTGGTGCCATCAGTCTGGCAGAGGGGAGCCGGGCTGCAATTCTTCCGTCTCAGCTAACTAGTTACAGATAACTATATTACAGCTCTATTATAGAGGTTGGCAGACGAACGTCCTCTCCTGCTTTCAACCCCAGAAACACCTCAAACGCCGGGCAATAGTCAATCGGCAACCCGATGCTGTCAGGAAACAGAGATCTTGCCCGTTTCCGAGTCTGATTAGCAAAATATTGACCGGCAAAGAGACTCGGTTCGAGGCCGCCCTTCTGGCTCCCCATCCCGATCGTCGTCAGGGTTTCATTGCCCTGACTCCCTTAACGCGGCCTGATATGTAGCATGCATCTCTCCATCCAGCTCGACCAGTTTTTTCCTCGGATTCTACACACCGCATCTGACGGCTTCCCGGAAAACTGCTCTGTCGACCCGAGGCCGGTGAACCCTTGTAACTAACCTGCAAACCATTGCTTCCGGACGCAACATGTCTCCCCGGTGATCCGAATCTTGAAGACAGACGCCAGCGCACTGGCCAATAGTTGTGGCGTATTGCATCACCTTAACCCGGAAGTGATTTTCATTGTTGCAGTTCTCCAGAGTCTTTTATGCCAATATTTCCGCCCGAGTGATACCCCTCTCTATGTCTCTGTTTCGCAATTCTTCACGCACTTCCGCCTCTGCCTTTGCTGTGATGGCTTGAATGTGTTTGCGCGGCTGGCTTATCGCATCCACAAACTGAAGAATCATGCATGAACTAAGCCCTCAGAGCATATGAGCTCATGGTTCCAGTCCTCATTAATTCTCTTGAACTTGTGCGGCGAACCCGGCCGGCTAGTGCTGGGCCTGGCCAAATACTGTTTGCACGCCCTGGAACGACGGCTCGAGAAGATCGACAACATGAAGCTTCCAACCTACCTCGGTGCTGCCAATGTCCGTGGCTACCCTTCAGTTTCCATCGAGGAGTTAGCTTTCCCAGGCGGGACTCAGTGCCAGTTGAACAAGTTTCCCGTAGGAATAAGCGCGTTCATACTTGGTTAAGACCGTCTGAATGTCCTCGCCTTTCAATCTCCCGTCGGGTTTCGCTCTCTAGGCCCCCTGTTAGGAATACTTGACGCCCACGGAATGTTGTGTTTCCCGATTCTTCTTATTAAATGTAACAGTAGGAATCTCGTTGATGTTAAAGTACAGGCCCCCAACCTGGAGGCGCGCATGACATACTATCAATGATGCTATTGTTTGAAAGAGGCTGGTGTTTACACCGCTTGAGATGTCCTGGATGCACGTTCAGATGCGGGGATGATCACCCTGAATTGCTCAACTGATGTGCATTATCTAAACTGCGGTGCCTAGAGCAGCTGTTATATATTGACCTGAAAATCTGCATTCTCAATCTTGTACACAATCACTTTTCAGTTGCTGGCATATTGGTTCAGAGCCTTGCGGAATTCCGTCCATCATGCATTTCTTGAGCCTCAGTCTCCTACTTTTGCCCTTTGCGGCCGCAAGCCCCCTTCCACAGGAGAACAAAGACATCATTCCTGGCCAATACATTGTCACTTTGAAAGATGGCCTGACAGCGGCAGAAATCGAGTCGCACAGATCATGGGTCACCACCATGCACAGATCCAACCTTGCCGCGACTGGCCTTAGTGGAATAGAGTCAGAGGGCATTCACGGTCATTTCCAGATCAACAAACTGAATCTGTACTCTGGAGGTTTTGACAAGAAGACTGTGGAAGAACTCAAGCGCAGCCCATATGTAAACCATTCTTCTCCCGGGTCCAATCGCTGCCACAGTCCACTAACCCAAGTATACCTTCCCAGGTCAAATCCGTCCTCCCAGACCAAAAGGTGTACCTTGCAGAGACTGTTACGCAGTCGAATGCAATTTGGAACCTTGGGCATATGTCAAACAAAGGAAAGGAAAGTGAGTCTTGGGACTCACTCACAGAGTACAAGTATGACAGTGCTGCTGGCGAAGGAGTTTGGGCCTATGTCCTAGATACTGGAATCAATGTCAACCACGTCGAATTTGAGGGACGAGCAATTCTGGGACGAAATGCCATCACAAACAAGCCCCATCTGGATACCTTTGGGCATGGCACATATGTCGGCGGCATCATTGCTGCAAAGACTTTTGGCGTTGCAAAAAAAGCTAATGTCGTGTCTGCAAAGGCCTTTGATGGTGGATCCGTCAGTCCTCATCTCCACGCCCTTTCTCCCGGGCCTTGGGAAGCTAACTTTTCCAAAAGAGCTCGTACAGATACATCTTTGATGCCTATGATTGGATTGTTAAGAACATCACCGATGGTAACCGTCAGTCCAAATCGGTGATTAACTTGAGCATCTGTAAGTCTAGCTTTGGGATTGAGGCCTCTAGTCTGGACGTTAATAAGCATGTGCCTTTAGCTGGTTCCAAATACCAACCGTTCGACGACGCCATTGAAAACGCGTTCAAAGCCGGTATCACAACTGTAGTTGCATCTGGGAATGATGGGGTAAAGCTTCCACAGGGCGTTGAAACCACAAGCGAAGGGTTGCTAATAATATTTCCAAAAATAGAGAGACGCCTCGCAAAACACACCAGCCTCAGCGCCCAATGCTATCACCGTAGGCGCCGTTCGCTGGGACAACACCAGGCCCAGCTTCTCCAACTTTGGAAGAGTCGTCGACATCTTTGCTCCGGGTGAAATAATCAAGTCTTGTTGGATTGGCAGCAATAGTGCAATTAGATACGCATCCGGGACTTCGGCGGCAAGTCCACATGTTGCTGGCCTTGTTGCGTATTTGATGAGCATGGAGACGTTCTCCTCTCCATCGGCAGTGACCGCGAGAGTCCTTGGCCTTACAATCCCTGACGTGGTCAAGGATGCGAGAGGGAGCGCGAACAAGCTTGCGTACAATGGGATTCAGGAGAGGAGGTAGGGCGATTATTGACATGAACCTTTCTATCTACAGAGGGCAGAAGATGCAGGGGTATGTAGCTCTTGAACATGAGGGGGCCAGTGGGTGGTATACACATATGAATCGGCATGCAACACTTGCTAGAAGGTTTTGTTCAGAGCATGTACTCTGTATAGAGTAGTTAGTGTGATTTCCTTGCCCCAATACAAGGATGGTCGGACCACAATTTGCCAAGCTTCCCACTCAGTATCCATTTTAGTTAATAGCTACTATTTATAGTTAGTCAAATTGTGCACCATACTATCACCTGATAGGCCCACTGTTAGCTTCTGGTTACATAAGTTACAATTGATAGTGTGGTCACGTGGAAGAGCCGTGTAACTAACAGGTAATCGCTGATGATCATGGATGAGTACTCCATACACTTCAACACACCGCATCCAACGAAACTCGGAACCCCGGCAGCCCGTCTTGTTGCGGTAGTAGAGAGCTACTCCTATCGCGGAGTCTTTTGAAATGGCGTCTACAGAAGTGCACCATCTTTTCCATCGGCCGATCGCTGATCATTGCTTCTCTGTTGATAGGCAGACCCTCGCTGTCGCAAAGGAAAATGTGGTGGATCTTTACCAGAAGAAAGCGGGCAAGTTCGCATTGACCGATGAACTAAAGGGCCATGACAAAACTGTCACCAGCGTGGATATTGCTCCACGAAGTGGGAAAATTGTCACTTGTTCCCAAGGTACTGACCCCGCAACTCAGCGCTCTCCTGGAGTCTGCAGCACATCACTAACCAGATAGCATAGATAGGAATGCGTACGTCTGGGAGCACACCTCTTCTGGCTGGAAGCCAACCCTTGTACTGCTTCGTATCAATAGGGCAGCCACATTTGTTCGTTGGTCGCCTTCAGAACAAAAGTTTGCTGTTGGATCTGGAGCTCGCGTGATTGCTATATGCTATTTTGAAGAGGAAAACGACTGGTGGATCTCAAAGCATCTGAAGAAACCTATTCGCAGTACTATTACCACCTTGGCCTGGCATCCTAATTCCGTCCTCTTAGCTGCAGGCTCAACAGACTCTCATGCACGAGTCTTTTCGAGTTTTATCAAAGGTATTGACGAGCGGCCACAGCCGACCGCCTGGGGAGAGCGTTTGCCATTCAATACAGTCTGCGGTGAATTTCTAAATGACTCTGCGGGCTGGGTTCATGGCTGCGCATTCTCGCCTAGTGGAAATGCTCTCGCATTTACTTGCCACGACAGCAGCGTCACCATTGTTTACCCAAGTGCCCCGGAACAGCCTCCACGTGCAATGTTGAATATTAGCACTCAATTGTTGCCGTTCATGTCTTTGGTTTGGAATGGCGAAAACGAGATCTTAGCCGCAGGTCATGTAAGGGGCTCTTACTCCCCCTGATCATGGACACTACTGATTCGCTCTCTAGGATTGCGAGGTATATCGCCTTGGTGGTGACGAACATGGGTGGCAGTTGAGTGGATCTATGGAGAAGAAGGCTAACCCGAACATTGGGCCTGCGCGCGAGGAATCCGCACTGAATAAGTTTCGGCAAATGGATTTGAAAGGCAGCACCAAAGACGATTCGAGGCTTCAGACCTTGCATCAAAATACCATAAATACTCTGCGCATTTACGAAGAGTCAGGAGGGGCTGTGAAGAAATTTAGCAGTAAGTGATTCACGCTCTTCCAAGCCAAAGTGGCCAGGCTTGCTAACTTGCCTAACAGCCAGTGGAGTTGACGGAAGGGTTGTGATCTGGCAGGTCTAGAAATAATATACTGGCTCTTAGATTGTGAAAACTTCTAGATAACATTATCATCCTACTGCAAATTTCATAGAAGTTCCATGTGTCCATATCAAACCACTGTATCAGGTGCTGGAAACAAGGTTGCAGCAGGTGGAATTAAGCTCATCAACTAACTAGTTCGTCCACATTTCCCCGGGTTCTTGGCGGTTCATCATCACCTGGCCAAACGATCATGAGAATGTTGACCTGTTTCTGCTTTCCCTTTCCCTTGCTGCCTCTGTACACAGCGATGGGCTCTCAGTGACTGCAATGATAAAAAGGCCCTTTATACCCTATAAACGGAGCCTACAACGATTTGGTTTATAACACTCCGGCGAGTCGCTCCATCCACCACACATGATCCGCTTCCTAGGTTTGGCCTATTCGACCCCAGCAATCCATCGTGTTGTTCTGGTCGGGTTTCTGTTATTGTCAACTCTAGCCCAGCCCTACGTCAATGCCGGTGACGGCGTCTCGCAAGAGTTATACAACTCCCTTGAAGAGCTTGCCCGTCTGGTTGACATAACTTATTGTGTGGGCACGACAGGGATATACAAACCGTTCAGATGCGCTGGCCGGTGTAAGGACTTTGAAGGTTTTGAGTTGGTGAAAGTAAGCTAGATATTTGAGCCACGTTCTAGATATCCTGCAAGGAAGCTGACCTTTTTGCCTCGCCTGTTAGACATGGCACACTGGCCCTCTCCTCTCGGACTCGTGTGGCTACCTAGCCCTTTCACACTCTCCGTGGCCGAAACGAATCATTCTTGCCTTTAGAGGAACATATTCCATAACAAACACTATCGTCGATCTTTCTGCCATCCCACAGGTCTATGTTCCGTATCCTGAACCACAGCCTCCTGGCGGAGATAACAGAGAACAGTGTAATAATTGCACCCGTACACGCCGGATTCATGGCCTCATGGCTTCATGCCCGCGAGACCATACTAAAACCTCTCGCAGACACCATCAACAATTACCCAGATTACAAATTGATTGTGGTAGGGCATTCTCTTGGTGGCGCCGTGGCCGCGATTGCGAGTCTGGAGTTCCACATCCGGGGCTGGAAGCCGCAAGTCACTACATTTGGAGAGCCGAGAATAGGTAACCGTGAGCTAGCGAGATATATAGATAAACAATTTTCTCTACCCACGGACACAGCATTTCCCAACTCCGCAGAAGATGACAAACAAAACTCTTCCGCTTTCCGTCGCGTGACGCATATAAACGACCCTGTTCCTCTGCTCCCTTTATCCGAATGGGGCTATGCTCCGCATGCGGGAGAGATATTTATCTCAAAACCCGACCTACCGCCCTCCGTGGACGATCTTCATTTCTGTATTGGTGACGCAGATCCGAATTGTAGCGCGCAGCAAACCTCAGAGCAGCTATCAGTTTTAGAAGACTTCCGCGGCATGAAGGAACCGGAGCTGGGAGGAGAACGGATTCAAGAATTTGAGCGACAAACTATCATATCCATACCCGCTAGATTTAAGCTCTGGGAGTTGTTTTTCGCCCATCGGGATTATTTCTGGAGAGTGGGCGTGTGCTTGCCCAAACTCGAGGATTGGATCCCTGGATGGGGTGATTGGAAACGGCCATGGTCAAACAGGGCTGATAGGACACCCCGCATACATTTGATGTGTTTTGTCTACTTCTTGATCCTGTTGCCGGCTTTCGCAATGGTGCCACGACCTTTTTGGGGCTCTAAAAATTGGGCTGCTAGTGCAGGCGTCCTATATTTGATATTTGATTGACATTCCCCATAAAATTGATACCCCTATCCACATTTGTTATCGATGCAGGTTATTCACATTATAAAAACACGCTTATTTGAAAGTCAAGAGTGTATCTAACGCGAGGAAATGATTACACGCCAAGATATATATAAAAACAGCAAAATTAGTTCATGTACCGCATCATCACGAACTCCAGGCAAGTACCCCATCAACGCAAAGTCAAGATCTCATTCGCATCAACCGCGCCTATCTTCCAAGCTCCAAACTCGGAACAATGACAGGACCGTACTTGATTACATTCCCAAATGCCCCCTCTCCCTGTACGAGGAAGTCCACTGCAAGGCTCAGTTTCGGGATCGCACACCCGGCATTTCCAGCTTGCTGTTGAGGATTGCCGGTATACACCGCATTCACAGAATCGGGATCATACCCAACGATTGCAACGTAGTTCCTTCGCCCCATTAGTTTGCGCTGCTCGCGTTGTTGGCCAGCAACGTCCGTTTGGAAAAGTTCCACCATATCTTCCTTCGTGTCGGTAGGCTGCGATGGGGTGGATCTGTGGCCGTTCAGCGGGATATATAGTGGTTTGCTATTTCCGTGTAGCATCTTAAGAATGTAGGAGGGCGGGGGAGCGTTGACAACGGAGGATGAGATGATTTGATACATGGTTTTGTGGTCCGTGGGATGGGAAGGATCATGGACGAGGCCGGCACCACAACAATTGACGGAGCCAGAAAGGAATGTCATGCGGATATTGCGTTGATGAGCAATACCTTGGAGTGTACGGATAAGATATGTCCTCTCGAGATCCTGCATCGATGTTAGGGATACATGGGAATCATGTTAAACATGCAGACTAACCTTTGATTCGTGCGTCCACTGGTCCCTCAACTCATCAAGAAGGTCTATATCTCCAAATGGATTCAAAACACCACCCATTAGGCCGGACTTTCCCACGGCCCTTTTTACCGAATTGAAACCGGAGCCAACAGCTCCCTTGGCGCCTACAACGCCCGCAACAGAGCTTGTCACCTTTCCAAGCATATTGTATGCGCCTGTAACGGCTTTCTTGCCAGTCGCAACCGTTTGCGCCAAATGCTCCGCGGTTTCTAGGCGGGGGTAGATAATAGGCACCGAAACCATCCAGAGACAATGTTGAACGCTTGGGGGAAGCATCGCAACCTTGGGGAAAACACCCTGATATGTAGGCCCAGCCATTACTTGGTGCGGATTTCTCTCGGACCGACAGTCAATACCAACAACAGCAATCGCAGGGCCTAGGTATTTAACAAAATGCCACCCGGTTCCGGTGATTGTGAAGAGATCACTGTCGTCGCTGACGTGCCTTAGGACCTCTACTGTGGTGTGATGCTGGAAAAGTAAGTACATTTCGATGCCAATTCTTCCAATGTTTTTGAACATGTTCGAGAACTGCATATAGTCAGGGTAGGAGCCAAATCCATCAAATCTTGTAACAGTTAGCGGATTGATGTGGAAATAAAGTCAGGGAATATTGAATAGAGAGGTACATACATATCGTGGTCATCCACTTGCAGGACGTGGGGAATTTGGGCGAATGCTTCCCGCAAGTGTGGTTGGTCAAAATGGCTCGTATAATAATGGAAGTAAGCGTGAGTAACGTCCTCTTCCAGTGCAGCTGTCCATGCCGCAGCCTTTCTAGCTTCCTTTCCGCTAATGGCCAGCCATTGTTTAAGCGATGGAAGTTCTTTCCACAGGCGATCGGCGTTTATTTGACCGCCCAATCCCAACTGAGCATGGAAGCCTCCGCATTCAACATGCTTTTGCATGATATCTTTCCACATGTACCCAACACCGCCAACTTTGGCTCGTTCGTTGGCGTTCACACTGATGGAGAAATCATTGCCCGAGGTCGCAATGAAGCGCCAATTCGTTTCATGCCGGCCAGCGACGAGGAACTCGTAACGCGTGCACCCCAGGTGTGAGGTAATGGCATATGTCCACTTTGCAGGAGCAGCATCCTCCATTTGTAAATCGATGTCGTATCTATAAAACGTCCATCGCTGATGTGCTGCGATGCTTACCGGTGACAACTGTCGAGGGTTTGGAGAAAGATCAATGCTTTTGTGGATGTGGATCGTTGGCGGCTGCGCACCATCGGTGACCAAGAGAATGGAACCTAGCCACAATCCCCGCTCCATGTCCATGTTCTTGTAACGTAGATAGGGCCCAAAGTAGACGCCATTCGTTGGCGTAACTTTGTAGAGGTCTATCCCATTTGTTGGCGGAGGACCGGTATAGCCACTATTAAAGCTCATCACGCTAGGTTCATATCCAGGGCTCATTGGCATTCCAGGTGAAGGCAACGGGTGGCCAAAAGCAGAAAACGCAGGGGACGGCATCGGTTTTCCGAATGTAGACAGGCCTGGTGACGATAGACCATGATTACCGAAATTAGCCTGTGAAGGGGAGATGGGCGTATCGTTAAGGTTCAAGGGCGTCGGGCCTTTGGGAAATTCCCATTGCGTGGACTGCGTCGCCAAGTGAATATAATAATATTGGCCAGAATTCGGATCTAAGTGAGCTATCCAGCCTTCCGGCAGCGGCGGAGGTGACGCTGGACCTGGAGTTGGGACCGGTGCCGGGTGGGACTGGAGCTCACCCTGTGGAGGCTGTTGAACCGGCGTACCCGAGATTTGCTGTCGTGGGTCATTGGCGAATGCAGGATGGCCCTGGGCTAAAGGCTGGGAGGTGACAGGGACACCTCCACCGCCTGGTAAAATTGTGCCAGGTGCCTGCTGTCCTGTCTGGCCAGCACCAGGCTTTTCTTGCGGGTACCCTTGAGGAGTGATTCCGGCAAGGCTGGAATATGCTGGAGGCGGAGACGCAGTCATGTTCAATCGTTGGAAGTCATCTTCAAGACCAGTGGGAGGCGGGTTGGCAGGCTGCATTTGATTCCCTATGGGCGGTCGCTGGGTTGGTTGCTGGGGTTGGTGAGGGGCCTGTTGAGGTAATTGCTGAGGATGCATCCCACCAGGAGCCTGTACACCTCCCGTTGCGCCCACGACAGTTGAGCCTTGATACACTTGTGGCGGGCCATGCGGCTGGCTACCTGGTTGCTCTGTTGGAGTCCAAGGCCGTGGATGGGATTGGGATTGTGGCTGCGGTTGGGCATGTGCCTGGCTAGGGGTTGGGTATCTATTAGGCTGTTGTGCAGAATACTGATTCGCCCGCTGTTGAGCTGCAAAGTTATGCGCGTTCAAGTTATTCAAGGTAGAAGTCCCCGCGATTCCAGAAGCTGCATACCGGGCTTCGATATCAGATGCGGGCGGCTGGCCAGGCGGTATAATGGGGGTCTCAGGAGGAGGAGGAGACCCGCGCTGAGCTTTCGTTGTAGACGTAGATGCTGTCGAGCTTAAACGATTAATTGATGCGTTGTGTTCAGGCTGTAGGGTTGAATTGCTCGTCGACGGCCAATATTGCTGATGGAACGCGGGAAACGGGTTCACACTGCCTGAGCCCTTGCGTTGCGACTCAGGCGCTTCCGCGGATGCCGCCTCGCGCTGGGGCGGTCGCTGGAAGAGACCGTCCCGGTCCGGGGGCTCAGGGTTGGGCGATTCTGGAAGCGCTTTTGGAACAGCACCTCTCCTCTCCGCCAACGTTGGCTGGGACTGCTTGGAATCCTGCCGAGGCCGTAATGAGTCGGGAATCTGGCCGCCACCCGGACTAGGTGATGCTGGTGAGCTATGTTCCGTCGAATGAGTCGACGGCGGTCTATTATCAGGATAGGGCGGCCGCGTCGCTGAGGGATTTTGGGTGCGCATTGCTTGGGGACGAGACCGATCGTCTGGGTATGGAAGAGGAGAGACGGACTGCGTACGGCTTGTCGGGTTTGACGCAGCCCGCTGCCCAGGGCCCGTGGCTCTTGACGGCGAAGGGGAGTCTCTTTTGACGATTCGCAAGGGAGAAACGGTCGGGGGTTGGCGGTCGGAGGGCGAGGAGAGAAACATCTCGTCCTCCCCCTTGCCACTGCGGCCATTGGTGGTCATCACGGCAAACCGCGCCGTTTATATGCCCTAATTGGCATACAGTGGCCCCCTTTTATAGAGAAGCCCTGAGAGCAGGAAGCTGGACGGCGTCGTTCTCAGGAGAGCTCTCAACAAGCTGACTGCGGGGCAGCCAGGACAAGCAATATAACGAACCGAACCACACCCTCAAGCGCCAGGTCGAGATGAGCGAGCAGAGCAGGGTAACTGGTTATGGTTCACTCGCACAGTAACGCGAACAAGAAGCAGGCTCCGAGCGAACAGGCTGACGGGATCGCGACACCATGAGATCACCCAGCATGCTGATCTGTCATCGACCAACAGGCCCGGCTGCCAAGGGTCGAGGGTTTGGCGCCTGCACAGCGACGGCATCCTGGCGCTTACACGAAGTCAGTTTAGCCAGCAGCCCCCTTGGAGCGGTGGTGATTGGCCGTTGGGCTGCAAAGGAAGAGCATCTCAGCCACGCTGCGAGGTGATGCCCAGCCGCGACGAGACCAGCAGCAGCGAATCCCGCAACACAGCTCGCCGCCACAGCAGAGACCGCCAGCGCGAAGCCAGCTATGGAAATCTGCTTGGTGTTTTGGAATCACAAGGGCCATGATGCTGGCATCCCAACAACCCATGGTTCATATTCTCCGGGTAACATGGATGATTAACTAGCTAACTACTAGCTATTAATACCTGCATGTTATGTTGCTACAGAACGTCTACCTACAGAGTACCCTCGTGCGCTGATGCATTAGTTAGTCAATTCCCTGAGGACGAAGTACTGCCATTTTTTCAACAACTCTGCTCAGAATTGTTTGGACCTGCCCCGACCGTTCTGCTGCATGCCATGCCGCCACCGTTTCTTTCCACTTAGGCCGACATTGAGTATCCCCCTGTTCACAGAGAGTGGCAAAAGATTCGACCGCTTGGGCGCGTTGAACTCTTGCAGCCTCCACCAAGCCTTCCATGTCACGGAACAGCAGTCGATCAGCTAGGGCTGCAGATGCGTTTTCGCAATCCTTGATAGAATCCGCCGGTAGAGCAGAGAGCCGGTCAAAAAATCCCTTCAGCGCTTTATATAAGGCGCTATGAGTGGAGTTCCCGTCTCGCGTCACTGCCATCTCGATTAGGGAAACGGATTGGGAAATATGTTCGCCTAAAGCTAGGCCATGGTGCAGCGTTAGTGTCCTGTCAAGCCAATTCCTTATCAAATTTCTTACCCGCATACGGTACCGTCGGATCCAGACAGTTCAGTAGGCACTCAACAGACGCAGCGAACGTCTCCGCTTCCGCCCTATCTCATCGTTAGCGTTGAACATAAAGACATTCGTGAACACCCGTAACCTCACTTTGACGATCTACCAGGGGTATCAATATCCATCTTGTCTTCGGACTTATCGGCAATATCTTCCACAACCTCAGTTACCACTCTGATTGCGGCGGGTGCCAGCTCTAAACCGTCAACGAGGGTCGAAAGTTCGCCCAAGCATTTAAAAGCATGCGGCCGATATGCGACATTGTTTCGTTTCGCTTCTCGTATGGCGATCACCTGTCACAGATCTTTAGCCGAATGCTCGAACCGTTTCCCAGCCGCGAGAATTATACTGACCTTCATCTGGCTCTTCACGTCACCTAGTTCTTCTAAACATGACTTCGTGCAAGTTGCAAACTGTACCATAGCCCGCAAGACCTTTTCTTTCCCTTCCCATGATTTCCCAGTCAGTGCCTTTTCTAGACTTGGCCAAACCGCCATTGCTGTAGTTGCATCACACTCTTTATCCAACGATGCCACGACTCTAGCAACACCGAGCGCTGAGGCATGCTTGATCGCCCACTGCGGCGAGTCCAGCTGGGTGGACACCATTTCCAGGATTTCCTTTAGATATAACAATATTACACGAGATCCGCTCACGTTATCATTCCATGCTTTGGCGAAAAACCTTTTCACCTCGCTGTCCGTATCATGCATACCAACAAACAGAAAAGGCAAGAAGGTCGCAGCGACCCTGTTCACCTTATCGTTGGCGAACTTTGACATCGAATTTGAAAGTTCAGCAGCGACCACCCGGTGCGATCTATCTTCCGAACCAAAATATAATTTCTGAGCATACGCAATGGTTTTCAACATTTCGTCGTCGCTTGCTAGCCGCATCATATACCCAATAGCATTGCTATACGACGCACTCACCGTGTCGTTGCGGTCTAGGACGTGTTTTCTCGTAAGTTGAATGAACCGATCCGCGTAGGGCTGGAAGATTATCGTTTTGGAACTTAGAATCACAAGAACTCGGCTGCAGCCGACTTTGGACGGTAGTCCGATTGCGGATCGGAGTACATGCTCTAATTTTGATGCAACCTCTTTCATGCTCTCTTCGTCGAGGGTGTCAAGCAAGTGCAGCTCCACCGACTCCATCATGGGCGAACTGCGGATGGCTGACAATCTCATTTTATCGATTTGCTGCCCGGTGAGTCCGTATTTGTCCGCATTTAGATGTATGTAGTTCACTGCTTGCGGCTCTACAGAGCTCAAAGACGTAAGAAACTTCTCCAAAATGTCCGCAACAAACGGTCGTAACGCTGTTGCGGGACAATTTTTAACAAGAGTAGTCATCATCATGATAGAGTAAGCCTGGACTTCCTGAACGCTAGATTCCATGCCGTTTTGGAGTAAAAACGGAATGATGTGTTGAAGCATCAGTTGAGATTTCTTCGACTGACCCGTCCCTTCTTCGAGCGCCCGTAAAAGGACATTACTGAGTGCCTGACATAGTTTAAAGGCCTCTTCGCGAACAGTCGATTTGATATCATCCAGAACTTTAAAGGCTTTATTTAGGATATCACCGAGGAATTTCTCGTACTTTTCAATAGGTCGGCCCTGGATCAAGTCTGCAATAGCTGCACAGCAGGCTTGTCTAACCCTCCACTCCTTTCCGGCAAGAATATTTGTCAATAAATCTTCCATAATACCATCGAAATTGGAATTAATAGTCAGGTTCGAATCCTTTACTAAAGCATTCCATATATCATTCATGGACCTTTGTACATTAGGATTTGGATCGAACCTATAGCGGTATAACTTGGGGTAGATTTTAGGGTTCTGCGCAAGGTATCCGTTCACGCTTGAATCGGAGAGAACATTGCTAAGACCAAATCGACCAAAAGCCGCGCGACTCGCCCAGACACTGTTGTTCGATGCCAATGACATGAAGCGGTACACAAGACTGGGGTCACCAACTTCTGATGCCAAACCTACAATGTCTTTGTAGGTCGTTACGGACCCGTCCCCCGTAGGTAATGCTCCAGGTTCAAATAACTGGGTATCGACAGAGACCTTTCCACCTCCTAGATTTGAATCCTCAGCAGTGAACGACCGCACTAGATCACGCACCAAATCATTTTTCAATTCCTGGCTCCCCATTTCATAGACAAAGCTCAATCCACGGGAAGCTGTTTCTTGCACCATGTCATCACGATCGGATAACAGCCAAATAAAAGCTGACTGGCATTGTCGTAGGCGGTCTTGGACCTCCTGGCAATGCCCGCAATATTGAACTAGGCTTAGAAGCCATATGGCAGAAGCTCTTTTCAAGGACGGTTTAGACGCTTTGCAGTCGACAAGTATCTTCTCAAGCATATCGCATAAAACATTTGGTGAGATATCAGGCTGCGGTCGTTGCGCGTCTACATCAAACGCGGTAAGTAAGGATTTGGAACCCCAGCCAACAGAAACAACGCTTAGCGCTTCTCCAACCGTAAGCTGCACCTCGAGACCACGAATCTCGTGCAAATCATACATTGATTTCAAAAGTCGGTCGAACAGGCTAGACGAATCCTCCGCCTCTTTTGGAAATGTTAAAGATAGATGGCCCAAAGCCAATATCGCTGGTTCCTTTCCTTTTTTCGCTTCCTCAACAACATTTTCCAGTAACTTCTCCAGACCAACGGTTTCAGTTAGAAACTCAGGCACCAGAAGTCCACCCAGGCTCATTTGGCCCAAGCATGACACTGCTGTATCGCGAAGAGTTGAATCCCTTGAATGCTCAAGAATCTCAAACAGAATCTCATTAAGCTGTTGTGTAGGAGGGACTGGAATGTCTTGTTTGAGTCCACGATATGATAAACGAGTTAAAAGGTAAACCAGCATTAGGATTGTTCCGCGGACTTTATGCACAGCCTGACCCACGGCGTTCCGCCAGGACAGAGCGGCGGTCATAAGCTGGTCGATGGATCTCTGCCGGGCTTCTCCCGTCCAGCTTGGGAGGGATTGCATTATTCCAAACCCACGTGCCATCAAGTCTTGGTCACTAGGTCGAGCGGCTTCAACATTAGCAACAACCCCAAATGGAGCCAGAGAGTCTAAGATAGCGGTGGATGTAAGAGAAGAGATTTCCACGAAATGTTCGACTGTTCTGCCAAGGGGTTTCTGCATATTAAGCATTTGTCCCCTCATACAAACGATCAAAAACTGCTTGACTAGTTCGGGCTGTAAGTGCTGAAGGTATTTTCGCACCGCCTCGCGTGCGGATTCATTCCCTGATATCATGGTATCTAGTTGTTCTTCCCAATGTGGTTGCGCGGTGTCAACCACGAGCCCAGAGAATGAAAATGCTTCGCAGAGTAAAACGTTCCGAAGGAATGTTACCACCGTAGGATATGCATTGCGGAGATTCTTAAGCTTGGGTTTTGCAGAGCTAGCAGACCCGAATCCTGAATCCATCAGCTCCGAGAATTTTGGAAATTGATAGAAACTATCTGAATCGGCCATCGCTGATGGCGCCGTGGGATTAACAACGTCCGGCGGATTGAGGACGCGGTACCAATATGGGCTAAGGCCCTTTCTTCCTTCCTCTACGAGCTTAAGGTCTTGGTCCGCTTCGATGGCGATAATATTGATCCAGCGGCCGTTGATATCGCTAAACGGCAGACATCGATTTGCAAAACGAAGTGCTGCATATTTTGGAGTCCTCTGAATTTTGAATTCGGTCCGATAATCTGTCTCACCGGGATTTGCAAGCATGTAGTGTAGCAGAAGCTTCCGAAGCCGGTTTATTATAGGGTCTCCCAATCTTCGTGTGGCCGAGTTCATTATATTACCCAATGCTTGGTCAATACTAACGGATATCTCATTACTCGATGTATCTGAGCTGAGAGCGGCGAAGAGCCACTTGATGAGCTCATAGCTGGTATTTCCACCTTCGTCAGAAGCATGATCGATTTTTGAAGCCAGACTACCGATAGTCTCGTAAGTAAGGCTCCTGAGCTTTTGCTCAGCGGAGTTACCTTTGCTTCGGAGGGCAGGCCAGCCTAGAACCTCGATAGTGTGTCTCAAGCGCCGAATGATCCTTGGTGCCAAAACTGTAGCCGATGGGCTGACTCGAGCGATCCATGCAGCGAAATGGAGCAGCTGAGTGCGAAGTTTAAAGCCCTCCAGCCCTGATCGCGACGTGACTACTAGTGTATAGATCTCATTTTTAAAAATCCTGTTAATACGGTCGGTTTCTGCAGCGGCTGCAGCCGATTTGCACAAAACACTAAGTATTTTGATCTGTAGAGCTGGGCGGATTATAGTGATGGTTTCCGGCTCAGTGACTCTTTCGTATATGTCATAGATGCGGTCCAGAAGTGTTCTATCTTCGAGGTCCGGCTGGCATCGCTTAAGGATATCATCACCAATCGTAGAAATGTTTCGATTTGAATCAGCACTCGCGATTAGAGCTGGGATAAACCGCTCATTCTCGATGAATGCTCCGCTTCGGAGAAAACCGAGGGCGGCGACTTTTTGTGTCAGCCAGGGTTGAGACCCCCAGGCGTTGAAGAGTTTCCATGTTTCGTCGAAGGGAGCATTTCTTGATCAAGAAATTATATTCCTTCTTCCGAGAGGCAAGAGCAAGTGCTGTCCGTTTACCTGCGGGGGATCAGGCAACATGAGATTCCCAATCCCAATGGTGATAAAAAGCGGGCGTCCTCGTCCGAGAGTCCTAGGTCCTGGCGAAATGACAGGTCCTGTTCGCTGCCCTTGACAGGAAGCTTCAAGGCTGATAAGCACTTCAGAATGAGATTAAAAGCACGAGCGGCGTCTGCAAGATCGCTTTGGAGCCGTGAGACACCGCGCACCAACTCGGGGAAGACTTCTGCCCGCTGAACTGGGCTTAGGCGATCTAACGCCAGTTTAATGTAATGTAAATCGTAATGTTTCACAATCGGAGCCTGTACATCTTTAAACTGCTTCAGCAGGGCTGGGAGAGGGAGGTCAATTGTAAGAGGCTGGATACGCGTGTCGATATGATAACAGAGCTCGAGGATTTTATTGCGCACGGCAACATGTTCAGATGCTAGCTTCAAAAGCAATGGAGCCAGATACTTTTGCAGCAGAGACTGGAGCTTCTCGTCCGAGTCTGCCAAAGCAATTCGAAACTCGACGTTTGAGATCAAAGAGAGCTCGCGAGCTTCGGTGCTGGCCGGCTGGTCAGGCATCGTTGCTGCGTTGCTGCGTTGCAATGAATGAAGCCAGAGAGAAAGCTTTGCTTAGCAGAATGTAATGGAGAGTAGGAAGTTCACATTTGAAAAAGAGAAGAACTGATGTTCACTAGTTATATCAATTGAATGGGATCATGGTTGCCACTCTCCAGGCAGAGTTGATTGCGTGCACTCCTTTGACGTTGAGTTTTGATGTCAGGGTGACTAAACACAGTTGAACTTCACGGAAGCTTGTTTAGTTACAACTCTGTATAAATAGAGTGATGCACTTTTAAGAATCACCGCAAGAGTGCCAACCTACTTAATATGCACTTGATATTAGACATGGCTATCTTTTGTGCTATATTTTTTAGCCTTTCTATCTCATCATGGAGTACTAATAACTAGAATATGATATGGCAACTGGTTGGTTACTGTACACCGCTGTCTATATCCTGCACAAATAGGACAAAAGCCTGGTCATTTTAAATGGAGAATAAACAAAGGCTTGAGGTCGCTTAAACGCTATCAAAAAGGAACTTATTCACAAAACAGAGTGTGGCCAGTTGATCCAAGATGGAGGTCTATCCAAAAAATTTACTGATGACCGGCAAGGGCGTGCTATCCTGGTCTTCCAATCCATTGGCACACGGATGAACACCAAGCGGCTACACACATTCAATCCTTCAAATGATCGGCTGCTAAAAATCCACGGGTCTCTGCTCCTTGGACCTTTCCTGGTAGTAAGGGCCATCCCCTTGGGCGTCCATGCTGTAGCCATTCGTACCCGCCCAGTCTGCCGGAGCGCCACTTGTGACAACTGGTCCCCTATATCGATTTGCCATGTCGCCCATGGAATCAGTGGTGAGCGGCTGTTCGTAGGATACCTCTGGTTGGCCTTCTTGGGTCGCAGGGTAAGACACCGATGTCATTTCTGGAATGCGATGGCCCTGGGGAACGTGCCATCGCGTACGGATCGACGGCAGAAGGTCGATAACAAAGGAGAGCACGTAGAATGTAAAGATAAACGCAATGACTAGGGTAGTAATAAGTTATGAGGGTATAAGCAGAGCACAGATAGTGGTAACATACCCCATTCAATAACGGCTGCTTGGTCTTTCCTGCCTCTGCCCCGGCCTGTGACACCAAACGCAATGGCGAGGGCCAATTCAACGATGATGAACGTAAGCTTAACCCAGAAGCTAACCGTGAGGATCCGGTGCTCGCGATAGTGAATCCCGAGACGTAAGTATTCGAGGCACACAAATACAGCACTCAGTAGGTACCCGCCACTGCCGAATGTCACTGGATCAGCCTTTCCTGCTTTTGCCTTCCGTTGATTGAAACCTACATGAATAAGACGAGGAAGCCGTTATGTTGGTGATTGTATCGTAATGTGTCAAAGATTGAAAGGAGAATCAGTCCCACTGCTCCACAAATTGAGAAGACAATGGCGAGGATCGACATCCATTTGTCTAGTCTTCCTTTATTTCGTAACAGCCGTCCATTGTGTCGTAGCCAACGCTCTGATACGAAGCCGAGGTCGAAGAATACACCAGTGATTGCACACCCGGTTATGAATAGCGGCTTCAGCCCCTGGGCGGCAACATCAGAGATATAGCTGGATAGCCGTTAAATAGGATTCCCGACTGCGGTGCGCAGGGCAAACATACGCGATCTTTTGATTCGGCTCCATACTCGCATACCTGGGGTATCCGTCCGCTGACCACACAATTAGGAGAGTTAAAATTGTGGCTAGATCAATTCACCAACTATCAGTTAGCATTTCTCGTAAGGAAAGCGAATATTTCCGTGTACGCACCAAGCCACATCCCGGCTGCTATCACCGGAAACAGCCAGTATGATATCAACCACATTTTAGGTAGGTTAATGCGAATATGTGAAGAGTTTCGAGGATGTTGGACTCAGGCTGCCAGCTGTAATTGAGTAGCAGTAATTAAGGCTATCTAGAGCCCTTTCTAGGAGCGGAAGCCCGGCGCCTATAGTGATAATGAAGTAGTGATCACTGCCCAGGGTATTCTATAGCCGCAAAAGTTAGCACCGGGCCCGCAACCACAATTGTCTCTGTTGAGGCAGGGAGAAGTGGTAACTAATAAGGCGTTTCCACCGCACCACAGCTAGAACTTGGTTTCACAAGAGCTCGAACCTGAGGGAACCCAACACTGTATTTAACCTTCTTGACCTTGGAAATATCGTCCAGGCCAGAAGCTCCATCCAAAACGAACGTGGCAAAGGCGTTAGGCTGGTCGATGAAGGACGGGATGATCCTACACCTCGGACGCGGAGAGGAAGAGAGAGATTAATAAAAATAACAAGAGAGCGGTCCTCGAGAACCACACCAGCTGGGCCTCTATTTAACAACAGGCGTAGAATGCGCAAGGTGAATAGCCCATAGCTAAGTTATCAGCTGGCATCAAGAAACGTCAGGAACCATGGATGAGCCCCGGTCGACGTCATCAGTCGCGAGGCAGAGCTGCGCGTTCTTAGTAATCGGAGCATCAAGCACATGAGCTTTGGCATCTTGTCCCGCCGTTCTTTATTATTCTTTGGATAATGAGATGATAATATTCATTGGAGGTGCCTGTCAGCCTGTGTGGTATTTTTTAGACGGGACGTCAGTGGCGCCCAAATGCCTCCATCGTTTTGGTGCAGGATCAGCCACCCGCAAGGCTAAGATTCTGAGGAGCTTATCGGCTCGCCAGTAAGTCACTTCCCATAGCATTTTCTGCCAGTTGAACAATAGCAACTATTGTACTCCGTACTCCATACATATATAACTCTGGAATTTCACACGATCTAAGAAATGATGGCTTTCAAAATGATACTAAAAGGTTAATCAGAGAAAATAGTTGGTAATTAATACTGGCTGGAGGATGAAGCGAAAAACAAGAACCGAGAAAGAAACATGAAGCAAGCCGGCCAGTGTCTAGACAGGAAGAGAGCACAGCAAAACGTGATTCCATAGTCTATTGTTTCCCCGATAGAACTCCCGCGGATATCACCCAAATAATAAAAAAGAAGTTGACTAAAGGCACTAATGGGGTTGAAAGAGCAAGTTGGTCCAGGCTGTTCTTCATTTGCGAGTTCGCCTGCCACGAGTGGATTTTTTTCCATTGGTCGCGCCGTTTACCTTACGACCGTTGGTTGCGGGTGTCGCCTTGGGGGTTTCCACTTGCACGCCGTTGTCGCTACTACTCGCGTTGCTACTGCTGCTAACATGTCGGACGGAGTTGGTGGCAGGCGCTGGCTGTATGGTAGCATCCGTAGATGAAGTGTTGTCAGCGTAGGAGCCGCGTGATGCAGGTCGATATACTGCCTGGTACATGGCATCGGGCGCAGTCGATAAGTTATATCGGGGACTGGGAGGGACCGAATACCGCGGGTCAAAGCCTATTATCTGTGCTGGCACGTATGATGCGTAGGCGGGATGTGGCAGAGGAATAGCGTTTGATGAGGCCCTCGAACGGGGTGCCCATTGTGGATCGTCTGGAAGCGGCCGCGAGAGGGGTTGCACCCTTCCTGTTGACGGGGGATGACTCGAGGGATCATCCTGAAAATGATAGGCACCCGGTATTCGAGGCGGTGTGTTCGGCTGTTGCATGCGTAGCGTTTGCACGGAGGGCGTCCTGGGACGGGCCTGGGGAGCCTGCAGAGGAGAGTTGTAGTATCCAGGAGCCGTTTCGGCGGCGGACGAGTAAGCTGCCTCGGGAGGCCACTTTGTATTTATGATTTTACCTCTCATTCGGCTAGGTTTACCTCGCTGCGAACCGTTTGACATCTCGCCCTGCATTCGCCGCCGCTCCAACGCCTCAAGTTCACGCTGCGAAAGTTTCACTTTCGATTTGCCCAGGATTTGCGCGCGTCTGATTCGTTCTAGAGCCCTGTCCACAAGGCGATCTTCCTTGTCTTTCAGGGCAAGCTGGATGGCATATGCAACCGTACTGTCCTGGTACGCTTCATCCCAACGCATATTCGCCATGTTCGTCGTCTGAAATTTCTTCGTCGCTTTCGATTAGTTGTTCGTTGATTAAATCTGCTGGCCCGGCTGATCGGAGCTCACGGGCCATCCTTGAATCTAGGGGCACACCCTCCTCACCGTCGCTATACTCATCACTGTCTAATTCTTCCACGCGCAGCTCGTTCCACCGTTTCTTCCCACCCTGTTTGCTCCTCCCCATTCGTGCCCCTGGTGGTCTTCCCCATTGGGGCATATCATAAGGAGTTCGCGGCCGACCACCTAGACCGCCTCCTCGGAAAAAGCATTCTCGATTGGTTTGTCCATGAACGCAGCATGGCCCAGAACGGTAACCCCGGTAGCACCAATCAGCCACAGGGCCGCGCCGAGGGGTGACGCCCAGAGCCCAAGAGGCACCGCGACGATCAGGAGGCCGGTATAGAGCTGGGAGGTCGTTGCCCTGAAGACACCGACATCCAAGTCCCGGCCTTCCAGCTTGCCAATCCCGTACGTGCCGCCGATGACGAGGAGGATGACGAACAGGAGGAGCAGATTTGTGAGCAAGCTATAGATTGAGAGCATGATAAACACAACGATGTAGTTGCTGGAGAAGTAGCTGAGGTTGTAGTTTAAGCGACTTTGCATTTCGCCGAAATTGGCGGGCTTCGAGATTCTCTTGACATCGAGAAATTCAGAGACCGGCTTCAAGTTGGCAAAGCGGGAGGAGAAGGATTGGGCCCGAACCGCACTGAACCGATCACCGAAGCTGAAGCGCGATGTCAGGGCGTCGAGCGGTATCTGGAGAGAAGGCATGATGGCGATACGTTGACTGGAAGCAGGCCGCAACCGAAGCTGAGGGTTTAAGTCTATCGAGGGATAATATAACTGTTTCCAGATTGCACACCAGTTGTCAGTTAAAACAAATCGAGAGGACGGGCCATGGCGATGGGCCTGCCTTGACAAGCCGTTTGTGCACGATGCAAGCGTTAACTGGAGGTGGCAGACTGACCTTCTCTTAAATGCAGGCAGTCGACGATGGGAATCTGTCGAATTGAAGAGCAAGAGCCCGTCGGGGGGAGTTGAAGTGAATAATCGTAAATTTCGCTCTGGCTCCTAATTAATTCCACTGGCCGCCGGGGGGACAAGTTTACTCGTTAGCAATTCGCTTTCCCTGCCGCCTGGCGCTATGACCGCATTGGGCTTAGCGCTGGTGGTCCCTGAGCAAACCACCAGTCTAAATGCTTATGTAATACAGGCGGTAGAAGTGAAGAGCATCAGGCTGTCGAGGGGAATTTGGGGGAGAAGGATCGAGGAGAGTGAAGATCGGGGTCAATTGGGTCTGTCCGCGAGAGTAGATGCCGCGTTCACTGGAGGAATGTCTGGTAAAGGGGAGACGTCCAGGGGATGGTCCCCTCGCCTTACGGTACCTCCATCTTGGGCGGTTGTTGCCAGAGAGCAAATGTATGTAGAACACCAGAAGACGACGATTGATGGAGGAGAGAGAGAAGATGGGAACGGAGAAGGTGTTTTAAGCGGGGTAACTTAACCTGGACTACGAGCAACGCACATTGAGGGCCACTCAAGGGCCAGAACCGACGCCCTGTTCGCTGGCTGGCGGTTCTGCATGCAGTTTCCTGGAGCCCCGGCTGTAGCCCGATGGATGAATCATCAAGTGCCAGACAAGGCGTTTTATCCTGAGGCAGCATCGTCTGCTCGTTTGTTTCTATCGTTCTGCACCTCGTTTTCCTGCAGCCAAACGATCCCAGCCGGCTCCATTGGGCTGTCGATCCAGGGGTCGTGATTGGACCACGTTGTGGTAAGTTACCCTTTCCAGGCGTGAGTTTTGCGTCTTTCGTCTCCGAACCGTTGCAACGTGTGGCTTTCTTTTTTGTCTACAGTAGTTATTTGATCCCTTGAATTTGATCCGGTCACCGTGAACCGCGCTCCTCCCCACCCGGCCCAAAATGAGGCAGACTGCCTTATTTCGAGTCCTTGTCCTGCTCGCCGGTTTCGTTGTCTTTGCTGCGGCGTGGACAAAAGAAGGTCGGTCCTTTGTGCGTGGGTGACGGGCCAGACCAATTGCTGACAATCCTGGTGGAGTAATCAGACCATGAAATATTTCGTCTTCGCGAGGAGATTATCGCAACTGAAGGCGCCAATGTGACTTTCTACGGTATGCAGTCAACTCTTCCCATCTCGAGAAAGGACCGCCCCAGAATCTCACTCCTTGCCAGATTTCTTGGGCGTGAAGCCAAATGTCAACCAGGTCGATTTGAACAAGGCCTTCCGCAAAAAGTCCAAGCAGATCCACCCCGACAAGGCGAAGCGTTCCTTTGTCGCCTCCCGCGCCAAACCACCTCGAACTGCCTCTGGCAAGAAAAAACCCGGCGTCCATGTTGCCAAGCCCCCGTCCGAGCGGGAAATCCAGCACGTCGTCAAACAGGCCACCGAACGGTATGCCCGCCTGGGGATAGTCCATGATATTCTCAAAGGCCCAGGCAGAGATCGATATGACCACTTTCTGAGCAATGGCTTCCCGAAATGGAAGGGAACGGGATACTATTATTCGCGATTCCGTCCCGGGCTGGGCTCTGTTTTGATCGGCCTCTTCCTTGCTTTTGGCGGCGCCGGCCATTACTTTGCCCTCGTTCTCGGCTGGAAAAGACAGGTGGAGTTTGTGGACCGATATATCCGCCATGCCCGCCGGGCCGCTTGGGGTGACGAGCTGGGGATAAAGGGCATAGGGAATTTGAATAGCTACGAAGATAGGGTCGCAGATGCCGCCCCCGCTGACAGTGGAGAGGAGCCCGCCGTGCTGAACCGCCGGCAGAAGAGGATGATGGAGAAGGAGAATCGCAAGGACAGTAAAAAGGCGAAGCGGGAGGGCTCTTCCGGTACCGCCACGCCAACCGGCGTTGTTACTTCGGTGGGTGATCGGAAGCGAGTCGTCGCTGAAAACGGCAAGGTGCTCATCGTTGACGCCACCGGAAATGTGTTTCTCGAGGAAGAAGCCGAAGACGGAACGAAGGAGGAGTTCCTCCTTGACGTCAATGAAATTCACCGGCCCACGATTCGCGACACAATGGCATATAGGCTTCCGAGCCTGCTGTACCACAAGCTTCTAGGACGATTCACGGGCGCGAATTCGTCCGAGGCACCCGAGACCGCCGACGAAGTCGCTCTCTCTCCCGAACCAGAGACCGAAATCGCCCATATCCCGGAAATATCCTCGAAAAGGGCAGGAAAGAAGAGAGGGAAGAAGGCTTGACAGAATCGAAGAACAAGATGTACCAAGATGTGTATATTACTCTTATAGATTTTCACAAAATGTTTTCATTCAGTTGGCACATTGGTACGCTGTATCCGTGCATGGGGAGCCTTCACTACTTGAACGACTTCTCAAGACAGTGTTGAATTCCACATTTATTGGGGATTTGCTAGGTGCTCTATCAGGTATCGGTGCAGCTTCAATTGGGCATGCATGCATATCAACACAGGGTAGCATTGGAAACTGAAATAGACACTATGACTACCAGCGAAGGGGCACGGGATATAAAAATTAAATAAAAGGCACAACATGTTTCCAGCTGGCCAGCTCTATCGGTATCCGTGAGGATATAACCCGGGCGGGGTCGCAAAAACTATCGTCAATTCGTCCATCATCGCGGCGTCAGAGCATCAACCATGAGTCGGGTATCTCGCCGTTCGACCATCCCCGCCAAATCGCCTCTGGGACAATAAAACCTCCCTTCCTTGCCGTTCCCAAGTCCCACCGAATAACCCACAAAAGAACTGAAAGAGAACAGGGCAACGAAACAAGAAAAAAGCAAATGAGAATTTTACAAAAACATTTTCGCAACCGACATCAACCCTTGAACGCTTTCCCCGATTCCGCCGCTGTCGAAGCCGCCGCCTCCACTCCCCCCGCCTCTCGAGCTTCCACCCATCAGGCTCTTCGGGACCCGAATCCCCACCGCGCCCAATAGCTTCTGCAGCACACCCCCTGTGATCAACGGCATGATGACCATGAAAAAGACCTTCATCGGATGCTTCTTTGCATAGTGCACGATATGTCTGAACAGCCGCTTGATTTTATGCACGATGCGCGCGATGAAGCCCGACCGCGGCTTTGCGCGGCGGGACGACGAGCCGGAAGAATGGACCGAAGAGGCCGTGGAGCGGTTGGCATAGCTACCCAGGCTGAAAATGGAGGGTGCGCGGGTGGAGTGGCGCGAAGAGTGGTGATGCGTGCTGTGGCGGTCTTTGGAGCGACGGCGGCGGTGGGAGCTGCTGCTCGCGAAGGGGTAGAGCCAGCTCATTGTCGGTTTCGGGCGTGAAGTGTCTTGTCTCGTGGCGGCCGGACGATACCAGGGGGCGTGGGGAAGCCGGTGTGGGAATCTGGTCGCAAGCGGATTGTTGTTCTGCAGCAGGTCTATTGTTGCTGCAGCAGAGGCCAACGAATGCTCTCAATTGCGACTATCGCAGCGAGACAGTCCCTGATGCAGCCCCAGGTGAGCATCAACGGCTGTCATGCAAAAGAGCGGTGGCTGGGGGGCGCCGAACCACGGGGGCAGCTGTGGGTCTTCCCGCTGAACCGGGTGCTCTTATTGGCCAAACCTTTGGAGCTGGGGCCAAGAATCTAGGTGCTTGGCAAAAGCTCGCCGTTGAAGCCAGCCTGCCAGGCATCGAGGATTGACTGTTCGGACGAGTTTGACTGCAGCTTGAAGGAGCCTACTTTACGGCGTAGAGACAATGGGCTGGAATGCTCAATGACTGATACGCTCAGCATCCGGGCTATATAGATGCATAAATAACCTTCATGAGGGGCTTGCTATTTCCTAGTTGCTCCTTGATGCTGCGGTCTCCCCTGGATGCTTCTCCTGTGAGCATAGGGCTCAAGTTTACTGTCTCAGTGTGTGTCTGGCTGAAGTTTGGAGAGAATTGAAAAGGGGCTGTTTCACGTGATGGCCATATGCCGACCTTAGCGTTAACTAGGGAGTTAAACTAGCTTTTAGTGATTGGAACAACGTCATCGTTTGGCCAGTCATGCCATGTGGGCAAAATGTATCAGGCACGGATGGCCCTCCTAAAAGGCCACCATCCTTTCTTTCCACCCAGAAAAATTTGCAAATATCGAAAAGACTAACCATACAGATAGTTCTCCAAGTGTAGCAGGCTGAAAAGGAAAGAAATATAGTTGCTGTGAATAAAGCAAAATGGCTGGTGTGTGCCCAGATGCCCCAGGCAATGTTCGCTTTTGACGCTGTTTTCCATGCTCATATGCTAATCAATCTCTCCTTTCTAGACTCGGTGGACTATTGTATGTCTGAACACCCCCTTCATTTATCGGACTTGCCTATTAACATCAAATTTCTAGACAAGGTTTTGGAAGTAGACCCCTCTGCAACCCAACAGCAAATCCGCGATGCCTATAAACGGTGAGACCAAATCATATCTTCGACCTCGCCTTTTTAAATCGCTGATATCCTTTTTGTTTGCGCTGTAGCGCCGCCCTTAAACACCACCCTGACCGCGTCCCCGCAGGCTCTCCCGAGCGAGCCACGCGCACGAAGAGATTCCAGCAGGTAAACGATGCCTATTACATTCTTTCAGATCCCCGGAGACGCCGCGAGTACGACGACGCACGCCGCACCTCGTCCTCTGCAAGAGTCATCGTGGAACCAATGCACACCCTCCCCCACAGTCCGAGTCGTTTTCGTCCGACCAGTTCGGATCCATGTTCGAAGAGATGCTTCGCGAGGAGAGCATGGCAGCGGACGCGGCGGAGGCTGCGGGAGGTTACTTCTGGTCTGTTCTGGGAGGCTTAAGCGGTGGTGCCATTGGGTTCATCGTTGCGAATTTCCCGGGGGCAGTAGCCGGAGCGGTGGCGGGGAACAGGCTTGGTGCCGTGAGGGACAAAAAGGGCAAGAGCGTGTACCAGGTTTTCCAGGAGTTGCCGCAAGAAGATAAGGCGAAATTGCTGAGTCGGTTGGCGGCACGGGTCCTGCAGTCAGCGGTATCCTAATGATATGCGCTTGCAGGGGCGTACTGCGGGCGTTCGCGAGGGCGTTGGTTTCGAGATTTCATGGGGTCCCAAGTTCTGAGTTAATTGATCATGCAACTTGCTTTTTTTTCATCAACTCCGTATCGGCAGAACGATTTCGCTGGTCAGGATCGAGTTATGTAGAGTGTCCTTTCTCACCCTTACTGATGATAATGAGTCCTGGAGCACACCATATTGATGTCGACTGAGCTTGGCTGTGAAATAAGATAGAAGCTGCACCAGGTAGAGTAAGGCAGTGTTTTCCCTAGTGCCTTTCTCAGAGCTAATGCTATGACAAGGAGACGTTGAAGATTCTGAATGGATGGTCCGAAAACAGCTCCATGACCAAGCAGTCTGTTGAGATGAGCCCAGGAGCCGCAGCTTGTAACCAGACACAGTCCAGCTTCCGGAGTCATGCTGTCACTCCTACCTCCACCTCCGCCTGGAATGTCAGCCTACCAGATGTTCCTCGAGCGTCTCGTTCAGGTAGGGACTGGCACTTCATTCTGTTGTTACGGTTCGCGAGTCCGTTAATCCAAACGTGGCTGGCTATCCCACATTGGACGCCGACCACTGTTGATATCGTCGGCTAATTACCTGAGAATTAAGCACTGACAATACCATCCTGGCGTGTTGGCAGGATTAATCAACGAGGCACCTTCAGGGAACGCCCGGGAAACTCGCAAGCCGCACCTAGAATGACAGCAATGGATCACGGAAGTGATCTGCCGCGGCTTTTTTCTTTTCCACAGTAATAGCAGGATTTCCTGGCCTCACTTCTTCTGCTAAAGCATAGATAAATCAACGGGCTGTTATTATAGTGTTTCACAGTCATAGCGAAGCCTTCAACTGGAAATTGGGGCTATCAACAGCAAAATTCATCTTGACCTTCATCCCTTCATGGGGGTGGTTTCTCGATGGGACGGGAATATTCAACTCCGTGTGATGAAGCAAAACTCCCAAGTCTCTTCTTTCGTGCCTGAGACTTCCGTATGTTGATGCTCGGCGCGTGACTGTCAAGCCCTGCCGGTAAAAAAGACGCTTCATTCCCGATCCCGGTACGGGGTAATGACATAATTCGCAGCTCATCGGGATCGCAAAGTGCAGAGTCCCGGCTCTGTTTCGCACACAAGCGTCGATCGTGGCACGGAGATCGGGATGTTAGAGCTGCCGGGGCTAGGGTTAGGATGCACCAGTCGCCCAATGCGGTAAGCTGCCCGAGAGCTTAAGCAGAGATGGTTTGGGCTGGTGTTTTCGCTGATATTCCTTCCCGACCACATGTTGCTTTTCCTTGCCGTCTTCATCACTGCGTTTATTGGAAGCCAAGACTTGGTGGTGGCACAGGGCTTGTGACAATTGTTGAGATTTGCAAGGAAACTTCCAGACAGCGTTGCTTGCTGTCGACGGTCTCCCGCCTGAGTTGAAGCGCCATCATCTCACAAACCAGAGTCGCCCCGAGGCATTATGAATTCACATAGCACTCGTCTACAGAGAATATCCACGGAATTCTTATGATAATTAACTAATGTGCCTGCCCCTGGCAATGAGACTGGCAGATTAAAGCTTCACGCCCTACTCCGTCAGGGTCCAGCATTAACTAACTCCTTCGCGGTCGTTTTCAAAACACGAGCAAGGAGGCTTCAAAAGGGTCAAGTGGCTTTTTTTCTGCAACTGAGGCTTGCTCGGAAACAAATTTCTCTTCGCTTTCCGGATTTTTTTCTTTTCTTCTCCCGGTTCCATTCGTAAAGTCTCACTTGTTTTCTGTCTCAAATATTTAATATTTAATACCAACCACTGCTTCCTTGCTGTTAGGATCGTTGCTGCCTCGAGAGCTATCGCTGCTGAGAGACGGGAGAGCGCGTCACCTCGCGTTCTTCAAGCCACCATTTTCAACACTTCTCCAGTGCTAGTTGTTTGTTTCTCACTTTTTATCAATGTAAGGAAACCACCCAATGCTCGTCTGACTCCGTTCCTGTCTGATCAACTAGCGTACTGCCTCTGGTCAATATGAGCTCGTGGACCAACAGATTCCGTAAGAAGTCGGAAGAGGTCGAGTCGAAAGAGCATGGGTCTGTCACCACCACGATCGTGCCCAGCGAGAACCCATCCTTTGCGGTATCTCAACCAGAAAAGGAAAAGGCCCCAATGGAGGGGAATGGGGAGGCTTCTTCGACACCACGAGAATCAGAACATCCCACGACAGAAGAGACTAAAGATGACCAAGCGAACGGTGTCGAAAGCGAAGATGAAGCACAGCCGGATTATATTTCGGGAATACCTTTGTTGATCATTATAGTCGGATTGTGTCTTGCCGTGCTACTCGTCGCGCTTGTAAGAGAGCTTGGAACCTCCTCAGATTATTGAATAGCCTTGACTGATTGCTGCGCGCTAGGATAATACGATCATCGCGACAGCCATTCCAAGAATCACTGATGATTTTAGAGCTCTTGACGATGTCGGCTGGTATGGTAGCTCATACCTCCTCACGACGTGCTCTTTTCAATTGATATTCGGAAAAATATACACCTTCTTCCCTGTGAAATGGGTGTTTTTGACGGCCATCTTTGTCTTCGAGATTGGCTCTGTCGTGTGTGGAGCAGCTCCAAACTCTGAGGCTCTCATCATTGGTCGTGCTGTTGCCGGTATGGGCTCAGCAGGCATTTTCTCTGGTGCCTTGGTAATCGTTGCTTATACGGTTCCCCTGGAAAAACGTCCCATCTGTAGGTCCCCAAAACTTCCTGTCTCGTCTTGGAACTCCTATTAACGGCTCCTCTCTCGAATTGTCAGATAACGGCATATTCGGCTCCATGTATGGCATTGCATCCGTTGTGGGCCCCCTAATGGGAGGTGCTTTCACAGACCATGTCTCCTGGAGATGGTGTTTTTATATCAACCTCCCGATCGGTGCCGTGACTATCTTAGCTATCCTGGTCTTCCTCAAGCCCCCAAAGCAAAAGCTTAAGACCTTGAGCTGGAAAGCGCGTCTACTACAATTGGATCCGGTTGGCACCTCAGCATTTATGCCTGGTGTTGTCTGCCTCCTCTTGGCCCTTCAGTGGGGTGGGACCAAATACCCTTGGGGTAACTGGCGCATCATCATCCTTTTCATCTTTTTCGGCCTTTTGATCAGTTTATTCATTGGAATCCAATTTTACCTAGGCGACGGGGCGACGGTCCCTCCGCGCATTCTCAAACAGCGAAGTATTGCCTCGGCTACCTTTTTTGCCTTTACGCTGGGCGCATCTTTTTTCATTATTGTGTTCTATCTCCCTATTTGGTTTCAAGCGATTAAAGGGTCTTCGGCCACGAAGTCGGGGATCATGGCCATTCCACTGGTCTTGGCTCTGGTTGTCTTCTCCCTACTTGGCGGAATCGTCATCACCGTCCTCGGATATTATACTCAATTCGCGTATATGTCCGTCATCTTGTCCGCAGTCGGCGCTGCTATGCTTACAACCTTTGCCACCAACACTGGCCATCAGCAATGGATTGGTTATCAGGTCATTTATGGGACGGGGCTTGGATTGGGATTCCAGTTGCCCCTGATGGCAGCTCAAACCGTGCTAAAACTCGAGGATGTGGCAGTCGGAACCGTGTTGGTCATGTTTGCGCAGACGTTTGGCGGAGCTTTGTTTGTATCCGTTGGGCAAAATGTATTCGTCAACCGTCTTATGAACGGGATTCGGGAGGCGGCACCAGAGATTGACCCGTCGATCGTGCTGCGCGTTGGCGCCACCCAGCTTAAAGCGCAAGTTCCGCCGGATCTATTGGACAACATCCAGTCGGCATACAACATAGCTCTCACCAACACTTGGTACGTCTCTGTTGCCATGTCCTCGCTGGGTATCATCGGCGCCCTGGGCTTGGAATGGAAGAGCGTCAAGGGAAAGAATATTCAGGCAGCTGCGGTTTAAAAGTGCTATTTGATTTTCCTATTCTCACTTACATTGCACATATTATCCCCACTCTATTTTAGCCGTTTTAATGTATCTCCCTGGGTTTGTTATGTCAGTTCCAGAGCATGGCGCCGGATGCATGATCTTATGTACAATTTACAATTCTTTTGCACGGTCTTGTGGCATTTGCTTTCTTTACCCTTTGAATTAGCTTGAGAATCCATTCAAGGCGAATGTATTAACTAGTTAGACCACTTGGGGGGTGTCCTTTGGGCAAAGTACTTTAGATCATATTCATAAATAGCTATTATACAAGGAAATGCAGATAAGAGATTTTTTAATATACTCCATAGACTCACTCTTCGACACCAGAGTTGAAAATCTCGACGACCAAGCACTGGGCCAGCCCCTGAACCAGGCCCCTTTGACCGCTGTTCGGCCCCACTCGCAGCCACCTCACTGCCGCTTGCGTGTTCTGCCCCTCTTCACCGTCGCTCTTTTGCTTCATTGCTCCTCCAACGCAGCTGTACACTCCTATCCTCTGGCAGCTGACTTTTTGACTGAGCAATATTTTCCCTTCCTGCTTGAACACCGCAAAGATACCCCGGCGCAGACGAGAGCAACAATGACCGCGGAAGCAGCAAGCGTGTACCCCTCCCTGGAGAACCGTCCCATCAAGAATACAATCTGCCTGTTCGATGTCGATGGCACCTTGACACCTGCGAGGCTGGTGAGACCCAAACCCTTTTCAAGTTGGGAAGCTATACAGAATTTCAGAAACGCTAACACTTTGAATGCTGTGTCGAGCGGTAGACTGCCTCTCCCGAGATGCTCCAATTGCTCTCTCAACTACGGCATAAGTGCGCTATCGGATACGTACGTCGATAAATCCACACACTGTCCCGTGTGCTCTTTTCCAGATTTGCATGTCCTTTTGTTACATGCAACCTATTGCGCTACCGACGGGGGCTTGTGCAACAGCCCATTAGGACCAATCCTGACTGACGCTCCATTCAGGTTGGTGGCTCCGACCTAGCCAAGCAGCAAGAGCAACTTGGTACTGCAACTACGAACGTGACCTCACTCTTTGACTTTTGCTTCGCGGAAAACGGCCTTACCGCGTTCAGGCTGGGGAAACCCCTGACGGGCAATAGTTTCATCCAGTGGCTTGGGGAGGAGAAGTACCAGAACCTTGTGAACTTTTGCTTGAGATACATTGCGGACTTGAAACTGCCCAAGAAGAGAGGAACTTTTGTTGAGTTCCGAAATGGGATGGTGAATATTAGTCCAATCGGGAGAAATGCCAGTGGGGAGGAGAGGATCGAATTCGAAAAGTACGTGTTACACTTTCAGCTGTGTTTTTGCGTGCTTTCGGGCCTTGCTTCTTGGAACACCGGATTTCGTTCGCTGACTATTCTCCGTCAGGTATGACAAACAGCATAACTTCCGAAAGACAATGGTGGAAGCGCTGAAGAAGGAATTCCCTGATTATGGATTAACGTGAGTATGACCGTACACACCGGCTGTTTCTTTCCCCGCGGGTAATCGACAAATCACATCTCTGATACATATTAACCACGGGATTTTTACTAGATTCTCTATTGGTGGGCAAATATCCTTTGATGTCTTCCCCACGGGCTGGGATAAGACATACTGCCTTCAGCACGTTGAGGCTGAAAAGAACATTTCCGGTGTTGAGTACACCACCATCCATTTCTTTGGCGACAAGGCATTTGAAGGCGGAAACGACTGGGAAATCTACGTTGACAAGCGCACTACAGGCCATGCCGTTAACAGTCCAGAAGATACCATGAAAATTTTGAGGGAGCTTTTCAATTTGGACTAGAGGAGGATCTTGAGCTTTAGGATCATAGACGAACTCTGAGCTCTAGCGCAGTTGACTATTTCTAAGCGATCCGGTCATGGGAAATTTTTATTCCAAAAGAAATTCCAAATATTGCCGATTCCTGACCTTTCTTATTCGCTTGTAGTGAGGTTGGAATTGGTTGGCCCTTTTCATTCCCACGGCGTATACGGAATAGAACACTATGGAAACTCATTCTCGTCACTTACAGTGGCAGGGCATCCATACTTTGTAGGGCAGATCCTATCATCCTATGTCAAGGAAGTCGTTCGTGTGGTGAGTATGATTGAGGTCATCGGAGAAATGCTTTTCCGATGACACCCTGATGACCTCGGAATATATTAACTATCTGACGATGCTTCTGCCTTCACACCGCACGCGCCAGCCCACCAAGGCAGTTCGAGGGCATACCTTTACGATTTCGACATGGCAAACTCCAAATCCGTCGTTGAGCTGCCGCGGTTTCTCTGCTCTTCGCAGTCCGGTACCTCTCGTGCCATTCCGTCGAATTTTCTTGCATCAGGAAGCTCTGCAAACCCGCATCATAGGCGCGCATCCTTTGCCGGTCCAAATCGGCTCCAGCAGGTCCGGCTCACCAAGGCCTTTTCCACCTCCTCTCCGTCAACATCATCGTCGTCGGCATTGACCCCGGCGTTCCAACTTCACCGTCACCGTTCCTTATGCTCTCCGCTACTTTTCTCCTACTCCGCAGCCCATAGCTCCCCGCGAACCAGAGCGACTCTCTGCCCCCATAAGACATAATGGTGTTTATGTTGCGGCATTCAAGCCTGCGCGCCGGGCCTTCCATGCATCTGCTTCAAGGCAGAAAGATCACCGCTTCGATACGCTGAAGCTCGTTCAACGGCTAAAAGGTGAAGGGTTCAGTGATGAACAAGCGGTAGCTTTAATGAGGGTTCTCAACGATGTCATCGAAGAATCAATACAGAATCTGACGAGGACCATGGTACTGAGAGAAGGTCTGTTGCCTTACTCTAGCACTACCGTCATAAACGGGCGTGCTGCACCCTTTGTCCCGTGTCACTAAATCGAAATAGATGCCGAACGGTCAGCGTACACCCAAAAGGTCGATTTTGCCAAACTGCGCTCTGAATTATTAAACTCCGACTCAACCGAAGCGCAACTTACCCGCTCCTCACATGATCGGATCGCAGGCGATCTGGCCAAATTGAATTCCCGGCTCCGTGATGAGATCAGCCGCACACAAGCTTCTGTTCGACTGGATCTTAACCTTGAGAAGGGAAGAATCAGAGAAGAGGCGAATGGGCTAGAGATGAGAATAAAGGAAACGGAAACGCGGATTGAACAGGAAGTCGCTGGTTTGAGGGAGAGGGTGGAAGCTGTTAAATTCTCAACTTTGCAATGGTTGACGTATGTGTTCCCACTAACTTCTACGGCTTTAGTTTGCCATTCGTCTGTGCGAATTGACATTTACTGTCTTGGCTCGGAATAGGGGCGTCTGCACTGGTACTGCTGCACTGATATTGGGTGCCTGGCGTTTGTTGATGTAAGACGCATGGAGCTGTCCAATATATAATTTGCATGGACATGGCGAAACACAGACGGTTGACTTGTACCTTGCTATACGAGGTTCTCTTGTTTAAGCTATCCGTACTCCTGGAGCTAGCGCTGTCTGTTACTTTTTGATGGGCCCGGCCGGATCGACAGACACCTAGTCACAACGTACGGCCGGGACTTTTAATTGCAGAGGCTACAGATACCCGTTAGCATTGGAACGCGATCCAATTGAGCCTCTCGCTTGGTCCCTTGGCGGGAAGTAATAGACACTTGGTCTAGCTTGCCGAAGTACCGATTTCAGGACTGCAAATCCAAGTCACAATCGGCAGTCCAGCATCCTTTTTCATCATTTATGCGTTGCCTCTTTCGAGCAAGAAACCCAGTCGACCTTTTGAGTATTTAACAAACTTACTCGCCAACCGGAGAATCTATTACCAGTTCAGCCCTCAAAACAGCCGATAGTTTGAACCAACTAAGCAATTACACCTGTCCCATGACTTCCTGCAACCTTTGCCTTCTGAATATGTCGAATTCCCTGTGTTCTTCGTCGGCATAAATCGCAGCAGAGCTCCTTGATATTATCATCCGATTCAAATCCTCAATTTTTACCGTTTAATGAAGCTGGGCTAACACCCCGATGAGCTCCGATGCATCTCGATCATTTCCTTCGTCGGCAGCAAAGAATTCGCCATACCGAGTCTGAATGGCTCGCCCAGACTTTTGCTTCTCAGGGTCCTTGCTTTGATGAATATTGGAAGGTTACTAACACATGGTTCAAAACGCTTATGGGAGGGACTCTTCGATGAAAATAAGGTGTGATTGGATGAACTCCAATACCCAATGTCAGACAGCTGTGCTCTCTTTGCACCCGCAACTCTCCCAATGGACCTGGAGTCACGAGTTGCAAGATGGGCGTGGACGGGGTCAAGCAATTGAGTTGGACTCAAGTGCAAGGCAGTGACAGTCGGTGACAAGTTTCGCAAGCAAAAGGCACACTCGGTCTTCTTCATTTCATGGTATGACAGAAGATTCATCGGGTTTCGTTAGATACACCTCCTAAGAATCTTCTTTGCCGGAATCAATGCCTGGGTTGCATACGAGTCTCGATTCTTATCAACTAGCATAACGCGGTGATTTGCAGACCCGGGTATTCAGCTTTACTGAAACAAAAGGAATCAAGGATGAGATCCTCCGTTTCTGCCGTAACTTCTTGCGTCTTGATATCGCCCATTCGTTAAGAGAGGAAGTAATTCCCTATGTTCAAGTTTTACCGTTAGTATTATATGTTGCTTATTGTTTAGTTATGTAACTTATATGTATGCAGTGCCTTGTTGGCCTAATGGAAACTGATATGTCATGCCCAAAACCATACTCAATCAGACTCACCTAGTTACTGAGTTCATGCTTGCATAAAAGTGCATAGTAATTGTCTACTGATCACTCTTGATATTGAAACATATAACAAAGTAGGTTATATTACCAGTCCCCTCAATGCCCAAGGACAACTTGACTCAGAATCCCCTAGTGTATTAGTTGAGTATGGAGTAATTAGTTAACAAACGTTCCTTCAACCACAGTGTGCTGTAAATTTGCGATTGATAGCCACATTATCAAAAACATGCACGTATCTCAATAGCAAGATAACAGAATGTAGAGCAAAAATCCAACCGAAATACAAACAGTTTCGAAATGCCAGCACGGAACTGTACTGGAACACAAGGCAGCTACAAATCCTCCTGGAATTTTGAACTTCGAGGGACGATCCCTGGTTGAGGCTCTGGCAGGGATGCTACGACAGGCTGGGCTGGCATCGGCGCTGCAGAGGCCCCGTTTTCGATACCGTCTCGAGCAACAGCGGTAGTGCGTTTTTGGACCACAAAAGCGCCTTGCTTCCCTGTATCACGCACAGTTGTGCGGCTGAATATAGTCTTCAAACTGAACCGATTGCTGGTACGCTTGGCCTGCTTCGGTGGAATGGGTGTCTGCTGTTCTGGTTCGACTGGTCGAGCCGGTTCGCCATCGTTAGAAGTGCTCCACTGACTCACAACCCCGGGAAGGCCAGGTTCTCCGGATTGGTGAACATTTTCCTGCGGAGTTGATTCTGGGATAGCTGCTCTCGAGGTCCCGTTCGGCTGCATCACCGGTTCCATTGGCGCTACTTGTTCAGCTTCTTCCTTTCTTGCGGGTCCAGCGGCCATTTCGGGACCCAACGCACTATCTTGGTCAACACGAGACCTAGGTGCAGTATGTGTATCCGCTGGAACGCCATCGATTCCTTCATCTTCTTTCTCAGGTATCTTTTCTGCCTTGTGTACCTTTTTCTTGCCTTTCTTTCGATCCTCGTCATGTAAATCTTCCCCTTGCTTCTTTGTTTGCGATCTTCCATCCTTCCTCGCAAGCTCTGCAGAGCCATCAGCATCAGTTCACCCTTCTAGTTTCAGGGGGAAAAAAGGACTCACTTAATAACATGTTATGCACTTTCATTGTCTCCACTTCTCTCTCCCTTTGTCGTTTTTGATAACGTTTTTCATGCGCCTTGCCAAGCTTCTTTTCGATCACCCGGGCTCTTCTCTCGATGACTCGGTCATCAATCACATCAAGTGTTGGCTGCAACTTTGAACGAGCTACATCCCGAACATAAGGGTTGTCCTCGAATTTGGTTCCAGTCATCGGAACAAATGACCAGGTTGGCGGGGCTTTGACAGCCATCTCACGTTCATTGATTTTACGCTCCCATTCACGCAATACCGCTGGGGATGGCCGCCCGGAATACATGTACAAATCTCAAGCGATAATATTGATGGGATTGTCAGCGTTCTTCCGCGCGACTTCCATTAAGGGCGGTGTCTCCAGGAGGCCTAGTCACGCCATTCGCCTCTTCCCGCACGTGTGCCGTGCAAATGGGCGCTCTTGGTGCACCGCGGACAAAGCTGCTTGTTTCTGCATCGCTTGTCGATGGGAGTCGCCTCCTAAAGGAGGTGATCGAAGGAGGTCTTGGAGACCCACGAGCGCTGTGATATATCATAGTTGACTGTTGTTCATTATCCATCTGGGCCAATCGAAGGGAAACCCTCTTTTGGGCCTCCAACATCAAATTTTTGGGATGAGTTCCCGTGTCCAAACCGATTATAAACTGGCTTCGGATGTTAGAGCCGCCCGAGGTCTCGGCAGCAGCAATTTCTTGAGCTTCGGGCATGAGCGAGTACATTTGCTTCGCCATAGTAACTGCCGCTGCGCGCAATGTATCCTGTTTTGCAGTCTCATCCTGCGTTCCTCGAGGGGGAAATGAAGCCGCAAGGTTTTGCTGTGTCTTGCTCACTGCCACTTGATGCATTTTCGCCGGATCGAAAGTAGGCTCGACAGTTTGCATCACGGCTTGCTCCTCGCCGACTACTTGTTGACTCTTAGATGCTGCTGAGAGCGCGTTAGTCAAATCCGGTAATTCCTCTTGAACGTTTCCGGAATCGACTCTTCTGTGAGTCGTTGCCATGGCGCCGGTTGCAGCCATCTTTGAGGTACGATCCTTTTCGCGTATATCCTCGAGAACCGCCTCTGATTCAAGAGTCTCTCTACGATCACGGATTGTTCGCAACGCTGCCTTTGACCCAGCTCTGCTTAGCTGGGCTTCTTCGGGAGTGATAAACCTTTCCGGATTCATGTCGACTTGGTCCGAAGGACGACGCAGGCTTGCTGCGGCACCCTTAGATGCCAATTCATAGTCGACGGGAGAAGCCTCTTCACCGGTGCCGCTCTTCCGGGTCTCGCTTTGTATGCGAACGGCTATTATCTCGGGAACGAAGCTAGTCAGTCATCTGCCCTCGCAACAGAGTGGGATATCTATTACCTTCCGCAGCCGCAGCAGCAGTTGTTGCTGTTGGGGACTCTTCTCCTTCCTTTAAAGGCCGGCGGGTGGTTCTAGTCACGTAGTAGGCAGCGGAGGTTGCTATCCGGTGTGAGTGCACAAGCCGAAAAGAAGCAACTGATCCGATTAGAGCACTCACCGTAACTTGGTCCACGCTCTACCGGCGTCTCAGCAACACCGGTGCTAGCGAAATGAGCATGAGACATGGTGTTCGCGATTCGGGCTTAGATGCAGACACGCATGGCATGGATGGGCGAGCATGATTGAAGAGCAAGAATCCAAGCAACTGGCAGTTATATTCGCGGAGTGTGACGGCTAGCCCTGTTCTGGAGAGTTTGGTCGAACCGTTTCCTCAGTTGCCTCTTGGAGATGGCGGATGACGTCGGACATCAAGTGATAAAGTTGACTTTGGACCGTTGGGCGCGGCGCCCGCTGACTAACGGCTGGGCACTCCGCCCCGCCCCCCAAGCTTTTCCGCCCCGGGTGGTGGATGCGATGAGGAAACGACAGCAATCCCGTCTATAAACCATTGATGTTATGCTACGCTTTTAGTATCCCGTGCGTGCTAGTACTTGGCTGCGTCCCAAGCTATCACTCGCTATCTATGTCCCTTCTTCTCTCTGCGGCGTCGGCCCTTAGCATCCGGTCAACACCCATATGGATATTGTCAATGGTCCCTTCTTCAGCCAAGAAGCCGGCCTTTTTGGGGCCCCCGAACAGGCATCGCCATACGTCGTCATCATCGACATTTTCTCCCTCCGTCGCCCGACCAACCAGCATCTTCCCAAGGGCGGCGTCTTGCATCTCAAGGGAATTAGCAGAGTCGATATCAATTTCCGTGAGATCCGAGATGCCCATGGCACCGTTCCCATTTATACCTGATCGAGGGATTTTGCCGTTTTGGGAGACTTGTTTTCGCTTACGGGCGATGTGCTCCAACCTCCGAGAAACCGAGATCTGATAGATAGATTCCTCCACCGAATCGGAGACGAGGTACATCCAAACAGTGGTCTCGCGATGCTGACCGATCCGGTGCACTCGAGCGATTGCTTGAAGCTCGATGGCCGTGTTGATTAAGGGTTCGCACAGAAAAACGTGTGTTGCATTGACCAGGTTCAGCCCAGAGGAGTGGGCTTTGGCATGCAAAAGAAAGCATTCAACCTATCAAATGGTTAGACGCAGCGTGATGCCGAAAGGGAAAATAGGAGAGACAACGCCCAACATACCGAGGGTTCCTTTTTAAACCGTTCAATTCCATCGGGACTGTCAATGCTACTAAACTCAATTTTGAATCGTTTAAATGCGTTCGCCAAGATTCCCAGAAATGATTTATACTGAGAGAAAACAATGGACTTTGCGCCTGGATCATGATGCCGTAGCCAGATAAGATGTCTGGCAAGCGTGTCTATCTTAGTTCCAAAAGATCCATCAATATCAATGTCTTTAATTTCTTTTAGGTCCCTACTCTCGATATCAGAATATATCGCGTTTTTCATTGCGTGATCTGATTCCAAGTGTCCCGACGTCTTTTCTTCTTGGGCCACTAGCTCAGAAGGTTTATAGGTGATTTGATGCAATTCATTGGATCGAAGCCTGGTTTTGCACGTAGGACATGATCGGTGCTGACGCCACCAATGCCGCAAACATTCTTTGCAGTATTTATGCCCACATACTGTCAAAACACCTAAAACCGGGAACTGTTAGTTGACCAATCTCGCAACCGTGAAAGAGCAAAAAGGGATAGGAGCGCACCTATTTCAAAATTAGACTGGCAGATGATGCAAATCCTTGACGTCTCACTCCCCGTGACATCGTCCCGAAGGTGAATGAGATAACGGCGCTTAGCCTTCAAACCTGAAGCCTTGACCTTTATTCGTTCCTCAGCTTGTATTCTTGCTTGGAACTGTTCCCTATCCAACGGTTCACCCTTGGTTGTTTCATCGTAAGGTGCTACCGTGTCGGAAATCTGCTGGAGGTGCCGGTAGTATTCCAATCTTCGATTCGTCACCTTTTGAAACATAATGATCTCCTTTTCTAGCCTCTGAACTACCTTTGAATGTGTGGAGAACATCGTGCTCACTGCCTTGTGAAGGTCTTCAACAATAGCAAGTTCAGCACGAGCCCGAGCACTGCCGCCACTCTCCTGCCATTCTAGAGAAACAACCAAAGTCCGAAGGTCGTTGAGGATACCGCGCAACGAGCCGAGTTCTTTTGGAACTTTTAGTTTCTCACAAGCCTCTATCAGGGAGACGAAGAGCTCAGGAGATGGTCCCTCTCCCCTCCCTAGCTTTTACCAAAGCCTGCGTCATCTCATGTTTAACCAAAGCATTGGTCTGGCCAGTAATGGCATCATGATGATCTGCCACCATGGCACGTAAGGCTTCCATGTACACATACATTTCATCTTGGACTTTTGTAGAAGATTCATATTCGTTTCCTTGCAAATTCGTAGCATCTTCTTCATCGACAAGAGGTCTTAGGATGAGTTTGACCATGTGATCTCGCCATTTATTGAATTTGGCTGTATGCCGGTTTATGGCTTCACAGAAATCATCAAGGTGATCTAGAATACGCTGGCTTTCAATGCCCCCAGGGTCGAGTTTAGCTGCCATGCGTGGAATTTGGACCAGCCCCTGCTGTTTTGCTTTGGCTCTGACCACGTTGATGTGCTTGTTGACCTTGTGACTTGTCTCAGTCAACATTTCCCTTCGAATGAGTTTTGCAGCCTCATAATTCTCTTCTTCTAGCCTTTCCAGGTCCTTGAAAGCTTCAGAACCAGCTTTTGTAAACCGTTCATCGGTTTTTATTTGATAGAATGCGCTAGCAATAAAGAATTTGCACATATGTTCAAGCTCTAGCGCTCCGTGAAGTCGTTGTCGACATGTTCCAATGCGGTTCTTTTCTTCTCCTTCAGCCTCTTCATCTTCAGTGTCAGATATGCTCAGGTTGCCAGACTCTTCATTTTCCATGCCCTCCAATATTTCCGCGAGTTGAAGTCTACAATCAGCGACGATTTCTTGGACTGCTGACAAAGTTTGTTCCCAAAGCTTTAATGCTTCCTTTGGAGCTTCTGCATTTTCCAAGAGTTGTCCTCTTCGAAGCTGAGAGAGCAAGAGTGTACGTTCCTCCGAACGTATTTGCACCTCATTTTGATCAATCATGACCTCAAGGACTTCGGCAACAGAACGAAGAGGACCGCTTCCGAAAACGCGTCTGGTATTGCTTACCGTTATTTCGGGGTGAAGGCATGCCTGGCGCAGTCTTGTTAACCAAGACCTCATCTTCTCAACTGGCCATGGTGTGTCGGGGTCTCCCACAGGGCAACCGTTAGAGTCTAGGCCACATTCGTCGCACATTTGCTGAAAAAGCTGTTCGTATCGCTGTTCTTCAACTGCAGTGAACGGTATGGTGATAACAACACGCTTCTGGCGAGGTAAATGTAGTTCATTTCGAATCATATCCTTATTGTGACGAATGAAGAGCTTATTTATTAGGGAATAGCAATCGGGTTTAAAAACTGTGCACATTCGGATCCAGTTTTCAACTGAGTGACAGAGTGGCTCACACTGTAAAAACTGTAATAGCCCAAATAGATCTTTCACGTCTTTCCGTAACGGCGTACCAGTCACTGCCCAAGCATTGCATCGTGGGATAATCCGAGCCACCCTTGCGGCGTTAGTCACGCCAGATTCGACCATCTGAGCCTCGTCGATACAGACCCGCCACCAAGATATTTGAACCAATGGAGATTTCCGTCTTGGTGCTTTGCTTCGATGACGTAGAGATCGATCCGGCGGATCTTCGGCGTAATGTACTTCCCTTTGAAGCACATTGTAAGTTGTAAGAACGATGTCCTGGGATGCCAGATGTTGCAGCATCGCTTCGTCCGGTAAATCACTATTTTGAATTCCTTTGTAATGCGCAAATCGGAGGCTAGGGGCATGCTTCGAAATTTCTTGCTTCCATTGCTCTAAAATCGCCGCCGGCGTAATGATCAAAGTCGCACCAGACTTGTAGAGCTTTGCACCAGGATAAGGCGCGGAGATATCCGATTGAGGCCGCTTATGCAAGCAGATAAGGCTTAACAGCTCAACGGTTTTACCCAGACCCATCTCTTCTGCAAGAACTCCGCCGTTTATCTGGCTCGCATATGGCCATGCTGAAAGATCAGAGACAGCAATACAAAGGAGACGACTTATGAAACATGGGCGGCCGTCCGCATCCGTGGTCTGTATGAACGAGAATGGCAAGTATTTATCAACGAGAGAACGCAATGTACCGTCCGGAAGCACCTCAATGCCCTCTCTTCTCAGTAGCCATCCTACTGTTCGTTCTTGAAATGGAAATAGCTGGGACTTTATTGATTCAAACCCCTTGATAGCAGACAGGTTCACCTGGGTCGTTGGAACATGAACATTGTGGTAAAATTCGTTCGGGGTCCAGTCTGGCAAACTACCAAATCTGCCCGTGTCGACGAAAGGTTGCCCACCAGGGAAATACCGTGCGGCTGCTCCCCTAACGGCGGGAGTAATTTTTTCAGAAAGTCTCAGGGAGTCATGCCAGAGAAATTGTACGTCAAGCAGGAAAGATAGCCCATCCTCAGGATCTTTACAAATAAAAGACCGGTAGCAAGCAGAGGGCACTTTTTTGAATGTGGAATAGATTGAGCGGAGGCTGCCAATATAATGTATAAAAGGGTTATATTCTCCAAGGTCCGGGGTCTCGATAACCAACCGGCAATCATAACTTTGGATTTCGAAAACAGACGGAGGGCTGTTAGGATTGTAACGGCGTTGAATGTATAGAAAGGTTGGGATCTTCAGAGACGCGTCGTATCCGATGCTATTATGTTCAGGGGGTGGCCCATCAAATGTCTTTGGAAATCCAGTCAGCTCAGCACAACAGGCCAGCAATAGCTTCTCCTACAAGTTTTAAACTGAGGCGGGTCGCCGTTAAGTATTGAGGCAGATAATGCGATGCGTTCTCTGTATCAAAAACGGACCCCTTGTCTTGAGTTTTGCGTTTCTTCGAAGGAGGTTCGACGATGTCATTGCCATCACTTTGCGAAAATAGGGAGACCAAGTCCTTCGGAATGGGAGCTATTATCCAATATAAGTTAAGCAAGGATGAGTAGGCCAAAGGGACAGCTGTATAAGCTTACTCGGTATCTGCAACGCGTAGCTGAAGGACGGCATGGTGGATTGATATCAACTCTTTGGCGGAAGACGATAAATCATGCGAGAACTCTGGCCAAGGACCCCCAACCAGCTAGTTAACCAGTTGGGTTTTTGGTTGATCGGGATTGAGGAACCTGACGCGTAGAAGAGGCGCGTTGTTCATGCCATAGTGTGTTCATCTTAACTCTTGTGGTGAAGATGAGGAAGTTGACCTGTTCTTTCTTGACCCTTAACCCATCTTCATCCGAGCTGACCTCCAAGCAACATGGAATGCTGATCAACTGGATAGTCTGTGTCTTTTTTTCCACCAGCCTCACAGCTTGTTAACACTGTGCCATATTGATCACTCATAACTTAGTTAACTAGTGACTAAGTTAACTAGGTTTCTCCTAGCCAATAACTAGTAAACATTGTCAACCATCCGATGATCTTCAACTTTCAACCTTCTTCAAAATTTGATAAAATGTCTGATGAAATAGCTATCAGTTTAGCAATTGAAGAATTGAAATCTCAAGATACTAGAAATTACTCTGCTATTGTAAACAAATATGGAATTGCACAGCCGTGATAGCTATGAGATCACTTCTCTCCGGTATTCCCCTTTCCCGGATGAAGGCGATTCAGTTACGCCTTTACGGCTCGACCGGGCTCGAGCGATACGGTTGCTCTCCCCCAGTTTCATGTGCAACCTAAAGCCTCTCTTCCCTCTGCCCGCTCTACTCCACAGCCATAGAAACGGAATTCCGAGGCCAGTGCCACCGCTTTCCAAAGTGGTCAATCTGGTCAGAGGCGACAGCGTGCCGATCCACAGCCGCCAGGGCACACCGGGACTGAGGTCGTGGTCCTTTCCAGTTGCAGTACTCGTGATTCGATGACGCTCGAAACATCAAAACCTCGTATGAAAGAATGGATGTTTTAATGCCTCCTGAGCTGTTGGCCTCTTCTCATCATCCACAACAAGTAGGGACATGATAAAATCAGCCATGACTTCTGGCAAATACAACTTCCTGATTTCCTTGTCCATTGTACCAACTTTCATATAACCATATTGTGGATCAACTAGCTTTTCTGCCAGCTCCCACTCTGACTCGCGGTATCTATCAACAGGAGAAGGTAGACCATTGATTAGGCGGAAGAGCTTCGCGACGGCCCAATGTTCGCCTATTCCTAGAGGGTCATCGTGTATGCCAAAGATGGAAGTACGGGATAAGCAATCCGTTAGCTTTTAAGCATTCTATTAGTACGGCCTGGAACAACAGGCTGCCTGGGGAGGAATAGGAGGGCCAACTGACAGTAACGCCTAGAGACCACACATCTGATGCATGAAAGCACCCCTTGCCTCTCCATACCTCTGGTGCTCGACAGGCTATTGGCTGTATCCTTTCATCATTGAAACCATCGGGTATTGCTATTTGAGTTAGTTAAATGTTTGGCATTGGTGGTAGGGAACAATACAGACTTGCTCCAAGATCTGCCAACTTTACTGTAGGCTCCTCCGAGTTGATATTTGAGACAAGGATATTCTCATGTTTGAGATCTAGCGAATATTTAATGCACAGGCCAATTTCAGTGAACATTGTCACTGAACCTACCTGTATGAATCAGGTTCAGCTCCTTATAAGTTGTGAGAGCCTTCAAAACACTCTTTGAAGCTACCTGCAGGATCCTAGGATGCTGTTTGAAATATTCGGGACCAAAGTCCACCAAGCTAACAGTCCATCCATTCAAAGGCCATCCATGGTTCGGCCCCAGGCGTTGGGTCGGCCAAGTTTGATGTTGAGTCAAAATCGTCAATAGTGTCCAGTAATGTGCGGATGTGTTTGGACTTGCGGATACTTTCTATGGAGTAGATCCGGTATTCGCGCTTCAAATCTGCCAGCTTATACCTCTCATAGGCAGTTTTGATCACAGCCCTGCTTAACAATCAGCATCAGTCAAGTACATACAACTTTGCCCTTGCGTACCATTGTGGAGTTGAACCCGTTGATTTGGGCAAAACACGAGCTTTGAAGACCGTGGAGGATTTGGTTAGTGGTTTCTCAAGTTGAAAGCTATATAGCCGCCCATGAAGTGTTCTTCCAGCTTGCCATGCCATGGCACTGTGCCACGTATCTATCATCCCATATAGACTAAATGTTCACAAGATATTCAGAACGTGTCGCTCCAGAATGCGTTAACTAGTGGATCAACATCGGCCCTGTGGAGGTCTGTGCACTAGGTAGATCTGCTTGCACTATGAGGGGACACCGCTGTGTTTACCAGGTTCTGGTGGTGGTTGAAACTGAAAGAATTCAACGTAGATTTATCAGGAAGTTTGGGAAATAGTTTGGTACATGCATATAAATAGCAAAAAAATCGCAACTTCACTTAACTGGTTACTTGGGAAATAGGATTTTGCAGGGTGGCTAAGGAGTCTATTACTCTGTTAATCTTGTTGAATGTCCGAATCTATGAACTGGGAAGCATGATTACAGTGTGTAGAAGTCTCTATCCAAGAAAGTCAACAACCTGTCCGAAGCCGTATATAAGTCACTTTGGTGAAAGCAAGCACAATATGAAGGGTATTTGATGCTAAGGGTTAGGTATCAAAAAGGAAGCAAAGTCTATATAGTCTCCAGCAGTGGGGTTATCGAAAACGACAGCCTTGTATCAAAGGTAATAACATGAAGGGGAAAAAAGACTTCCCTGTTCTATGTGAAGAACAAGGCAGGAAGAAAAATTGAAATGCCCATTCAAAATTATCAAAAATAGATAATGAGCCATAAACAGTAGTAAACGCATGCACCAATGTTCCATCAGAGAACCAAAAGATTTATCGTATCCAAAAGCCAGCAGTGAAGTGAAGAGGATTGGTATAAAACAGCAAATTGCCTGACGCTACCAAGTAATAGGAAATGCATAACATCAGAATCATGTTGTCTTTGGGCTAGGGGTTTCTGCCCCTTGTTCTTCTTGCATTACATTCGGTGTCTGTGTGTTGTCAAAGCGCTCGTGAGCGGTAGCACTACCCGGAGAGTTGGGTTTATGATGCTCGCGTAAGGAGGACGAGCGAGGAGGCCGAACCGGATCGGATTCAGGTTGTGCAGCCGAAGGGTGGAACGAGGGATACTGAGTCGATTCAATTTCAGCGGCAGGTAGGAGTTGTGGCTCAGGAGACTTTGTGTCGCGAGTCGAAGGGCTCGAGGCCGATGCATTAGTGACAGGCCCTGTTGCGGCTGATGTGGCAATCGATTGGGAAGTAATCACATCAAGGGATGCCCGTCCTTGGACGAGATCCGGGCTTCTCTCGTCAACAGGACTGAAGCCGTCAACTTCCTCAACTTCTTCATCTTCGAAGACATGGCTTTGGAATAGCTCCTCCTCCTCTTCAATGATTTGGCTCTTCCTAGGACCCAGCGCAGATGTGTCGCCAGACGGTGCATCAAATAACGACTCTCGCCTCCTGGGAAGAACGGGAGTACCGCCGCCATTAGATGCAATGAGATTAGATGTATTTAGCGTTGGGCCTTTAAAAGCAGATCTTTTTCGTCGTGCGAAGACGAGACTTGAAGATGGAGAAGACATGATTGTAAGTGGTGCAGATTCGTTGAAGACGCTATGAAGGGGGCCGTTGCTATGTACCGAACTATTATTTCCTCGGACAAGTCGAATATTATTCGGAAAACGCGTGGACGCACTTGGAGTCGTTGGCAAGACTTTGATTGAGGCATGCGGAGAGCGGGAAATGGCAAGAGCTTTTATGGAAGAACCCGTCGGAGTTGAAACGGTGTCGATGCTATTGGAGGAAACCGAAGAGGTTTTGGAATGCGAATGTGCATGGTGAATGGTTCGAATGGAAGAAACAGATGAAGATGTTGATTTCCGTCCTCGTAGTCCGGCTGACGAGCGGCGATAGGAATTACGCGGTGTTAGTGGTGATGGGGACAAGGAATTACGGTGACGCGAGGCGCTGCTGTTAAGGGGCCGCGGTGGCTGGGTGATAGAGGAAGGGCGCACTGCCCCCGGGTATGAAGCATTGCTCGGTGCTAGGCTTGAATTCGACGAACGTTTTATTTGCGTTGGCGTCTGGTAATTTTGGCCTGGATTTGGGCTGTTGGAAGGCGTTGGTAGTTGTTGTTTGGAAGCATTCTTGCTTTTATTCGGGTTGTTTCTATCGGAAAGGAACTTAAGAGACACACTCGGGTGCCCAAAGCCTTTCGGATGGGGTGATTTTGCTCGCTTCGTAGACTCCACAAGCCAATGTTTCAGGGACGCCAATTGACTCAAAATAGGGTATTGGCGTCGACGCATACCAGGTCGCTTCAATATTCCATGGGGGCGCATTGACTCGGGCTGGGATGCACTGAGATGGAGCGTACTACCGCGGGATACACGTCGCTCTTTAGGCGGCGGAACCGGGCGCGCACGAGACGAACTAACCGAGCGGTCTGAATCATCTTTCTCGATCGGAGGGGGTGGGATAGTTTCGCAAGGGGACACAACGACGCCTCCTTCCGGAAGCTTGGGGAGGTCAGGGATTAAAAGTTGGGCTACAAGGACGATGAGTGAAAACATCCCAGGCCATAACATGGGTTTCAATACTCACGAGTTGGAAGACTCCGCCTGTTAGTCCGGCCTCGGCTTCGAGGAAGCTCCAGATTGTGATTTTCCTCGTCAACCTCGACCAGGGCGGCGGAAATCCGTTCTAACCGGCTGCTGGCTGCACTCAACCGGCGGAGATTTTTGGCTTCGGCTTCTCGTTCCCGACGCTTCCTCTCTCTTCTCTTCTCTTTCCTCTCTTCTTTTTCGATTAGTAGGGCCCACCATCCAGCAAGAGCGTCGCACCGCTGTGCTAGGACATTCTCCATGACTTGAGTGGTGTTAACCCCTGCACTTCTCATTCGCTCTAAAGTTGTCTTCTCCAACGGCGTCGAGAATGGAGCGGGACGCGATAGTTTCAGGATGGCGTGCTGCTGCGGAGCATGCTCTGCTAAGAACGGATGCGCCAATATATCGCTGAGACTGGGCCGTAAGAGCGGTCGTTTTGACAATAGCAAATTGATTAACGACTTTGCCTCGTCTGGGAACTGATCTTTATACTTGGGCTCTTCGGAAAGAATTTTAGATTTCGTTACCTGGTCGTCATCTTCATCAAATGGTAGTTCACCAGCAATCAACGCATAAAGGATAATACCCAAGCTCCACACGTCAACCTTCTCGCCCGCATACTTTTCGCCTTTTAGCATTTCTGGTGCGCTGTAGCATATTGTACCGCAGAAGGTTTGCAGATAGCTGGCCTTTCCGTCATATTCCCTGGTAAAACCAAAATCGCATAGCTTCACGTTTTCATGTTTATCCAACAAAATATTTTCCAATTTGAGATCTCGATGTACGCATGACTTGCTATGCACGTATGCTACTGCTCCGACAAGCTGTGTGAATATCTTTTGTGCTTTTTCAACCGGCATTGGTCCATTGCGTAGGAGATAATTATAGAGCTCGTCCCCTAGACAAATGATTTCAGTACGTGGCGACCCACTGTCCGAGATATAATGCGCACCTGGACAATATTCCAGAACCAGCCATACTAGACTTTCGGTGACGACTACTTCGTAGAGGCGAGCAATGTGGGGATGTATAAACTGGCGGTGGTGGTGAATCTCGCGGGCAAGATTTCCATCATTGCGGCTGGAAGATTTGAGCACGACCTAATCGGAGCCCGGTATTAGCTCGAGTCCTGATATCCCTCTGGCAACGAGTATACCACCTTAGAGCCATTTGTGAGCTTATGAGACGCGAGATAGACTTTGCCAAAAGAGCCCTTCCCGATGAGCTTCCCTAAACTGTAGTTCCCAACGTTGCGTAAATCTTTGGAGGAGAATTCCCTATTGCGGTATTAGATATCATAAAAGCCTAGGCGATGGATATTGTCGCAAAACGGGCTGCGATTTGGAGGGGGCGCAAAGGAGGATCCGCGCTCACTCTAGAAGCTCATTGTATGAATTTACCAACTGCGGAGAAAAAAATAGCGTTAGTGATCAGTCCAACCAAACTGAAGCAACATCCACCCTCATACAGAATAGACAACAAAGCACAGGGCCACAAGCAAAGAGGTTGCACCTTGTAGGGACCAGAAGTGCTCGAACTAACCTTCTCCTTATGAAGCTGGGACTCGGCCTTGAACTTGGGTGGCGGCATGTGTTTTTCACCAGGTGCAAATCGACCATGAATTCTGCTGCACAGCGTAGCTCACGAGTTTGTCGTGGTGGGTAACTGGACAGTCCATTCAGGATGAAGTTGCGCAAAAGGGGGAGGATGGGCGGCGAGCAGAGCTGCGATGTGCTTGATCTCTATTTTGAATAATGGTGGTTCTAACTACAGAACAACGCGGAATTGATTTCGATCGGGGAGCAAGCAGCATGAAGAGAACGTGGTTTCAATCGGAATGTCTCGTGGAATAGGGGAAAGGCGTGGTAGGGAATTCGACTGACTGTCCGGGTATTCCTGATTTAATCGTGAGTTGGAGTTGGCAGGGGGTTCCCACGATCTGAGCGTTGGCGCTATTTTAGGAGATGGAGACGACAGGCCATTCCACATCTCTCATCGGCACACCTGACTGTCCACTGTACACTGTCTTGCAGCTACATTGATCGCGTCTTTTAATTCCCCCGAAGAACTGGTATTCCTGGACTTTGTGGGTTTCCGATCCCACATGGCCAGATTCAAAGATGCAGAGGGGATATTTTTCAACTGCACAGAAGCTGCAGATCACCACTAGTTTATCCTACGACCTGAGACGCCCAAGGACTCAGGGAGCCGCCCACTGGGTTACGCAAAAAAAATAGGCTTGGAAAGCATGCCTCTGCGCGCATTCATTGATTGAATCATATTCTCACGCCCATACGGTTATTAAGAAGGGAAACGGCTTGCTCGCCGTTACTCGACACTTCCACGCCGTTGGCCCAACGGGCAGTTGCTTGATCGCAAATTTTGGTGGCTTGACGGTTTGGCAGCCATTTCCTTCAGGATAACAACAAATATTTACTCCGAATATGGTCCATGCTCCCATTATCAACCTTCCAGGATTTATTCAGCGCGATTGGTTTGAACCTTGATGTTGGTCCGGAACCCGAAAAATACAAGAAAAAAGTGTAGAGATGAAGACATTAACATTAGGATTTATTGTCCAATATCTATGATATTACATTTATATGCAAGCAATTCGAGAATATAGCTTTCGCTCTAACCAGTCGGGCCGTGTGATGATCTCCCAGCCTTGCAACCGAACGTCCAAGAGTCCTCCACAGAGGTTTTACAAAGCCATTACCAGCATTCCCAATCCGGCGATTAAGAAGCTGCCATCCAATTTACCAGCACCGTTGGGCGAGGTTGGTGGAGCGAGGGCTGAATTGGTTGGATCCGAAGGTGGGTTGAAGGGATTGTCGAGCGTTCGGGTAGGTTGGGGTAGAGGGTCATCGTCCGTTTCAATGGGAGGGAAAGCAGCAGTTCGGGTGGGAGCAGCTGGTAAAGTGAAGGAGAAATCCAAACTACTGGACGAGTCATCGTCATCATCGTCGTCGTCGTCATCACCAGGAGGGGTAGGAGACCCGGTAGTGGATGGGGGATCGCCCGTCGTTCTCTCGGTGGCGCCGCATTCAGCGAGGGTCATGGTTGACGGGCAGCATCCAGCGTTCGTGCAATAATAACCAGAGGGGCAATATTCTTTGGAAACAAGCAATCAGTTTTGGGTATGCAGCAGCACAACGACCGGTGACCACTTACTTCCGTTTCGGCAACAAGAATCTCCGCGACCTGGGTTATAGCAGTTGGGGAACGAGCCGCACTCTGCGTAGCCTGCTCCGCAAGATCTTGCGCAGGTGTAGGGCGGTTTGATCTCTTTGCAAAACTCGACTTGTCTGTTTTGCAACTTCTTCAATACTTCTTCGGCAGCATAGGATCCAGTCATGAGGCTGGATGCTGCTGCGGTAGCAGCACCGGAAAGGAGGATCAAAGAAGAGAAATGCATTTTGTCGGCCCAAAGATGAAGGTCAGAGTATATGATGTCAAGAGGAAATGCGGCAACGATGTCAGGTTCGTCTTGAACACGGGAGGAGAGAAACGGAAAGAAAGAAAAAAACGGAAAGAAATCGGCTGATATATAGATATATATATATCTCTCGCCGTTGATCCCGCTACTGTCCAAGCCTCATTCCAAAAGCTCCCCCTTTTCTCCGCCTTTGAGTCGGTGCGGCTTAAAGATTTCTTTGATTGGCACAAACATCTCCATAAACTCGAGTGTCATTTGAGCTAGCTCACTCCCTCGCAGCGATGTGGGCTTGGTGTGATCGTGGCGAGGCTAGCGCATTCCTAGGAAGCATTTCTTAATATCCTCAATAATCAGTGCTCCGTAGCGTTCAATGCATGGACGATGGATTAGCAGGGGTGCACGGAGGATTCCCATTAAGCATCGGGTGGTAACCAGACCTGCCAGCAACTGGCCACACTGGGCCTCATGAGTCCATGATTGGGACGCAGGACTGAAGGCATCAGACGGCGGACTGGAGAGGGTGGGCGGAATCGTGTTTTAGCGTCTTTCTTGGCACTCGAATACGGGCAAAAGGCTGATCGGGCTTTCACCGTCCAATTGCCTCATTTCCGAAGCGAGGAGCAAACTCCAGCGGCGTGAGAAACTCGGCCCAACAAAAATGAGAAGAGAAAATCATCAACCATCGCCCGCAAAAATGGGAATTGCATGGCCAACGCAGTACTTCAATTCTTTTGCGCGAGAAATCGACGGAGCTGAAAACGGACACCAAAAAGCGGGGTGAGGTTGGGATGGAGCATTCAGACATGAGTTTGGATATTTATTTCTTCTTCTCAACTGCTTCAGGGCCTCGTTCTTCTTGGCAGCGCGGAAGAGCCAGATTAAACTCAAATACTCTCCAATTAGTTAAAGCTTCAGACAACACCCATGCATCCATTCCGCCTCCCCAATCGTTTCTCGTTCAATTTTTCCTCACGAGATTCATTTGTTTAGTGGGTCCGCCTCGAGTTTGGGCTAAAAGCTTTTCACATGCTGTGAGCACCGTTTATTTTTAGACAGAGCCTCAGCTCGTCCAGGATGTGCTGTCAACGCTTTCTTCAGACAAAGAAAAATCAGCTGCAATTGTCGCCCCTCCCCGGTAATCGTCTCAACAGGCGGTGGCCAGCACCTGGGAGCCTCCAGAGTACACCGAACACAGAATGCCACTGAAAAGCAAGCACACAAGTCCTCTTCTGGTCGTCGCGGGGGCATCATTCCCTACGTCCTTTACTCAAATGGGTGTCGAACCTTTCCACCATGAAAGCGATTCCAGGTGTTGTCGCGTTCGTTTGCTTGTGCAGACAGCTGGGTCAACGGGATTGATACCTGGTTCACCCAGCAAACCCAAGCTTGCTAATCCGAGATATGAATGCAAGATGTCTGAAAATATTAGTCAGTCGGCTCGAACACCACAAGCATAGACAGGGGCGGAGACCTGGCAATTCATCGACTCCTTTTCCAAAGCCGCCGATGAGGTGTTGCGTTTTATCCAAAAGATATCTTCGATTGGCATCCGCATTGATAACATGGAGACGATCAAGCATCTATTACACGTTTCAGTGGGGATTAGAGCAGCAAGCGGAGTGAGTGGGATTTGGGTATATACCGCCAACGAGCCAGTGACCCAGAAAGAGTAACAGGTATCGGCGAGTTTGTTGGCTCTGCCATTGAAGCCGGCGCAATTCCGGTTCTCAAGGGGCCATTCGGAAGACGTTGGGAGCACTGGTAAGGATGAAATCTGCTCCTCGATCGAGCATGGGGTGCTGTTCGAATGTTCCATTGTTTGATGGGATCCTTCTTCGTCTGTTATTCCACTTTGGACATCCTCCTCGACTAATATGTTGGTTTGGCGGAACGCGAGCCATTCTATCAGAGATTCAAACTCCTCCGAACCCGGATCGCATGCTGCTACCCGGATGTCTAGCGAGCTTTTGCTACTCTCTGACGCTGGGGCATATCCGAGAAATGACAATGTACCAAGGGCGCAGTAAGTCAACCCAGCTATTCAAACACAAAGCATAAGCGAGGACTTTCTCTTGGCATCTAAAAAGTTGAGGCCTACCGTGGGCTTCAAGCCAGGGAGCTTGTGCGAATCCACCATCGTATGCCTTCGCACTATCAATACCGGTGTTTTAAGGGGCAAGGAAGTGCGATTTCCTTTTCTTACCTGACACTTCTCAACATAAGTAACGAGCTTTGATACATCAATATCATCAATGTCTTTCAAATACGCTGTGTCTTCTCCTCGCAGAATATATCGAATCCCAGTCGCACAGCAACAAAATCGTAAATCGTTGCCTCCTTCTATCGCGCCGTTGGCGCCGAGTACCTCTCCAAAACTTCCATCCTGACGCTGCATCCTGCGCAGCCAGCGCAAACACTCCTTTCTCTTCACGCGCGTCAAATCATCGCCCAGCAGTAATAGCGTCACCAATGCGAAAAATGTCGCTGGCAAATTAGCCGGGTCCCAAATCTCGTTGTCAGCAGTGGCTGCACTCCCAAACTTGGTGCCTGTAAAGCCTCTAAAGCCACCAGACGAAAGCTGGCAGTGGTAAATCCAATTCGCGTACGCCCGACGCTCAGGCGCGGATACACTCGTGTTCAACGAATCAAGCAAGTCAAGACCCGCGACAACGAAGAATGCCAGAGTCATACGATTGGAATCATTGGGGGTATACTGGTGGGGTAACAGGGTTTTGAGACAGCGGAGGTAATATTTGATATGGCGTTCTTTCCAGAAGAGCGGTGCATCCGCCATTGCTGAGAAACAATGAGGCCAGAGGCAGTTTGTCACTTCAGAGGAGCACACGAGAACAGGTTCTAGAGTGCTCGAGTTGGATTGATCGTGCTTTGAAGAAGACCCTCCAGAGTAGGAAAAATAGGTTGGGTTAAGGTCGTCGGCTGAATTCTTGGCGCTCCTTGTTGATTGGCGAAGTTTGGCTGCTTTTGGGGAGCAAAAGAACGAAGGCCGGGCTAGGATTCTTTGATGCATTCTATGATCAAGGAGGGCGGCGGATTTATCCTGCCAAGTAGAGCTTCGCACCGTTCTGGAGCTACTAAATAACTAGTTAACTAGCCCAAACAGCCGAAAAAAAAGGCCGAATAGCCGGGTTATTCTCCTGATCTATGAGCATGAATTCCAGCTGTGACCTGTTAGCTAGCTAGCTAGTTAAGGATAAAGCTATGTCTTTGCGAGTTGCTTTTCTCTTTACATGAACCAAAAGAATCGTCGTTACAAGTAACTCGCGTCCTGTATCAAGTCCTCAGGCAGTAGCCGAGTGAGCTTGCATCCCTTGATGCCAAGCCCTGTGCTCGTCATGCATCCGAAAGGTGAACCAGAGCAGAATCCTCTGTTGTTGACTTGGAAATACATCTTCCCAATCCTCCGCTGGACCTCCCAGTGTTCTCTCGTTTTCTTTCCCGCGGAGCCCCAAGCGGCCGGGAGTGCGACATGGGCCGTCTCTCCTCCCAGAGGCTTATCAAACTTCATGCCCTGTTCCAATTTGCCCTGGCCGTATCTCTCACATGGACGCCCGAGGTCATCACCGACTCCGGTCTCGTTTATTCCGCTCACGGCGAGCTGAGAGTCGTAAGTGTACCCCTTCGACTGTATATCGGCTCTCACATATTTCCTCCCATGCCTCTAACATCGTTGTCTTTCGTCCAACTAGTCTGACATCCCTCCATTTACCCCTCCTCGCTCCCCCTTCGCATACTGCGGCGTCCTCCTCCTCGTTTTCGCCCTCGTCGACCTCACTCTGGCTGTCAAGCTACCGGCTCTGAACCATATCCTGACGATTGCACGCTGCATCCGCCGTGACGGTCTCCAGCCCCACGACCGAGAAGGAGAGCCCTCCAATGTCGCGGCCGCGGCCCTCGAGATCGCCACAGAATTCTCAACCCTCTACCGACACCTATGCATGCTGCTTAACCTCCTACGCCTCTGGATCTTTCTCATTGTGTCCCTAAAGGTTTATTCTTCTCCCGAAAGCGTGTGGTTTGGGAGAGTTGGGCCTGCTGTGTCCAACACTGTGGGTGGTAATGTCGCTATTTCCGCCACGGCGCATATGACTATGGTGGAGGAATTAAAGGGGAAGATAGTGATGGGCTACGGAGTCATGGAGATATTATTTTCTTGCTGGGTGAGGATAATACTTCAATCCTTCATTTTTCTCAATTCTAATGACCCCGCCAGCTCCTCATGGCTCTCCATGATGAACAGCGTGCGACAGAATACAGTCTTCGATCACTGGATTCGGGGCTCCTATGATTATGGCCAACGTCGCGTAAAGTCGTGGGCCGTTTGGGTTTATACTTGACGACCAATGCCATGAATCCGCCGAACAGGACATGCGAGGAATCTCCGTTTTGCGGGAGCGTTGAGTATCGACCCTCGTCCTCCAGCAAAAAGACGATCGCTGGAAACCGTTCCCTCACCCTCCTCCACAATCGGCGAATGAATCTGCGCGGCTCTTGACGTTGATAAGTGGAAGAACTAGAATTGTACAATGGAAAAGCAACGAGAAAAGTATTTCACATTATGGGGTGTTTACGTTGCCGGATGCAGTTATTAAAAAGCTATCTTTGTAACAAGCGGGTTCATCTCAGACATTTTCAGTGTCAATTTCTGCATCAGCTAATGTCACAATCATTTCACTCTCATGGTCTCATGACTTTGGGCAATACAGGTTTTGTCAATTTAAGCAAGAACCATGAGTAGGCCAGCAATAGCGGCAATGGCACCGCCATTGGCGTTGCTGAGGGAAGCTGCCGCAGCCTTGGAGGTGGCAGAGCCAGGTGCCGAGCTTTTGGTGGCAGCAGTGTTACCAGAGGGACTGGTCGAAATGGTGGGGGTTCCGGAGGGGGTAGAGCGGGTGGTCGCAGAGCTGGTTATATTGCCGGTTGGTCGAGAAACGACACTTGAAGTGGCACTGTTCGTTGTGCAGATAGCGCTCTGGGGAAGATTGGTGATGCCCTCGGTGCCGCAGATGCCATTGGCGAATTTAATCGTGGCTAAAGTCGATGAGCACAGGGGTGAGATAAAGGCTTGGTCTGGGGAACGCGATATGACGTGCAGATCGGTGGGGTTCCGATGACAGGGATGGGCAGAGCCATGAACGTACCTTGCTGATCTGCTGGCGAGCACTTTTGCGCGACACAGCAAGTGATGGCCTCGAGGAACGAGGCAGCAGTACAGATGCACTTGACTTCGATTCCGCAGTGTTTGGGGATCGAATTGGTTGCGCACTCTTGCTAATTGGCGGGCCTCGCCGTTAGTCAAAAGTTTCACTAGGAATTTGCAGGATGGTTCCAAGGTAGCAATGGGCCGTCAACCATCAGGGCGATGGACTTACAGCACACGGCGGGAGATCCTTGATGGGATCAAGAGCAGTGGCGGCAGCGACCAAGCTGGTCAGAGCAACAGCGACAGTCGAGAACTTCATTGTCAAAACGAGAGAGGTAATAGATCCACGGGGAGCTTGATGACAGATTCTAGCTAACGAGAGTGGAGAGCGATGAAACAGCGGAGAGAAACAAAATGAGAGCGAGGGAGAGAGAAAGTGAGAGAGGGAGAGAGTGAGGGGGAAGTTGGGCGCTGATAAATATTTAGCACGATGGAGGCCAGCACCGCGTGTTCGCTCAGGGACCACCAGCTCGACAGCCTAGTTACAGGTCAGGCCGTTTTGGCGCTGTTGCGATAACCGCTGCAGAGATCAGCGTCGGGGAGCTCCCTGTCTTTGAGTAACCCTTCAGGTCATACAGGACGCGGGCGACGCGCGAACCAGCACCTGAGGTTTTCAATAGTGGCCTTCCCATCACCAGCGATGGCTTCGGGAGCAGCGAGTAATTGGCTGGCTGGCCTTGTTCCTCATCTCCCTTCTCTGCTCGATGAATTGGAGGCGTCTCATTTAGCTTTGACGCTTCCTGAACACTGTCCCGTCTCGCTTGACTCACGGGCGTAGGAGGACATTGCAGTTACCCCGTAGAGATGCACGCCTCCATTGGTAGCACAATGTCTCGACTTCCTAGAGTACACTGTTTCACTCGTGCTTGATAGGGAGATATCTCCGTTTCCTGCAAGGTGCTTCCAGTGTGTGTTGTGCCAGCTGCATTGCGGAGCTCCAGGCAGGGTAAAAACAAACGACTGGGTGCAACTAACTTTGGTGGCGCGGTGCCTTGAACACACACAGGTTGCACTGCGGATTTCGACACTCTCGACCGGGCACAGAATGGAGTGCAAAGAAAGGCAACGCGTGGAAGTCGTCCTCATTGATATGGAGCATTTCCAGAGGCTGCACCACGCACCACTCTCAGCCTACCGGTGCTGCTCAAGTCCAGTGCATCTGGCCATCTGATTCAATAGCCCGTAGAGTATGGAATCACAGCTGTTCATCCTCCCAGCGATCACTTGGAGTTGCGGATCGCTTGGCATGGCGTCTCCGTCCCCTCCAGACAACACAACCTCGGATGCTTTCTCAACTGTGACAACGCACTTGGGATTCTCGAGCACCTCAGGCTCTTTATTCTAATACAGTCAGTGCATCGCCCGCGTGGTCAAACTGCAATCATTATTCACTTGTCCTCTGCACCTCTCCTGGGCCCGTGAAGCCAGGCAAGACTCAACTGCTCTTGTGTCCGGTGATATACCCTTGGTACATACAATGCGTCTCTCCCATTCGTTGGAGTAGACCGTGCAAAACAGCTGAGCTGCACTCCGCTGCCCCGGACCCCAGCTTCTGGAGGTTTCGCCCTTCTCATTGTTGGGGGTCTCCAACTAGCAAGCATGGGCCTCGGTATCCTAGAGGACCATAAGTTGGATCACGTACCGGGTGTGTTTTCCAATTCGATCGTTCGTTCCTGGATCTGGCTGATATCAAAGCAAGGGACAACGTATGTCCTGGACGACGATAGCAGCTCGGTTGAACAAACCGAGACGCCCAACGTTAAATATGATCGCACTGGCCCCGTGCCTATCATCCTTGTCCCTCAACCAAGTGATGATCCAAATGACCCTTTGGTGAGCATATTGGCGGGAATAGCAATGCCGACGCTTTGTATCCGCAGTACACCGCGTCCGACTAACCATGTCCCAGAACTGGCCGCTATGGCGTCGAGACTTGATCCTTGCCATTCTCTCCCTGGCCTCTGTCATTTGCACAACCACGAGCCCTTTGATGGCCGCAAATTCTGTCACCATTGCCACTCAGCTTCGGCGGACCTTTACGGACGTGGCGTTGCTGACCGGATACCATCTTTGTGCTGTAGGCGCTGCCGGCTTTCTCTTTGTGCCAACCGCGCGGATCTGGGGAAAACGCCATCTGTTTTTGCTCGGGAACGCTATTGTCGTGGTCAGTTGTGCCTGGGCCGGAGCCAGCGGTACCAATTACAACAGTCTCTTAGCGGCACGTATATTCCAGGGCATCGGGTTGGCCCCCTTCGAAGCACTGGTGAATGCTGCCATCGGAGACCTGTACTTTGTCCATGTAAGTGTGTGCGACGCCCTGAATCTGGCTCCGGTGCTCACGAAACCACAGGAACGCGGAATACGAATGGCTGTTTCGAATGTCGCTCTGTTTGGAGGTGCATTTTTGACCCCTGTTCTTGTAGGCAAGATTACGTACACAATGGGCTGGGCATGGAGCTTTTACTTTGTTGCCATCTTTGCTGGGCTTTGTTTGCCCCTTGTTTACTTTTTTGTTCCCGAAATCGCATACCGTCGAGCGTCGCACCTCAACACTGATTTTGAAGGCGACACGGAAAGGACCCGGGTCCCTAGAGATGCCAGAAATGAAAACTCCGAGTCAGCTATTAACGAAAACGAAGCGAAAGAGGGCGGCATGCTTCCTGGGGTGGAAGAACACAAAGTGATTGCCAAAGCGTCTTACTCTCAATCTCTAAGGTTATTTAATGGCCGGAAAACAGATGAAAACTTTTTCAAGCTTTTATTGCGACCATTACCCCTTTTCTTCCACCCAGGTATTCTCTGGGTGAGCTTCTCCTTTTGAATTTGACTCTGTTCTCCTGCCTGACGGGTATACAGGGCTGCCTCATTCAAGGAGTCATAATCGGTTGGACTGTCTTTATCGGCGTCGTCCTAGCCGCGCTCTTCGTGGGCCCGCCGTTATGGTTCAATGAAGTCAAAACCGGATATCTATATACCGGTGCTTTTATCGGCGCGATCCTGGGTCTGCTCATCTCTGGCCTGCTTGCTGACTGGTCCGCCAAATATATGATTCGTAAAAATCGAGGGAGATACGAACCCGAGTTCCGGATCGTTCTCGTCATTCCTATGCTTATCTTTGCTTGCGCTGGCCTGTATGGCTTTGGATTTGTCTCCGGCGATGTTACAAGATATGGATGGCTCGGGCCAGAGATTTTTTTCGGCTTGATGTTGATTGGAATGGTCTTGGGTGCTGTGGCAAGCGCACTGTATTTGGTCGACGCTCATCGTAAGCCTTTTTTCCTGTACAATGCACACATTTCTATTTCAGCAGTCTAACCAGCAAAGTTATAGGCCAGATTGCGGTCGAAGCATTCACCTGCCTTCTTGTCTTCAAGAATATGTTCTCTTTTGTCCTGACCTACTTTGCGTACAACTGGGTTGTGCGTGGCGGTCAGGAGGGAGTATTCATGACCCTTGCTAGTATTCAAGCGGGTATCTGCCTACTCAGCCTTCCCATGTGTGAGTTTGCATTGGTCTTAGACTTCTCCATTCAAGAATGCCTATTCCGAGATATGCTGGTGTACGCCGCTGACACTTTTGCTGGTTTCTAGACATTTTAGGCAAACGGAACCGTTCTTTTTTTCACAGACACGATATTCTCAAAATGCTAAACTTGTGGTGAAAATTGCCGCTCTAGACTGGTGTTTCGGCTTTCGGTTCTCACGTTCTACTATATTATTTTAATTCCCCTACTAGGCCGTGCATAATATGCTTCCTTTCTGGTTTCTGCACTCTATGCTTATACCTTTATAGAAAAGGCTGTGCAGCATTCCACTGGTACCTTTTTTCGAGCGTCGGTGAGTCCGACATTACTTCGCTTTGCAATTTTTTCGTTGATATGATGTCCGCTTGCTCCCTCTATTTTAGGGAAGTATATAACATAGAATAGGAAAAATAATGTCATCCCGCCATCTAGGTTCGAATGTGTTAGGACATCGGAGCCCAAAGCTTCGATATATTCAACGCATTATCAAATGTTGTTATTTACTGACGCAATCCTTGCTTTCCAATCCGTCCTTCTTCAGATCTTCGTCCCCATCAGAATTATGACTGACACTCGTCAAAGTAACAGACCACACGGTTGGCAACGCCAAAACCAGCGCCCCGATACACAGTCCCCAATCCATGCCCAACTGCGTCATAGGCGATTTCTGCAACGCATTGATTCTCCACGCCATCGCACCACCGGCCGCCTGAAAGGCTTTGTACGCACCCACCAACACCGCCGTGACGGCAGCCGAATTCGACATGGTCCCGATCAGCCAATAGCAGAACGATTGCCACAGGGCGTCGTACGCGCCGTAGAAGAAGTATAGGAATATCGGGCCGACGGCGATATTTGCGTTTTGGGCGTAGTCGATATCCTGCTTGAAACCCTGCGCCAGCCGCTCGTCTTCCCATTTCTGGAACGCGTAGCCTCCGCCCCAAATCACCATGCCGGTCACCATGAGGATAGCCCAGCCGACCCACGCGCGTTGACGGCGGTTGAGGAAGCGCGCGTCCAGGGCCTCGCCCATGAAAAGGCCGCCAAACATTTGGGCCATCCAGTAGATTGCGGAGTTGAGGGAGCGGGTGCGGATGTTGAAAGTGGTGCCGTTGACGTTGTTCTGTTGGTAAGAGTAGAAAACGTTGGCGCAGAAGAAGAGCGGGAGGACGCAGATGACCTTGAAGGTGAAGAGGGTCTTTGCGATTGTGCGGGCCTTGTCGCCAACGGTTTGATGGACGACTTTGTTCTCGGCCTCGTTCAGCTGCACAAGCCGGATACGGGTCGGAGGGCAAATGAAAACTCCAATAACCCAGCCGAACAGCATGATCACCATGGTGGCGATGTATGTGCTATTCGAGACCGTGCCGGATTGCGAATGGAAATTCAGGCCAAAACTAACCAGTGATCCGATCATACCGCCGAGGTTGAAGATAATCCAAAAGACGGCAATCGCTCGTCCTTTCTGGGATTCAGGCACGTAGGAGGTCATAATTGCTCCTTGCGCAACCCACAAGAACGAGGCTCCAACACCGAGAATCGCACCGGCGGCAATGACAAAAGTGCCATTGCTTCGGACTGCAAGAGTTTGCGCACTGCAGGTCAGCAACCAAATTTGTTATCAATTCAGGATGGTGACGACTCACTGTTAAAATTCAGCAAACTTGCGCTGTACAGGGCATAGGTCCATCCGCCAACAAGCCAACAGGCACGCGGGCCGATGATTGAAAAGATCGGTCCGGCCAGAAACAACGCCGTGGCAGCCGTTGCGGAAAGGAGCGCGACGTTGGCATTTGCAGCAACGGTCTCGTCTACCTGACCTGAACCTCCCATTCCAGTGAGAGCATTATACATCTGCTTACAGATCAGTTTCGGGAACTGGAGGAGGCGGAGAGGTAAAAGCGTACCCCAGGGCAGCAAAAACAGATAAAACTGATCAAAACGACTTGAAACCACGCATTGCTATAGACGGCCATGTACCGGGGACCAAGTCGGGCAGCCGCCGTGCAAACCTCCTCGTCATCCCGTTTTGTGTCGACGTTTCTTTGATCTGCCATCGTTATATCTTTTGGGATGCCAGTGCGGGGGACGGTGAGTATAAAAGCATCAGAGGTTGGGGCCCTGACTGAAAAACCTGGGGTTCCCCACGGTTTTATCAAAAGTGTACGATTGGGATACAGAGAGAGTTCTTTGCTGATCCAAGTGTTGGAGAAACCGGACGAAAGAGGATGCTATCTTCCACACCCATTATTGAATGATCAACACTGCACTGGATTCAGGTTTCCGCATAATGGTGACTGGAACTGAGAGATTGTTGAATGGAACACGGAGGATCAATGCGACGCACTGGCTCTGGTTGCACTGGGCACGCTTCGAGTACACGATCTCAAGGCGCAATTTGATACTTGGATTCCAACTGTTTGGCAAAAGCTTTCCGAGGAGCTTTTTGCTGCTATTGGGCAGCCTTAAGGGGGCATGATGTTACCGATCCTTGCGAGGTTTCACAGAGGTGAATCAGCGCTGAAAAAGTCAGCCATGCCATCCAGTCGGACCAAGATAATCCAGTCTATTGGCAAACGCTGGCTGGGGCAAAAAGCCAAAGTAAAACCTCCGATATTGCGCCTGGGAGAACATCAAAAAAGTGGACCAATGTTGTATTTGAGAAGCGGTACCGGGGAATCCTGATGCGAGGATGATTGGACCGTCTGCAGAAGCTTCTCCTGCTGCTCCAAGATTTCCAGACAAGCTTTGCCTTTACCCATCTGTTGGTTGGAAATTTGGATCTGGAGGGCCGATCTTGCCAGAACATATATAGAAAGGCTCGGGGTTCTCCGCCTTGTAGTGCAACAGCATAGTAAAGTAAATTGAATCCCTCTGCACCCGGATTATAACTTGTTTTCCTTCAACCCGAGATTTCACGGTGAACCCATGGCATTCGGCACCTTGGCTTCCGAGTATTGAACGAATTCGCTACTCCGTACGGAGTATTAGTTCGTTATCAATAGCAGCATAGAGCATAGGAAGGTCCCTCTACTGTCAGTCTCATCACCGGAACTATGCGCTGTGCAGGACTGTTTGGTAGTACTTGGCCTAGTTACGCTGAGCCATCTTAGCCCAAGCTTGTTTTGCGCCACAGTCCCCAGGCCAGAACAGAGAGGACAAGGCGATTCTTCATTGAACATTCTTTCGTCTAGCTTGCTATAGAAGAAGCCGTGTCCAGGGTCTGACGGTGACTGCGATATGCCATGGACGCCCATCTTGCTGAACCGCAATCTCCGCCGGACCTGGGGATCCCGCCGGGGTCAACCACAGTCGGCGTCAGGGTCATTAATAGGCAAGGCTACATACACTTCATGAGGATCGAACGCTGAAGATACGGCTGCTAACATTCGATGTAGCACTCGTATGACGGCCAAGGCAGAAGATCTCCTAACTCCACAGATAGACGGGCACACAAAGCTGAGCGTGCCGTCATTTTCATTCCTCGTGGAACATCCGTCGGGCAGGACTGTGGTGTTTGATCTTGGTCTCCGTAAGGACTTTGATAGCCTTCCACCGGCCGTTCAGGCCTTTCTAAAGGACTGCGGCTGGAAGCTCGAGGTAACGAAAAACGTCTCTGATATCTTAGAAGACGGCGGAATTCCCCTGAGTGGGATCGAAGCCGTCATATGGAGCCATCATCATTTCGACCATGTTGGCGATATGACGGCCTTTCCACGCACGGCTGATTTGGTCGTCGGCCCCAGTTTCAAGGAGCATTACATGCCGGCATGGCCGACCGACCCGGGCTCTACTCTGGATGAATCGGCCTGGGACGGCCGCAATGTGCGGGAAATCTCCTTTGATGAAGACTGCCCGAAAATAGGCTCATTCGACGCCTTTGATTACTTTGGCGATGGGAGCTACTACATCCTCCATTGTCCGGGCCACACCTTTGGGCACATCGCTGCTCTGGCTCGCGTGACCGTGTCGAGTAGCGACTCTGCTGAGGATACGTTTGTCCTGATGGGAGGCGATACCTGCCATTTTGCAGGACAGTTCAGGCCGACACGATACAAGCCTCTCCCGAGAGAGGTCGAGCCCAGTCCACTTCAACGCGTATACCCTGATGCTTGCCCGGGGGCGCTGTTTCGAGCAATGCATCCAACCCGCAGCGCCAGCACGCCGTTCTACGAAATGCCCCGATCATGCGCAGTCGACGTCGAAGCCGCTCACCAGTCTATTCGATACCTACAACAATTCGATGCGGCAGTCAATGTGCTCGTGGTCATCGCGCATGACGAGTCGTTGCTGGGAGAGATAGATTTCTTTCCCGACAGCATCAATCAATGGAAAGCAAACGGCTGTGGTGAAAAAGCACGATGGCAGTTTCTCCGCTGTTTTCGCACGAATTCATCGGCCCTGCATTTGAAGAAATCATATTCGTTCCATTTCAAAGGCAAAGTAGGTGAGTCGGACTTGTTTCCAGGTAGCTAGCCTTGAGAGGGAGTGCCGTTGTTTCTGATGCGCTTGAGACAGGCGGAATTTTACTCTGGTGATAAGGACACAGGCCTGTATTGATTGCTAGGAGCTCGATTTGTTCCCGCGGGTCTAGTTCGTAGTTGTTATATCAGATCATTGCATCGAGAATGGGAGCCTCGACTTTCGACAGAGGAATAGCTGCTGGTGATCGCTGATGCTGCTTACCTGCTTGGAGGCCTCAATTTTACAGAACACACTAAGGACACAGTCGAATCGATGAATTCACATATCGAACGCAGTGCTGGAACTGGTTAACTAACTCACAAGTTACTACTCAAGATCCTCCGTCGAGAAGAATCATCTGCAGCTCCGCCACCGAAGAACGAGATCCTGTCATGGATCGTCTCAGAGCCTCATCCGCTGCAGCTCGTATTCCCCAACACCGCCCCCTTGTGAAACTCGGCCGCCGACGCTCAAGCCCGCTGGTTTTCGAGTCTCGCGCTTGGCTCCACAGCGCGAAGAGACCAAGGCCCTAGTTGCTGTTGGTTCACCACTTGTCTCCAACACAGCCTCTTGTCCGCTGCGGTGATTTGTGGACGGTAGCAAGTGGCGTCCCTCCCGGAAACGACCGTCAGGAGATCGTCGTTTAGGCGTCTGATGAGCCCGTTGGTATAAATAACCCGCCCCCGTCTCCTGGAGCTCGCGCGTTGCCTTTGCGTTTTGGCACTCGTTCGACCCGTTGACGCGCTTTGCAGATTCCCATTCCTTGTCGTCCACGCTCCGTTCAGATTCGCGCTTAGCCGAGAGTCGTCGACTGCAACAAGATGGCGCCAAAGGGTGGTCGTGGTGGAGGCGGCGGCGGCGGAGGTGGAAGCTCGTCTGGTATTTCTTGCTCCAGCTACGCGTTTGCGAGCGACTATTCGAGGATCCTGATCGCGTTTGTGGCCTTTTGGCTGCTCGTCGGCTTCACTCTCGCATTCTTGGTTGGCCCGCGGCGGAAGCGGTTGTTGGCGATGGGTTATCCGAAGGAGAGCCTGCAGTGGAACATACTGTCTCTCTCGCTTGGCCTCATGATCTTGTGAGTGTGCCTGACTGTTGTCTCGTTTCCTGCAATACTGACCCATCCTCCAGAAACCTCATTCTCAATATCGTCGCGAGCGTCCTATCTGAGTGTGGATCGGGGTCGAGCGCCACGCCCCGTCTCAACATTGCTTCTACCTGGCTCGTATACTCTAGCACGCTGTTTCTCTATGGCGTGATCATGGTTCCCCTCTGCAGGCAACTGCATCGAGCGGCGGGAACCATCATGGCCAGAATCGCGACCGTAGGCCACTCCGTGCTCATGGTTCTGCTCGGCATATTTTTGCTTGCGTTCCTCGGGGTAGCTACCGCCCTCTCCGAATGGCAGATCTCCGGCGACTACTTCTCATCTATCAACCCCTTTGCCCTGCTCGAAGCGCAGCGCGGGTTGATCATCACGTTCGAAGTCTTTGCACTGATAGCGATGCTCATCGCGACGGTAAATATCTGCATCGCCTTCGCCCGTGCAAAAGCACTTCGAAGTGGAGTGAGTTTTCCCTGCATACCCAGAGGCGCGTCTGCATTTTCTGACGTATTCTTGTTGTCCGTACAGAGCATGCTCGTTTGGATTCCATTTCTTATCGCTGGAAGTGTGGGCCTCACTACCTTTGACCTAGCAGCTTCCGCCGACGCCTTATTTAACCTGTCAGAATTTACATTGTCTGCCGCTCGTAACTTGGCCGTTACATTCCTCGGCTACTTCTTTTACTTCTTGACCTTCACCAGCGTTCTTTATGTCGTGTCGAATTCCGCTCTGGCCTCGGCACACCGGGACTCGGCCGCCGGGGCTCCCGTCACTGATCCCGCTGCGTTGCACCAGCCTGGTGCAGTCCCTGTACCGGTCGGCATCCCAGTAGCGAATGGCGAGACAAAGGATTACTATGCGACCTCGCCCGATCAACAAAATGCCCAGTTGTATCAACAACCGCAGTATCAGCAGCCACAGCAACAGCAGGTGCCAATGTATCAGCAGCCTCAGCCAGGGCAGCAATATGCGACACCAGCACCACCGCAGCCGTACTATTCTTAAAGCAAAAAAAGGAAACGCTGAAGACGAAGACGAAAGCTGCCGCTACGGTAACCGTTTCCCCCTGTTTTTTCAAGCCACTTGCTCGGATTCCACCACATAGACCCATTTGATCCCACTGCACAATAATACTGTATTGAGAAGCGTCTCTGTGATATTGCATTCAAGACGGAAAATCTATTGGAATCGACAGAATGCCCCCGTCGTTGACATTTTTCTTGACTCATGTTGACCAGATACCCCCCGTTTTATGCCTGTAATGGCCTTGGTTATGTGTTTTTAGTATGAATTACACAATATTTAATGATATCCCTTCTGATGAGTCATTTTTCGGAGAATCCGCCGACTTGTTCCCATTTATGAGAACTCGCATAGCATGGCGCACACGATGTACTGGCCGTGGAGACCCGCGAAGTCGACATTCGCGTGTTTACCATAAGTACACCAATATTAGCTTTGTTTCATCATTATCATATCCTATTTACAAGAGTGGCTTTTTGCTATGTATCCCACTCGTCGTTACCTTCTGTTCAGCTCTCTACGCTTACAGATAGGTATAGCAGAATGGTCCATCCGTGGTACTCATCAAATCGCGCATGGGCCGCACAGAACCACCCGCATGACCCAGGTCAATCAGCGTATCAAGCGTCGTATTGGGAGACGGGGGTTGGTTCAAGAATGTCCCTGTTCCGTGAATCGCGTTGCGGCGGTTCTTCGGATCCAAGCTCTGCCAGATCCACCACACTCGATCGATCATGCCATGGTGAAGGAAAAACGCCGGGTCGCCGGGGGAGACGAACACATCGCGCCCTGGATCACCGCCGAGAGCAAAGTGCCCCCCGCCATGGACGCCAACGGAGTCGCTGCCGAGGGCGCCCTGCATGGTTGTCTGGAAGGATTCGATGTCTTTGCTGCGGAGGATCAGGTCCACCACGGCGGTAGCATTGGCGTATTTCTTGATAACGGTATCGGTGAGATCACGCTTCAAGCAGCGTGGATTGTGGTCGAGCGGGTTGGGGCGGAATTCGACTTTGTCACCGGGGAGGAGGAGCACCGCTGGTCCAAGGTTCACGACATAGTCTTTGAACGGCCCGCTGGTGACGCACCCGCCCCCGGTACCGGATGGTAGGTTCACTGGCGGGAAATCTGCTATGCGGACTACAATGTCACCCTGGTTGGGGATGGGTTTGCCGTTGCCGGACAAGGATGTGTCACTGCCGTCAAAGATGGGGTGGTTTTCCATCCCAATCACGGCGGAAAGCGGCCAATCCCAATAGCTGACAAGTCCGCCATACCTTGTGAGTTGCTGATAGCCGTGAATAATGGTGGTGCTACTTACGGATAGTCGCCCTTGTATGAACATTCATTGCGAAGGGCCTGATCATATTCGTGGACGTAATACCTATGCCACGCAAGGAATGTGCCCTTTGCAAGCTCGTATGTTAGCGATACGGCCTCGCCGGAACTCGGGTGGTTCGCACTGTCAACATACGGTATGGTGGATTCCCAACGTCTGCTGGACGTGAGTGGCGACAAAGTCATCATAGCGACTTTTAGCTCCGGTAGCAATGCTGGACGGCGTCTTTGCCGGCAGCTTCTGCAGGCAGAGCACGGCATCAATGTACGCCTTTCTCTGCCTCACCGTGAAGGTTGACCTTGAAAAGCTGTTAGATCGAGCAACAAGGCAGAAAGGTGGAATTCGAGGATACCGCTTGTGCCTTCAAAAAGGCTATTTGCAGTACATGGAGATGGGAGGGAAAGAGGGCGATTACCATTCACGGCGGACGCTGAGATTCGACAACGTGCAGGCGTTCGTGCGTCTCCTCTCCGAGCCCGATTCTAGATTCGACTTGGTCACACCATAGGCAAATGAAGCCAGGCCGTCGAGCTGAGACTGTGCCTCGGGGATGGAGGAGGCCGCAGAGGGCGGAATTCTAAAGGGAATGGCATCAGCATCAACCCTCGGCGCGGGTACAGCCAGGACCTGGGAGAGAAAGAAGCCAACGCTTAAAGCCTTGAGAGTCATCTTAACGGTTCCTTTTCTCAAAGAAAATTTGCACCCTCAAACGTGCAAGAATCAGTCAGAGCAGGTCCAGATCATCCAAACCGAATGAAAGCTCGGCGGAATGGATAATAGGAATGTGGCCTTTTATTATTATCATCAAGATATGGTTAGGATCCATGGACTTGGGCTAGATGCCGTCGGCCTGGGCTCTCAAGGGAGAAATTGACGCTGCCATCCAGAGAGCCCAGTCACCCAGTGGGGAGGTTAGTTTTCTGGCCCTTGTTAAGCTTGAAATATTGAAGCTTGTTGCATGGATGCTCCCGGCCAGGATGCTAGCAAGAAAGACCATCCCCAAGCATTTAGTGAAATTGCCTGTCCGTAGAGAATTTGTGGCGGTGAACATCGCGTACGGGATGCTGTAGTTACCAGTGCTTGAGACTGGCGAGATATCAAAGGCCAAAAAACAATACAGAATAGGGAGCAGTTAAACATATTCTTCTGCCACTGCCCAAGGTGCTCACATTGCAAGTTTTAAGTGAAATCTCAGGCGATTCCAAAGATTTCTGGAGGGCAACATCATACAGAGTGGGCGGTGACTTAAACTAATAGTTAATAATAGAAGTTAGACGAAGGATCGGAGCTTGCGGGCTAAAAGTGCTTTTTTGCAGGGATGTGTAAACATCGACGTCCGCAGCGATGTATCCCTATCGTCTAGCAAGTCGCACTCATGCGGTATGCATCAAGTGGTGCACTATTGACTACAATGGGGAGCTTCAAAGAGTCCATGAAGCGCATGCTCACCCATCAAAATTGAAAACAGAAAATTTTCTATTCGTGTACGCGTATCAAAAGCTATGTATACAATAATAATAACATATTCTTCTCGTATGTCTTTATCCAAGGTCTTCTATAATCAGCCAAACCGAGCCGTATCGGCCATGGCCTCTAAATATTATGAGCTTTTTGGCTTCGCAGCATTTCCGTTTGTGTATTTAGGCGCCGAAACCATATGGGTATCGTAGAACTTGCGCTCGAAGAATTTAAGGATTTCATCAATCACGCTATTTCCGATGAATCAAACCCGTTAGATAAACTCTGGCTTCCGCGTATATAAGGAACGGGACAAACTTACATCACAGGCGCACTGATTGCCAGGACGGCTTTCCACTCAACCCAGTTCAAAGGAAGGATAGAAAAGAGACTCTGCAAGAACGGGACATAGAGAATGGCGAAGTGGAGAGACATCGACATCATGATCGCATAGACTAACATCATGTTGTTCCATAACGGGAACGTGAACAGTGACTCGCTGGACGAGAGAGAGTTGATGGCGTTTAGCATCTCAATCACAACAAGAATGGAAAGCGAGATCGTCGACGCTGACTTGGACATGTTGTTCGTGAACATTTCGCAGCCGATTTCCGGGAACTCCCTGGAGCATTTATGGAAGTGCGACTAGAATTGTGTCAGTGACGGCCAAAGCTCTTGTCGTTGGAAGATGGCTGATACTCACCAGTTGCCAGAATGTAATCTGCGGGCCCTCCGGATTATACATGAACCACCAAGCGAACCCAAAAACGGTTGCAATCCCAACATATACGCCGATAACCATATACCTGAAGAAAAGCCAGCCGCTCACGAGAGCTTCACCACGCTTCCTCGGTGGCCGTCTCATGACATCATGATCCGGAGGGTTGAACGATAAGGCTGTTGCGGGTAAGCCGTCAGTGACGAGGTTGACCCAGAGAAGTTGAACGGGAATCAAGGCTTCTGGCATTCCAAGCGCTGCAGTGAGGAAGATCGACACGACTTCACCGATATTAGACGAGATTAGATAGCGAATGAACTGCTGGGTATTGTTGTAGATTGAACGTCCTTCCTCGACGGCCACTTCGATCGTGGCAAAATTATCGTCGGCGAGAACCATATCAGCTGCCAATTTAGCAACATCAGTACCAGAGCCCATGGCGACGCCGATATCAGACTTCTTTAACGCGGGTGCGTCGTTCACACCGTCTCCAGTCATCGCAACCACCTGACCGAGAGACTGAAGAATGTCGACAAGTTTCGACTTATGGTTCGGTTCAACGCGAGAGAAGAGAGAAGCCTGCTTTGCTGCTTCAATCTTTCCATGTTCGCTAAGCGCATCGAATTCTCGTCCAGTGAAACTTTTGCCTTGCAAGTTTTCGTGTTGGCCAAAGACCCCGATTTGACGACAAATCGATTCGGCGGTGTTTCGATTGTCGCCGGTGATAACAATAACCCGAATCCCAGCTTCTCGGCATTTCTTTATTGATGCGGCCACCTCAGGTCGGGGAGGGTCCAGCATACCAACAAGCCCAATCAGGGTCATATTCTGTTCAAGTTTTTCATACTCCTTGGAGGTCTCGGCGGAATGCAGAAGGGGAGTCTCTGGAACATCTGAGATGCTGGCAATAGCAATGACACGGAGACCTCTGTTCCCGTAATCGACAACCTCTTGCGAAATCAATTTGATATGTTGTTGAGATAAGGGGACCCTGGTTCCATTCGACCCCAACAGGGTATGAGAGCAACGCTCAAGGATAGACTCCGGGGCGCCTTTCACGAGGAGTTTTTGATGTTTGCCTTTGCCAACTAGGACGGACATGCTCTTTCGATCACGGGAGAATTCGTAAGTGGATTGAAGGGGTAATTGATGCTCATAGTGCTTGCTAGCCGCATGTAAACGCTCTGATGGCGATAGGCTTCGTATTTTTTTGTTAAGATTGATGTCTTCTGTGCCAATTTTTTCAACTAACACTCTGAGAGCACCCTCGGTGGGTTCTCCGATGTTACTATAAGTTCCACTTTTTGAATCATACGATAGTGCAGAATCATTGCACATAGCCAAAACCTCAGCCATTTGACGAATCGTGGAGGACGTGGCGGCAAGATTCTCTTGCGCACGGCCATTTTTCCGCAATTCACCAACCGGTGCAAATGTAGTGCCCTCGACTTTGATTTCTTCGAGACCGTTCCCGGCTTCGTCAAGGTAAACGATCCTTTCCACACTCATCTGGTTGGTGGTCAGAGTGCCTGTTTTGTCGGAGCAAATCACACTGCAGCTGCCCAGAGTCTCCACGGATGGCAAGGATCGGACCACGGCATTCTTTGCAGCCATCTTTCGGGTACCCAAAGCTAAGCATGTTGTAATAACGACAGCCAGGCCCTCAGGGATAGCGGCCACGCCAAGGGAGACGGCAATCTTTAGATAATAGATGGCACCTTTAGTCCAACTTCCATGGCTGGGATCGCTGAAATGTTGAATGTTAATGAGCCAAACAAGCGCGCAAATGACGGTAATAACTTTGGCCAGAGTGTCGCCAAAATCGTTCAGCTTTTGTTTCAATGGCGTTGGCTCAGAGATCTGGGCTGTGATGCTTTCATGAATATCTCCGATGGCGGTATTGGATCCCGTTAACACAACGATTGCAGTAGCGTGGCCGCTCACGATAGTAGTTCCAGAGAACAGAATATTCGATTGATCTTGCTTGACAGCTTGGGCGTCGTGAATTGCGGGAGCGCTTTTAGCGACGCTTTCGCTCTCACCCGTCAGAATGGCTTGGTCGACACGAAAGCTATTGCTCTGAACTGTGAGCAGCCGGCAATCGGCAGGGATACGGTCGCCAACAGCAATATGAACGATATCTCCAGGGACGAGTTCTTCGGCTTTGATGCGTTGTACGGTTCCATCTCGAACAACTTTCGCCTCGTTGGCGGAGTATTCCTGCAGTGCCGCAATCGCCTTTTCAGCACTATTTTCCTGTGACACTCCGACGATAGCATTTAGGATGAGAATCGTTAAGATCTATGTCATGTTGTTAGTGACTCTGAAGCATCCACCGCTTCCAGTACCTGGGTATACACACCACCGCGGGGTCAACAAATGCCGTCCAGTCATCTCCGCCCTCGAACAACGCAAGTATGAAAGAAACCACGGCCGATCCTAAAAGGATAATAACTAATTGGTCTTTGAATTGTTCTAGGATAAGTTCCCAGATGGGAGTCGGCGGTTCTTCAGGAATGGCTAAACGCGGCAAAAAGGCAAGTCAGCACCATATGATATTGAGAAAAGCAACAAAAAGAAGCCGTAAAATTTCACAAGGGAACTCGAAGCTTCAACTAACCATTCGGCCCGTGTTTCTCTCTCGATTTCAAGACCTGGCTGCTGGACAGGCCCTCATGCTCATCGACCTGAAAATGCGCGAGCACATCGTGGGGAGAGTGCAAAAAGGAGCGCTCCATTGTCCGAGCGCGAATCCCGGAGTTTCCGCCAGAAATGATCTCGTTTCCGTGCACTGCTACTGCGCGAGTATCCCGGTAGATGACAGGCAAAGATGTAGATGGGGGATCACAAAGAACGTCGCATGCAGAGCCGAAGCGATCGATGAGCCGCAACAGCGCCCAAAGTCGTCTCTGCGTTCACGGGAAATGCGGTGGAAAAGCCACTGCTTGATCAAGATCTGCGAGTCCAACTGCCAAGCACCTAAATCGTCGAGGATAACGAGCCAAGCAGAGAGACAATGCACAAGCAGCGCGTTGGGGCACGAGGAGCGATTGAACGGGTAAAGGTCAAGGAAAGAATGGACTTTGCAAAGCACGCAGAAATATATCGCTTCCTTCCCGGGCGCATCAAGCCCCAACCGAAGCTTTTCATGGGATAATCCTTCAACGTGGTCTTTTCCAGTGACAGCGCCGCTTATGTAATGCACCCGCCCCCTTGGGATTATGTAACCTCGCGCAAAGCTTATCTCTGTGCCAAGACAAATGGAACAGTTCCGCACCCAAGCCCCATGCGCCTATTGGCTGCAGCCCCGGGTCTGCCAGGTCTGGGCATTATGGCCGGAGAAATACTACTCCGGCGCCGGGGATATGCCACCTGGTTGTCTCACTCTTGACTGATGACGGTTCTAGGTTGCCTGACGGTGGAAAGTTTGGCCGCAGCGCAATCTTAACACGAGTCGAGTCTACGGAATATAGCTGGCGGTTTTGCGAGGAATGTCTTGGAAGTTATCAGAGGAATGTATTTTTGTAGTTGGGATCACCATAACGTCATCGCCCGAAATGCGCAAGGGCTCCGTCACTGATTGGTAATTAAAGGCACCTTTGGGGAATTGGGAAGGGGGCAAGAAAGGATCTTAGCAAAAGCTACAAGCATCAACCAAGAGATTCAAGGTAGGCGAAGACGCAAGAAGAAGCAGCACAAGGAGAGGATATGTTCACCAGCAGTCCAGATATAGACCAGTTAGCAACATCCTCGGGAACGCGTGGGAGCAACATCAAGTCAAGAGGGGAATAGAAAGTTTCATTTCCGTTCGAGTCTCACACCCTTTCTGAATAATAGCGAACTCCGCGGCCTGAAAGATACACAACCCTGTAAGAAAAAGCTAAAAGACATATGTAAAGGTATGAGCAATCCACACTGCCGACGAGATGTTGTCAACTTCCATGAAATCAGCAAAGGGAAGAGAGACACGAGGCATGGATTGATAACCACCAAACACCACCGAGCGAATAGCATACTTCAAGATTCGGCAGCCGGCTCCTTCTTTTCTTCAGCTGGAGCGGGGGCAGCTGGAGTTTCAGTGGCACTGGTGGCCTCGGCGGGTTTCTCTTCTGGTGCTGCCTCGGTGGTAGTAGCTGCCTCTGGTTCGCCTCCGTCAGACGAGGTCCAGAGAGTGAGGTTGTCGCGGAGCAGCTGCATAATCAAGGTGCTGTCACGGTAGGATTCCTCGGACAATGAGTCGAGTTCCGCAATGGCGTCGTCAAAGGCTTGTTTGGCAAGGTGGCACGCACGGTCAGGAGAATTGACAATCTCATAGTAGAACACTGAAAGGTTGAGAGCGAGACCCAAGCGAATGGGGTGAGTAGGAGTTAGCTCTGACTGAGCAACGTCGGTAGCGTTCTACAAGTCGCAAAACGGGTTAGCATATGGGATAGAGGTCTGCAAAAGGGAAAAGATAGGCTTATACCTTGTAAGCCTCGTGGGCATTGGTGGCTGCAACCTTGCGCTTGTTGCCAGAGGCAAATTCAGCGAGGTAACGGTAGTAGTCGCCCTTCCTGCAAAATCCATGAATTCAGCTCATTCGTCCTTCAATATTTCCTTGAAATCATTCCAAGGTGTATATCAACCCACATTTTGTAGTAAAAGACCTTGGACTCGCCGGTTTCGGCTTTGGGAATCAAGTTATTGTCCAAAACTTCGAGGACGTCCTGGCACACGCGTTCGAGTTCGGCCTCGATCTTCTCGCGATACTCCCTGATAATTCCCACGTGTTTCTCAGAACCTTTGGATTCTTCCTTTTGCTCGATGGAGGAGATTATGCGCCAGGAAGCGCGGCGGGTGCCAACAACATTCTTGTACGCAACCGAGAGGAGATTGCGCTCATCGACGGTAAGTTCGCCTCCAATCTAGGATGGATCAGTACGATATGTGTGAAGGTGCTGCATCACACAGGAAACGGCAGAGAGATCGGGGAACCATACACTGGCAACCTCCTAAAAAAAGTACGTCAGCCTTGCATAAACATCACATATGGGCATCACGAACCTTCATATAAGTGACCATTTCTGCAATCCATAGTTAGTGGTGTACGCTTTAAAGCCTCTCTATAATCCAGGTATGCTTACCATCATAGCGCTCAGCCTGCTCACAGAGGCGGGCGAGAAAGGTCTTGCTACAAGGATGTGAGAAGCGGACAATGGGATGACGATGCAACTAGTTGGTAGACCTACTTCTCACGCTGTGCACAGTACTGTTATTAGCTCAAGCATCATCATCAAGTGCGCAGCAACACCATAAAAGCACAGTGCACGAGGGACAGAGCAGAGTGAGGTTTGCGCCATGGTCATAGCCGCTGTTGAACCAGGGCGAGGGGAGGGGTAAACATACTTCAGAAGTCATTGTTGCGCGACGACAGTTCTTGTGGAATCCAGAGTAATTAAACAGGCGCCGAGAATAGTGATAATTGGTATGGGAGAGAAAAGAACTGTTGTTGGTGAGAGATGGAGACAATGTCAAGTTGCGCGTGCGGGTGGTTTAGACAGCCGATTGTCCTGCTTGTGAGGAGTTCAGAGAGAGAGAGAGAGAGTCAGGGTTGAAGGGGGTTTGGCTTTAGCGAGACTTGTTGAGTGAACAACAACAACACTAAAAGAAAATGAAGGCGGCTGCCGGCCAGTGGCTTGTAATTCAGTTCCTCTTCTCTGACAAACACCCTCATCAGCAAATCCTTTTTTTCCTTTTTCCACCAGAGATGCAAATTTCACTGGTTGTATTTGCTTTTTCTGCCGTTTTCTTTCAGATTCGCTTCACTTGACTATTCTTCTTCAGCCAAACCACACCACAATACTTATACTTTCTACCTTGCGCCCTGAACAGCTGACACTGAGCAACTCCGATCCAACGGACAAGAGTCAGCAGCAGGGCTCTGGTAGGTGCTCTGGTCTCAAGTGAACTGCTTTACTGAGGCGTCCAAAACTACGACCTCGCATGAATGTTCAAGGATGGAACGTAATATGGGACAGCACGGAGTGATTGCCGGATTCGACGTCAATAAAGTAACTAATTAGTTGGATACGCCGGCATTATATGTAATTTGGCCCTGATTCATTATTGCCCAGCGACAAGATATTCTCCCCTGTTGCTGTGCCACAAAGATGCCGGGCACAGGCAGCCTGGCAAGATGGCCCATGGGAGCATTATTTTCTAGCAAACATTCTATAGTAGGAACTTGTATTACTACCTTAACAAAGTCCCTAGACTAGCTAACAGATACCCAATTTTATCAAAGTGAATTCTAAAACGGCTGAGAACGGTGCACACGAACAAACCACATTAAAACAGAGGAAATAAAGTCTGTAAAAATGGTAAACCCTCTCAAGCATCATCTTGGAAGTGTAAGAAAAGGGAATAATAATAGCAAAGTACTTGGCTGCATAGGATCACATAAAATCGTCATCGTCCAAATCCTCGCCATCGTAAGCTGTCGTATCCATGCGGTTCGAGTGAGTCGTAACTAGACTTGTCTTCGTCTTCGCGGCTTTGGTCTTCTTCCCACCCTTGTCTGCAGCTTTCTCCTCCTTGAGCTTTTCGTTGCTAGCCGCGGTCAAAGCGCTGGCCACCTTTTTGATTTCTGTGCTGGGAAGCTCCTTAACAAGTTGCTTCGCAAAATCCTGAACCCAGAGAGAATATTGTGGCTTCTTGGACTGGGCGGCGAGGAGAGGAGCAAGGGTATTCGTAAGAGCCGTGAATTGGGCCTTGGTGCCTGGCTTGAATAGCGGGATTGAGGAAAGATCAATAGACTTCGTAGGATCACCGGTATCAGAAACTACTGCCGTCTTAGGTGCCGAGCGGCTCCGGTTGAGATCGATATCGCCAAAGAGATCTTCCGCATGCTTCAAATCAGAGTCTTGCTCTGTTCGCTTCAACCGCGCCCGTTGCTCTGCAGCATCCTCCTCCTCATCACTAGACTCCTCTTCCTCCGCATCAGCTTGCCGTCGTGCCCTGTGTTCGTTTATCCTTTGCGCTTTCGACTTCTTCTTTGCAGCAGCTTCAGCTTCGGCCTTGGCTTTGGCGGCAGCTTCTTTCGCTTTCTTCTCTCGTTCGACTTCTGAATCTTCAGCCGCGTCCCAAGATTCTAGGACCTACGGGACAAATATTAGCAAGGAGTTTCGGGAATCTTTAATAATTCAAAAACTCAAGGAGCGCATACATCGTCGCTATCTTCTTCATCGTCAAACTTGCGCCGCGTTACCGGAGCCAGTGGCGGCGAGGACGGAGGTGTGCTCTCCTCTTCATCATCTGTAGAGAATCACACAGTCGAACGGTCAGCCGCCGGTCCTAATGTGCTGACCACCGTGCATCTACTGGCAATCGTCCACTTCCAAGAGCGGAAGACTTACCCCACTTTGAAGGCGCCATGGCCTGAGACCTTTTGCGAAACGGCCGGATTCAACGACGTGTGATAATTAGGCAGCCGTAAAGAGGCGTATAGGACGGATATAGAGACAGGTTTGACGACGACGGAAACGAGGGAACAACGGGGGTAGTGATAGGCGCCTCGTTGATTTATTTCCCACTGATGAAAATAATAACTACATGGTTGAGACTGATTGGCGGGGCAAAAATTTCCTGAGGAAGGCAGCCGGACCAACGTAAATCCGGTGCCACATTGGAACCTCCGCAACAAGTTACAACTATTAACGGAGTCAAGATGTGAGGAAAGCGATGGAAATATGGTTGAAATATCTAATGCTTTTCATTTCTCATTTGAAAGAGCGGCAAAGCTCTTATTTTTAGTACATATTTTTCACTGCTCAAGGCTTAGTTATGCATTATCGAGGTTATCCCATTCCAGATCCCCTGCTCAGTTACATGTTGACTGCATTGCGGAACTTCTCGCCAGCATAAACAGCGTTGGAACCGAGTTCCTCCTCGATACGGAGAATCTGGTTCAACTTGGCAAGACGCTCAGATCGCGCGGGCGCGCCAGTCTTGATTTGACCGGAGCGCAATCCAACAACAATATCAGCAATTGTGACATCTTCTGTTTCACCTGATCGGTGAGAGACCATCACGCCCCAGCCATCAGCGTAGGAGTCCTTGGCAGCCTGGATAGATTCGGTCAAAGTGCCGATTTGGTTCACCTTGAGCAGCAAAGCATTGCATGCCTTAAGTTCAATCGCCTTCTTGATCCGCACAGGGTTGGTAACAGTAAGGTCGTCTCTACAATTCCTTCGTTAGTCACTGGCAACACGTTCAAGGATTGAACTTAGTTTCGTACCCAACAATTTGGAAATCGGAGGTCTTGAAGAAGTAGCTCCAAGCTTCCCAGTCGTCCTCGGCGAATGGGTCTTCAATGCTGACAATGGGATACTTGCTGGCTAATTTCTTGTAAAGATCGGCGAGCTGCTCGTATGTGAGCCACTTGCTCTTGTCGCTGTTAGGATTCTTGAAGTCAAGGTCATATTTCTTCTCGTCTGCCTTGTAAAATTCGCTGGATGCAACATCAAGAGCAATCTTGATCTTGCCGGTGTAGCCGGCCTGCTCAATGGCATCCGTGATCAAGTCGAGAGCCTCCTCGGGGGTTTGGATATCGGGAGCAACACCACCCTCGTCGCCAACATTTCCGGCAGACTGGCCATACTTGGACTTGGCGAGAGCCTTGAGTTTGTGATAAACTTCGGAGCCCTGGCGAAGGGCCTCGGAAAAGGAGGGAGCATCCCTACCCGGTCAGAATTGGTTCGATCATGTCAATGGGGTATCAACTTACGATGGAACAATCATGAATTCTTGAAACGCGAGACGGCCACCAGCATGGGAACCTCCATTGAGGACATTCTGGAACGGAACGGGAAGGACATATGGCTTCTTAGTGCCTGCGAGGTCGGAGACGTGCGCGTAGAGTGGGACACCCTTTTCAGCTGCACCGGCCTTTGCAATTGCTAAGCTGACGCCGAGGATCGCATTGGCTCCTAGGTTCGATTTGTTGGCAGTGCCATCGAGCTTGTTAAGGAATTCGTCAACTTTGGACTGGTCCTTGACGTCGATGTTTTCCTTGATGATCGCGGGACCAATAACATCGTTGACGTTCTTGACGGCCTTCAAGACACCTGCATTTGGAATGCATTATTAGAATTAGTCAGATTAGGGTTGCTGAAGATAGGCTCACCCTTTCCAAGCCAGCGAGTTTTGTCACCATCGCGGAGTTCGCAAGCCTCATGCTGACCTATTTTCGACTTGTCAGCGGATCCTGCGCTTCAAGGCTCATCTAATTGGATTCGTCACGCACCAGTGGAAGCTCCGGATGGAACGATGGCACGGTGAAGGCCAGTTTCTGTCACGACGTCAACTTCCACAGTTGGGTTACCACGAGAGTCATAGACTGATCTCGCGTGGATCTTGGTGATGGCCATCCTGAAAAAGCGAGGATTGACGATTAGCACACTCGTTTAGACCAAGGAACGGGTTTGTTGCAGCGGTTGCAAAATACAAGAAGAGAAGCCATGTTTGGTTCAAGTGAGGCTTTTTAAGGCTGTTTCACCGAAACGCCCAAACTGGGCAAGCTGACGGAGACGAACACCAACAAAAGAAGGATCGGGCTGCAATAATGGGGGATTGCAAGCTGGACTACGCGCAAGCACGTATGCAGCTGCGTTTTCAGAGAAATTGAAATGCGGAAGATGCAATGGTGGGGTTGAGGGGCAAAAGCAGTGCACATAGCCCACGAGTACTCACTTGATGTATTATTGTTGAGGGTGTGATGTTGAAGAGGAACGGGGATACAGCTGGATATCTATTGTCGATTGCAAGAAGGAGGGAATTGGGAGAGGAAGAAGAGAAGAGGTGAGGTGACAGAAGAGGATGGAAGAGGACGTCGATGATGAAAGACAATCAGTTACCTAATTGGTTCTCCTTCCGCTTCTTTCGCCGTAAGCCGGATCCTCATCCTCTGCCAACCCCTCCATGATGCATCCTTTGTTTTGGTGGGATGTTTTGGCCCATTGCGCCCTTCCAACCAATCAACAGGCAAACCAGATTACTACGGAACATTCTCCGGGTGCGTCCGGACCCAGTCGAGGCACGGAGAGCATCCGCTAGAGGAGATGATGCTGAACTGGCATACCTGCGGCCCCTTTCGCTCTTCTTGGTGGGCGGCCAAAAACGGGGGCGCTGATGGCATCATTTCGTGTGGTCAAGTCTTGGCACAATGCCCCTCTCCCGATACATAGCCTTAGTCAGCATCATGTGACTATAGCTATTACATAATACTAGATTAGGTTTTGTATCATGTGATCTGGTCTGTTTGGATTGTTTGCATTGGCTAGGTGACAAGCTCACGGCGCCGGACCTTGCCTGCGAAGCTGAAGCTCCGTTGGCGCTGACAGAACTTCATTCCATCCTCTTGTTGCTCCCCTCCAGCGTTGATCTGGTTTCCTCTCAACGTCTTTCAACAGTCTCTAGCTGTCTACTAGGAATATTGTCTTTCGTGTTTCGCATCGATCGCGTCGTTTGATACTACAATGGACGGCAGCAATGACCCTGAGCGCCAGCATGCGCTGGAGGGCTATAAAACGGCCTTGTTGGAGTCGAGAGAATGGGAAGCCAAGTTAAAATCCCTTCGACTAGGCATCAAAGATTTGCAAAAAGAGTTTGACCAGACAGAGGATAATATCAAGGCGCTACAGAGTGTTGGGCAGATTATTGGCGAGGTTCTGAAGCAGCTGGACGAGGAGAGATGTGAGTTCGTTGCCGGAAGGCCCTGCTCCAAATTCCCTACTCTTTGATGTTATCATCGACTAACATGGGTGCAGTCATCGTCAAGGCTTCGTCCGGTCCTAGATACGTTGTGGGATGCCGGTCGAAAGTGGACAAGGCAAAGCTCAAGCAAGGAACCCGTGTTGCCCTCGATATGACCACCCTAACTATCATGCGGATGCTGCCCCGTGAAGTCGATCCTCTCGTTTACAACATGTCGCTCGAAGACCCTGGACAGGTCAATTTTGCTGGAATTGGTGGCCTAAACGATCAAATCCGAGAACTGAGAGAGGTTATTGAGTTGCCCCTTAAGAACCCAGAGCTTTTCATGAGAGTGGGAATAAAACCTCCCAAGGGCGTATTGCTATATGGGCCTCCAGGGACAGGGAAGACCCTTCTAGCCAGAGCTGTCGCCAGCTCGCTTGAAACCAACTTTTTAAAGGGTTAGGTTGAATGCGACACAGTTGATAGAGATGCAGCGCTAATTTTGGTTTAGTTGTTTCCTCCGCTATTGTCGACAAGTACATTGGAGAATCAGCCCGGTTGATCAGGGAGATGTTCGGATACGCTAAAGAGCACGAACCGTGTATCATCTTCATGGACGAAATCGATGCCATTGGCGGTCGAAGATTTTCTGAGGGAACCTCAGCCGACAGAGAAATCCAGCGTACATTGATGGAGCTGCTAAACCAGTTGGACGGATTTGATTATCTAGGTAAAACCAAGATCATTATGGCTACCAATAGACCGGACACCCTTGACCCGGCCCTTCTTCGAGCCGGGCGACTTGATCGAAAGATCGAAATTCCCTTGCCAAACGAAGTGGGTAGGCTGGAGATTTTGAAGATTCATTCCAGCGGGGTTGCTATTGAGGGTGAAATCGACTTTGAAACCGTCGTCAAGATGAGTGACGGTTTGAATGGGGCTGATCTACGCAATGTTGTGACGGAAGCGTAAGTCAACAGCTTATCTTGTTTGGGTGTTTCTACCATTTCTAACATTTGATCTAGGGGCCTCTTCGCGATCAAGGACTATCGCGATACAATCAACCAGGACGATTTCAACAAAGCCGTCCGAAAGGTAGCCGAGGCGAAGAAGCTTGAAGGCAAGCTCGAGTACCAGAAACTATAAATTTTCCCGTCCAGCATAATCTATTTTGTCTATAATCGGCGTTTCTTGCTTGTAAATCATGCTAGAATAGTCTGTCTTGACTACCGTATTGTATCCTCGGCCTGATATCAAGAGCAAGCGTCTTGAGCCTCCAAGTTTGGCATGGAGCCTCACCATTCAATTAGTATCAATCATCTGATCCGGGCGGGAAGAGCTGCTACAGGGAGGAAACTGTTGCTGCCAGCCTCCAGGGTGGTATTCATACGGTCAATGGTTCCTCCGTACTCCGTAGTTTATGCGCGAATCTGAAGCTAATGTGGTCAAGCGACATGGGTACGGTTGCTCCGTCAAGTATTGAACAACAAGACATCAGAAGCGACCTCGAGAGTACTGCGAAATCGTTCTGCTGGTCAAGAATGGTAGCAATGGTATAACCGGCCTGGTATGTTAATCTGAGATAATTATGGTGCCAGAACCTAGATTCAATACCTCCTAAACAGCCCGAAATCTTCCAATATGACCCCAAGCCGGGCCGCCGGGTTCCTCCCATCCCAGCGCGAAACTGATGGATACTGGCGCGCCGCAACCTCCTCCCGCAATGCGCCTTACAGCTCCGTCTCCTCCGGCAGCGGTGGGTTCGAAATTACAGAGAAAGTCGGCCGGCTACTGAACAACCCCAATCGTCAGCTCCCGACGTACAAGGACAAGCCCTATTTTGCAGGACCTGGGACCATTGCAGAACATGTACGACGCCGGAGGAGGAGAAAGCAAGCGGTTTCATTAGGGCTGCTGGCTTTGTTTGGTGTGGCGGTTTGGTGGCTGTGGTTCGGAGGAAAAGCGGACAGGATTATCTCGCGGGGGAAGGGAATGAGGATGCGCGGGAACGACTTGTTGAAGCTCATGCAGGGATTTGAGAAGGAAGAAGCGAAGACGGGACAGGCAGTCGACTGGGCGGAGAGAAGAGAAAGGGTGAAGGATGCGTTTAGGATCAGCTGGGATGGCTACGAGAAGTACGCCTGGGGTGGGTTGATGGTCGCCTTTCATAGCATCTGTAGCAGGAGCTGACTTGAAATTGTCTAGGCTATGATGAATACTATCCTATCGCGAAGTCGGGCCGCAATATGGTCGAGGGTGGAATGGGTTGGATCATCGTCGACGCTCTTGATACCCTCATGATTATGAACCTGACTTCGCGCGTCCAGCAAGCTCGAAACTGGATTCACTCCAGCCTGAGGTACGACCAAGACCACCCCGTGAACACATTTGAAACCACAATCCGTATGCTGGGCGGATTACTCTCTGCGCACTATCTATCAACCACCTATCCCGATTTGGCGCCAATCGCCGACGACGATGAAGGCTCGCCAGGCGAGGATCTGTATATTGAAAAAGCTACGGATCTGGCGGATCGGTTATTGGGCGCGTTCGAATCTTCTTCCGGAGTTCCCTACGCAAGCTTGAATTTGAATAAATCTATCGGCATTCTGTCGCATGTTGATAATGGTGCTTCGTCAACCGCCGAGGCCGGCACGCTTCAGCTGGAATTCAAATACCTGGCAAAGCTGACGGGAGAAGCGAATTACTGGGAGAAGGTTGAGAAGGTAATTCAGGTTATCGAAGGAAATGGAAGAGAAGACGGGCTCGTTCCTATTTATATCTATGCAGATACAGGGCAGTTTATGGGGGAAAATATCCGGCTGGGAAGCCGCGGCGACTCCTATTATGGTATGTCTATCTCCCGCATAGATGAGAGTTGCCGGCTGATGTTTAGCCGTAGAGTACCTTATCAAGCAGTATCTTCAAACATCAGACGAGGAGCCGATCTATCTCGAAATGTGGCAAGAAGCCTTATCCGGGATTCGCAAACATCTGGTGACTTATACCAAGGAGGCCTCGCTGACCATTGTTGGCGAACGTCCCCACGGGCTGCAACGCTCGTTGTCACCTAAGATGGACCATCTCGTTTGTTTCTTACCGGGCACTATCGCTTTGGGCGCAACTGGTGGTTTACCCTTAGCGCAAGCTAGAAAGCTGCCGGGCTGGGGACGGAAGCAAGAGGCAGACATGTTGTTGGCGAAAGAGTTGATGAAGACGTGCTGGGCCACATATCTCGCCACGGCGACAGGATTGGCGCCCGAAATCACGTATTTCAAGACCAAGGACCCGCCCCTGATGATGAAGGATGTTTACCCAGATCTTTTTAGCGATGGGGAGAAGTCGAAAATGAAGAAGGATGGCTCCGACTTGTTTATGATATCACGCCCACTGTATCCCTTCGATCGGGAAAAGTCGACATGGCTCAAGGATATTGACATTCATGACGCCGACCGACATAACCTTCAACGACCCGAAACCGTCGAGTCATTGTTCTACATGTACCGTATCACCGGCGACGAGACATACCGTTTCTGGGGGTGGGAGATGTTCAAATCGTTTATCAAACATACCGCGGTGGTCGAGGAGGAGCCGGTGTCGGCTTCCACTCCCACTGGGACGCCTGGTGAGGCCAATTCATACGTCCGCGGCTTTACATCGCTTTCGAATGCAAATACTGTCCCGCCGGTGAAGAAGGATAATATGGAAAGCTTCTGGTTGGCGGAGACACTGAAGTACTTTTATCTATTGTTCTCAGACCGGGACTTTATCCCATTGGAGACGACTGTGTTCAATACGGAAGCGCATGTGTTTCCCAGGTTTAAAATGGGGAAGAATTTCAAGACTGGATGGAGTAGGAAATTTCCCGCCCAGAAAGCCGGCCAAAAGAAATCTTGACACACTAAATGATACTGTCTTTTATTATGACTAGCTTTGACGCTGCATGATCGTGAATACCCAAAATGTTCATGGAGTTTCCGTATTTATATGTAGCCGAAGGATATGTACCGAAAATCACAGAGATCCCAAGGGAGATGTCAAAACAATCCAAGAAGTCTTTTATTTTCGCTGGCCTCTTTCCACAGCGGCCCTGATCAGCCTGCCGTACCCTTCCACGGCATCCTCCATGTCTCCCACGCTCAAACCCTCGTTCTCCCCATGTGCTGAGAAAATGCTTCCCGGCCCATACAAGTACCGTTTGACTTTCTTGTCCTCTGGCTGGTCGTGATCATGGATCATCAAGTTCGGTACATCGGTTCCATAGTTGACCGCCAGGATGTCGAATCCCTCAACGTCGGTATCGAGATCAATGGGGGGATAGCCGCCGCCACTGAAGAACCAGAGGCGTACGTCCGCGCGATACTCGCGGGAGGCAGAGCGCACGGCAGCGGTGATACGCTCTTTGGCTTGTTCCACCGTGCCGCCTGCCAAACGCACGGCAACCCGCGCAAACGCCCTGGCAGGGACCACGTTCGTCGCGACTCCACCCTCCATGAAGCCGATGTTGAGGGTGGTCTTGCCGTACTTTTCGCTGGAGGGCAATCCGCCTTCGGACTCTGGGATGTCGCCCAGCTGATCTATCTTGGAGAGGATGGGGAGGATCTCTGAGACGGCGCTGCGGCCGAGCCAGGGATATCCCGAGTGCGCGGGTTTCCCGTGGACGGACACGGTAAATTGGAGCATGCCTTTGTGGCCGGAGACAAGCTTGTTTTCCGTGGGTTCGCCGAAAATGACAGTGTGGAACGTGGGTGGTGAGGTGTTCAATGGGGATCTGGAGAAATGATGCATGCCCTGGCCGCCGGTTTCTTCGCCGACGACGAACAGCAGACCCAGGCGGGCATCGGGATGGGACTTGAGGTGCGATAGAATAGCGATAATCTGGCAGGCCACGCTTCCTTTGTCGTCAACGGTTCCGCGGCCGGAGATGTGAATTGCCCTGCGGTCGATCGAACCGGTGGAGCTGGATTTTGGGAGCGAGAGAGAGTATGGGATGAATGGTGGAACGGTGTCAATGTGACTGGTCAAGATAATCTCCGGAGCCGGCGACGAGCGAGGATATGCGTAGACATTGAAGCTGGATGGCTTCATTTTATCTGCCTCGTTGCCGTCGGAAGAAACGTGCTGCTTTTCCACTGTAAATCCATGCTTTTGGAGATAATCAACTAAGAAATCCCCCACGTCTCCCTCGCGGCTGGAGATAGATTCGATCTCGGTGAGGGATCGATGGAGCGACAAGAGCTCAGAGTCGGCAATTATCTTATCCAGTTGACTCTTCTCAGCAGCTCCAGGTATCAAGTTGCGATCAGCCGAGATGGGTGTTTGGTGCGAGAGCTGAACCCACGGCTTGCAAGAAACCAATGGCAGCAGAGCCAAGGTCGTTAAGATGAGAGACTTCATTCTAAAGGCGAAGCTTCCAGCCAGGTGTTCTAGTGGCGTTGAGGGACTGTTGACATTTGGGCGTGAAGCCGTTGTTCGATGTGCCGAACATCGCTGTGTTGCCGCGGCCTTGGACCAGGTTAAGCACCAACTAACTAGTTAACGCCGAGGACTCGCGTCAAATCGCGTCTGGACAACGCCAACAATAGGGACTCAATTCATGTACGATAGAGTGCGGCAATCGATCCTTGCTGAGATGGCTTTCTACTGACATTCATAGCACTTGGTGTTTTGGTATACTCACAATCTAATAAATGTTCTCATAAGAATACAGCTCTGAAAGTACATACATTCCATTCCATGATCCACATAGTATCCAAGAAATTTTCCTCTAGTAGACGGATCTCCAGGCTTATCATGGCGAGAATTAGACCCGGTGAAGCCACTTCCCCGGCATTTCCGCATGCCTCATTAGATTTTCAAGATATCTTCTTCTCTCCTGCCAGCGTTGGGATGACCCGGATTCTTCCCATAGACAACATAATGCACGAGATTAGTAAACTAGAGCTTTGATGAAGGCCCTTGATCTATACTCGAGTCTTGGACCGACCACTACCGCTTTTTACTTTTCGAGCTTCGGGGCGTTGGATATGATGAGCCGGAATCCATTCAGCATCGTATGTCTTTGCAACAGCTGGACTATCGGGCGCTTGGTCACCGGAGTCAACACCGGCTTGTTGGCGGGATGATTTCTTCACGCGATCTTGAGACTTGGCTGGCTTGCGCTTCTGAGGGAAGTATGGAGCAATCCACAAATTGTAAAGAAAGTAGCTGGCCCCAACGAAGGTCACCAAAACGAAAAGGTAGAGGAAGATCCTGCAAAACAGGTTACTAAAAAATACTGCCGAACTCTGGGTGCGCAAACGCTTACACTTGAGGGTCAAAGATGCTCATCTCAGGCTCGACGACGCTGACCGTCCCGTTGTAGGCGGGCATGGTGAAAATGAGACCGTCTTTCTTCGCAACCATGGTTGCGAGGTTCAAGCTCAAGTCCTGAGGTAGCAATTCGGTCACGAAATTATAGGTAATGGTTTTTTCAGACTTTGCGTCGATCTCGACGCCGTACCGGGAGACAGTCAGATTGTGAACATTCTGGCTTGGCTCCGACAGGGTCCAGAGGCTGCCACCGATAATGTTCACGGTAATCGGGTCTGGTTCATTGTTTGCAATCTTGACCTGCGCGGTGGTCGGTAGGCCGTTGACGAGCTTCACACCGAAGACCTCAGAGTCGGGGAAAGTAGTGGAAACGTCAACATTGACTTGCGGGACAGCATTGGCGGCATCGTCGAGCACCGGCTTATCAGGATTCGCCTTTGGAGAACCAGGATATTAGTGACCGTCCCGCTCGTTCAAGGCCTTCTGGGACATACTCACTGCGGCGTCTTCAGCTCGAGCAACAAGTGCCTGCACAGACAGGAGAGCAAGGGAGAGAAAAGCGAATTTGCCCATCCTGGAAACAATGTGGTCCCGGTGAAGCAAGGGAGAGGGCAAGCAAGGCGCAACAAGAGAGGCAGACGGGCAGATGGGACCAAAGGGAAAGCACAGCACAAGTTCACCACTTTGTTCTCCTGTTCTGTCTTTCTCCACGTGTATCAGAACGCTGCTTAGTCAGGGGCCGGCTTAGTCATAATGAGTTATGAGTGCTTCCACCTGACTGGCTAGCTAGCCGCAGCGCGTCTAACTCTGGAGAAGCGCGGGAGAGCTTCGTTGTCGTCGAGGACAACGCACTCTCTTCTCCTCGCAGACACGCACTCGAGGCTTGGTTAAATTATATTTAATTCGGATGCTAGCGGACTATTTTGGCATTGAAAATGACTACCCCGAGCATACCAGATCTGATCCAGCGCTATGAGCAGCTGAAAGCCGTAGAGCAGACCAAGGATGCACTCATTGAGGTTTCTATGCCTGGTCAAGATAGCATCTTGTTAGATTCCGTCTGATTCATTCTCAAGGACCTCCTCCGTCGAGTGACCGAGTTGGAAGAAGCTTACCAGCAGACGAGACTCGATCATGACCGAGAAACGCGATTTAACCGCGAAGTACAAATGCATGAAATTGAACTTATGGAACAGATAACTCGGATCAAAGCGGTTATGGTATGCTCTTTGGGCCTCTGTTTTGACTATGCTTTTTTTTCACTTCTTTTTTGCTAATCTCAGATTGGTTTCGTAGGATCAAGAACCCTTTCTTCTCGTTATGATTGACGGTGACGGCATGATATTTCAAGATTCGTTTTTACAACAGGGCGAACAAGGCGGCAAAGATGCCGCGAACCAATTATGGCTTGCAGTACGCGAATATTCGGCCCGCGCGTTTCCAAACATACAGTCTCCCAAAATTGTTACCAGAATATATGCCAATGTCAAAGGTTTAGCCGAGGCATGCTTTAAAGCCGGCATCGTTGAACGAGCCACACTGATAGAAGATTTTGTCCGGGGATTCAACGCCAGTAGGTTACTATTTGATTTTGTTGACGTTGGGAGTGGAAAGGACAGAGCGGACGATAAAATTGCAGGTATGGTGCTTATTCAGTCTGCCAGTGGCCTAGAGTGCAGTCGCCATTCAGCTGACTTCTGGCGGCCGTCTCTAGAGTATTTTAAATTGAATTTATACAATTGTCATTGTCATCAGATATTCCTCGGCTGTTCACACGATAATGGGTATGCTCGTATCCTCGAGGATCTGCTAGCGGATCGAGAACTCGTCGGCCGAATATCCCTAGTCGAAGGCGTGCCCTTTGAGAAGGAACTCGCCTCGATCAAGTCCTCATATCGAGTGACAAAATTTGATGCTCTTTTTAGAGATTCTAAAGTTCCGTCAAGCATCGGCCCTTCTTTAGAATCATGGATGGGTACCGTTAGGTCGTTGCCTACGGGTGCTCACCCGCGCCCAACCTCTCCATATCCGTCAAATAACGGACGGGCCAGGGTCAATTCAAATTCTAGCGGTGCTCCGAACCCTCAGACGTGGGCTTCTGCCACCGCAGCAGCAGCATCAGCGCCGTTGACGGATCTGACTGTTTCGTCAAAACCTAGCACACCGTCCCCGCGCGTTGTCGAACGCAATAAATATGGCCAGCGTGTTGATCGCCTGGATTTCAAGACAGTCCCAAAAGACGAATTAAAGCGGGTCAAAAAGCTGAAACTATGCAATCAGTATTTCTTGCTGGGCGAATGTCCCAATATAAGTTGCTATCATACGCACGACTACAAACTTTCCAAAAATGAACGCATAATATTGCAGGCAGTAGCGCGCATGACGCCTTGCCATTTTGGCACTGACTGCGATGATCCGGGATGTATATATGGGCATCGATGCCCGCAGAGTGAGGTAGGGAAAAAGGATTGTTACTGGGGGGAGAATTGTCGATTCGATATTTCGGAGCATGGCATTGATACAAATATTGTGAAAATCACGAGGGTTTGATTGTGAAATTGGATGTGACTACTGTCATATTTTTCAACAGTCTGATAACATATACCAAGACAGTATCCTTCCTATGCTGTTAATATATACCTTTTGGTTGCAAGGCTGAGCGGGCGATAGCACATGCGGGTCTTCTTTTTTTTTCCCTTCAAATGGCTTTAAATTTCCGAACGAAGATATAGTTATTTACTAGTCAGCAGATATTCAAACCGATATATATAAACGTCCAGCCAAGTTACATGATCCGCGTGTCAAACATACGAAACCGTCTCTCCCAACCAAACCCTTTTGATGACGATTCTTCGCCGGCTCCATTGCCTCCAAGTTCGGATCTAGAAGCCACGCGTACACCGTATTCTTTTATACAACAAGCGAACGGTTTGGCGTTGATAGACGAGTTGTCATTGGAATTGAATGCTTCAGGGTTTGATGTCTTGCGCTCTTCCAAGTCGCCCCATAGGATGAAGAGCTTCTCGCGTAGTTCAGCAAGAACCCTAGGGTTTTTGCGGAGGCTGGTGAGTATCCGAGTTAGTCACAGTTAATTGAGGCTGAGCCGCTATATTGAGACTTACTTGACGGCATCAATGGACAGTAAAAAAACTGCGTCAGGACCAGTGACAAAGAGTTTTAATCGCTCTCGCTTTCGACCTGGAGCGTGGAGGATGCCAGGGCCCGCATCCTCAACCAGTAGGCAGAATCTCCATTCCCATCGTCTTCGGCGGTCGGTGAAATCGCCACCACTGTCGGACAGGTCAGAGCTCTCAGGGGCATCGTCAAGCATGTCATATTCGGAATTATATGCAACCGCGAAATCTTCTAGGTTCGGGGGAAAAAAGTCCACTACTCGTACCGATGCTCGGTATTTGAGATTTTGGAACGGCAGCTGGTACTCTATCCCTTCGGGGCCCGTATTCCAATGTGTTTCGTTCTCGAGGATTTGTTGGATGGTCCTGGTAGGCGTTGCAAGGTAGTTTGAACGGACTGTTACTTGTTAACCTGTAGAACGTCACGGTCAGGAATTTTCTACTTACTATGGGGGTTCAATTCATCCCGCTTTGGGCGAACGGAGGGTTTAATGTTTTCTGTCCGGTGGTTGCCGGTCTGCGGCTTGTTATTTTTCGTATGCCCTTTATTTTTCTTCGACTTCCTGCCTGTATCTTCGCCGTCTGGTAGCTGATGTTTACCCTCTTTTGCCAGACTACGCTTCAACTGTTTCCAGTACTCTAACTTGCGTTGTACTAGCTTCTTGACACGTTCGTCTGGCTCGCTACCATCAATAAGACTAACATCAATTTTGCTAGGAAACTGGCGGTCTGTATGAAGTGCACCCTCCATCACCCCGCTACTACGACCCAGTTTAATGTGGACGTTCCTTAGTAGAACATAATCGTCTTCTTTGACGTTGTTTCGCGCAAAACCAGAGTGCGGCTCCCATAGAGTAACCTGGAGTGTCATTCGCCCATACGGGCCGCGCCATTGTCTTTTTGTATGAGAAGTGTAGCTGAACTCATCGCCATCTCGACCATCACCGTTAGACAGAGAGTAGTCGAACAGATTGTCGTTCCGGGTATAGTCTGTCACATAAATAATGAATTTCTCATACTCTGAAAAGGTCTTCACAGCTTGGCCAACAATATCCACGAAGCTGTGATAATCCACATCCTTGACTAGCTTGAACTTGTCAGGTTTGGCGAGACTCGAGTGGCGCCGACCTGGCGTTGACACTGTGCCCCTGACGTTGATACAGGGAGACGAGGTGGCCGCTATGGCCGTTGGCCTTCCTTCGGCGTAGAGGGTAAGCAGATACCGAGCATATGCGGCTTCAGCAGGCGATGGCACCTTATTGCTGGGAGAGCATCTTGTGGACAGCCCTGATCCCTGCCTTGAGTCTTGTTCGAATACTATCCAAGGGGCCGGGCTTTGGCTGCTCGAAAGCCCAATGGTTGCGCCATTGAATTGACTGAGCTATCCACGTCTGTTGTATTAGCATAACGGAAACATGGCGAAAATAAGCACGGATTCGTACACTGAGATTCCGTAGAAGGGCTATTTCGCCAACTTTAGGGACAGGGAGGAACTCCTGCTTGTCGTGAAAATACCTGATCTTCAATCCATACCAATAGTCGCTGGCGAAATCCGATGTCTTCAGGGTGAAGGTGGTGACAAAAGACGATCCTCCAGACCTCTTCGGTGGCAACGAGTCCACCACTAGTCCAATGACATTGACTGTGCCCCTATTCATGGACTTTGCGGTCGGGATATCAAGAAGTCCAGGTGGCAGCTCAACAGCCATACTGAGAAACGCGTAATGGTATCGTCATAGGGCATGCTTAAATCGAGCTAGAACACGTGCTATCATATCGATAGCAGAGATCTAGATATCCCCCGCGTACTAGTAGCGGTCCTGAAGTTGGGATCGAGGACTGCCCAAGCGCGTGTAGGAGAGAGGGAAATGGAGTGTGATTTACGCCGCGGCATAAATAAAAATCACGTGTTGATGACTCAGACCATGACATAAGCAGCCGCAACCAAAAGCAGTCTAGCGCCCAGAGGAGTCAGGCCCCCCAACCCACTTGCCAGAAGAAGGAAACAAAAACATCCTTCGCTCTTCGTCCTCCTCTTTGTGCTCGAACAACGACGTTGCTTCACTCCCTGCACAACCCTGCCGGCTCTTCGTCTGCTGGACATCTTCTTCAACAGCCCAGCCGCCGTCCCTGTTCCCAGCGCTAGCTTTAAAGCATCCTGGCACTCGATTTCCTGGGCCTCACCGATCTATCTTTCCTCCCACCTTTTGACCCCCCCCCGTCTCCAGGATCTATCGTCCCTGTCACCATGGCTGACCGATATATTCCGGAGCATCGTCGCACCCAATTCAAAGCTAAGAGCTCCTTCAAACCCGAAGACCTCCGTCGCCGTCGCGGGGAGCAGCAGATTGAGATTCGAAAACAGAGAAGAGAAGAAAATCTCGCCAAACGTCGAGGCATTCAGACTCGCGATGGACAAGTCGGTGTGGAGCCTCACATGGGCCTAGATAGCGATGAGGAGGGTGCTCCTATTGAAACTGAGGTACGTCTTCTACCCTTCTACCCCTCGCAGCACCCAACTGTTTCAGTGCTGCGGGGGGTCGACTTTAGAGCATCAAGGAGAGCCGTGCGCCTCGTGGTCCATGCCTGCTGCCGCTGACCTATACGCTACCTTGCTTGGAGATGGCTAACAGACTTTTGTTTCGTCTAGCTTGATTCGGAGCTTCCGGAGATGGTCAAGGGCGTTTTCTCGGACAAGATTGAAGAACAGATCCAAGCGACGACCAAGTTTCGAAAATTGCTCTCCAAGGAGCGCAATCCTCCAATCGAACGCGTTATCGAAACCGGTGTTGTGAGCCGTTTGTGGAGTTCCTACGATCCCCTCATACTCTAGTCCAATCGAAGCCGCATGGTCCTCACCAACAGTGCATCAG